GGTCAAAAGACCGTGACATGCGATATTTTCCCGCCACAATTAAGCATCGTTAGTAAGATCCTTAATAAATTAACTGAACTGAGCGCAATCAATCATAAATGCAACGGTCGACTCTGGTGTGAGAGTTAACTGTTCCACTGTTCGCATTGCTGCTTCACTGGGAAATCTTACAAAATGAAAGCAACTCTTCTGTTGTTCGTGTTATCAGTCTATATTCCAATTTGCATTGGGAGAAATGTTAAAGCCTTACACGCGTATGATTATGTACACAAACCTCGTATGTGTTAACTGTTGTACTTTTAAGTAGTTTAGTTTGTATTCTTGATTGCAAGCTTTCTTTATTCGGCTTGATATGTTTTCATAGCTTAAAATTACTGAATAATGTCTCATTGCAGGTCTGTCGATAAGAGGAAGCGAATTTTCGGACGAAGGTAATCATTGTTGGGAAGAATTCAATCTGAAATGCTTTTTTTTCTAACCAGATATCAACAAAACAGTACTTGAAGCAGCCGAGGTACCGTTGTTTTCGAAGCTTAATATGGAATGAGCTTTCAGAGTTAATTGGTATTTTGTATTCTGTCACTTTCCCGCCAAGACAAATTTTGAGTGCTCCGGAAATTTTTAGACAAGTAAGGTTTTGTGTAATAAATAAGCTAAGACGTTTGAACAAAGAGTCCATGTAAATTTCCCAATTTCATCTCAAACTGATATTTTTGTCTTAATCATTTTAGGCTCTATTATTCATCATTAAATGAAGCGCGAAGTAAATTAATTATGCTTTGCCGTGTAAAGTCAGGCGATTGAACTAAAAAATCTAAGTTTAACTTTAATCTCAACCGTAGTAACTGCCTAACTTCTGGTCACGGGCTATAAGTGTGAAATGATATTTAAACGATGCACTTAACTGTGCGAATCACTTTTTTCTAAAAAAAATGCACCTCGCATAATCATTGTCACAGGACTTTCCCGCGCAAATTTACTTTAACATTTAATTAGCTCTCACAATGACGACTTATTAGGCTAATTATAGCAATTTCGATCTTATAACAGAATGAGGCGAGAAAAGTCACAAAAATTTGCTTTTTAATTTTGTAATAGGTTGTGAAGATTTGCCAAAGTGGAAGAATAATTGCCCAAAATGGGCAACTGACGAATATTGCAAATCGAAATTTATGCAGCATTACTGTAGAGGAACCTGCAAAGTTTGCGGCGAAACAGGTAAATTATATAATTACATGTCACAAAACATCTATCATTTTAAGTCAACGTAGCTTTCTACCAGTGGAAAAATTTTAAATGCAGATACGAACGAATCCGGAATCGCATTGGTTTTGTTCCTCTTCATTCTATCGATGGTTTAGCAAACTCGTAACACCTTCTCGAACAATCAGGTGCGAAGCTAAAAACAGTTGCGCCATGTTTACTCACATTTCACCCCATCCTCTCCCCCTTCTCCCTACACGCAGTTTATTTGTTTTCACTTGACTCCTCACGATATTTCCCGCAATTCTTTTTAAATACACTCATCTTGATCGGATGAACTTCAGATAATCTAAAATATGTGCTCTTAATTTTGTTATATATATACTTTTTCTGATCTTACAGTGCCGCCTCCAGGGCCCATCGAAAAAAAGCCACCAGCGCCTCCTGCAGGTAATTTTGTGCGAAGTGAATAAGGAAAAAAAGGATTAAAAACAGTAGCTTTACATCGTAGTAACCATTATCTTTCCTCCTATTCGCTCTCCGAATAGAAGGAAGGATAATAACATAGAGTCCATTTCGATGTTGATCATTTATTAGAAATGAATTCAGTTTTGTTTTAAATCGTAGCCAGACATAATCGCCTTTGATGAAAAAGCACTAGGAAATTAGAGAAAACACAAACGCTGCTACGAATAAAGCTGAACCAGAAGTTTCTTAAGTTATTTTCCCAAATTGTTGAAAAACATGTATGGTATAAAAGTGCAAATTGATCCAGTTAGCTTCCTTGAAAAATGCGCTTTTTCGAATGGTGGCGCAAATTCGAGGTTTTGTAGCACTTCAAAGTTAGACTTCTGCTGTAGAATGGAAACCAAGTCGGTGTGGAGAAAATAATGCAAAAGGATAATTGCACAAGTTTTAGTTTATCATCTCTTACAACCAATAGAGCTGATTAAGTTACTAGTGAATCTGATATTTTTTTGTATTGTTCACATATTAGCTTTCTGTCAAGACTATGACAAAAGGTGTGGATTCTTTAAGAGAGTTGGACTGTGCGAAAATCCTGAACAAAGGGAACACATGGCAATTTACTGTGGAGTGACTTGTGAAATGTGTAAGCAAAAGCCTGTTGCTGTTTAAAGATAAACTGCAGCGTAGAACTTACCAAAAGGTTTTTGGATATGAGGTGACAACATAAAGCATAGGATGACAATTTTACTCTCTATTTTCCAAACACCGCTGTAGCACGACAAGGATAAAAGTTGTCGTAAATCCTTTTTACTGGCTGTTATTATTATTGAATGTTACCAAGAAAAACGGGACTAACCAAAAAAAAAAAATAAATAAAAATGAACATGTTCAGAATCAAACGATTTGTACCCTTCATAGTACATTATACGCATACAATATACTATTTGCAATAATAATTTATGACATCGTTGACCAAGGTCAGATAACCAAGCAATCATTAAACTAACAGAAAAATGAAACACCACAAAACAGAAACCTAACAAACCTAACGAAGCGTAACAGTTTTAGTAAATCTTATCTGAAAAAGAAATCTAAGAGAATCATTTGTTTTCTTTTTATTTTTTTTGCATTTGTTTTCAGGCCAGGCACCCACCCCAGAGGGTAAGTCAAAGAACAGTCTGTAACATTTATGATAATGCGCACCAGTTAACTTCGATAAAAAGAACTTTAAGACCTTATCTGTTTTCCACTTTCTCCTGAAGCAAAGGAGAAACTCGAATGATATGAATTCTCCTGATTTTCTTGAAAAAAAAATCTGGGTAGAGTAACAAAGAACTCCATTTTAAGAAATCACTGTCGAATCAGTGATATAACCATAAAATTGAAAGTTTCCTTTTGCATCAATTTACAGTATCTACTAGACTGATTATATATAAGCTTGCACTATTTAGTGGCTGGTTTTTTTCCCTTTTTTTGACAGAATGTTACGACAAATTTGATCATTGTAAAGAATTGAAGGAAGCCGGAGACTGTTCCTCTTCTGACCCCAAAAAGGTTTATGAAGTGAAAACAAATTGTCTGGTTACGTGCGAGTTCTGTGGTAAGGGATCATGGGAAAAAATGTTTATAGTATGATAACTGACGCGTCCGCCAAATTGAACAAATGTGTGTTCAGAAAGTTTTACTTTTAAAAACGTATAAGAAAACATTTCATAAGATGAGAATCTTTATTTAAGTGCCAAGGTATTTCAACTTACAGGATTAACTGAGGGCACTGAAAAAGAATTTAAGATGAAGTAATTTTTTAATTTTATAATTAATATAATTTTAATCGAGATTACGGAAATACCTTTGATGCTTTTTGCGTTTAAACCTTAAGAACTGTGTAACATCTACGTAAAAATCAGCAGATATGGGGTAGTGGGAAATATACAGCGATATGCCGTTATGCTTTTCTCATTTATTCTTTTTTTTTCTTTCCTCACTTAGCTCCTGACTCAGCTCCTTAGCCTCTGAGCTACAGTTCAAACTCTGAAGAAAAGACGGCCAGTTTGACCTCTTTCAAAACATAGTTACCCGCTGCCTGAAGTAATGTAAACAGCTGAAATAGGCTGTTAACTAAAAAAACCTATACGTAAGCTTATCTTCAGTTAATGCTAAATTTTTGCTTGTTGAAAACTTACAATTTTAATACATTTACCGTCAAAGCTGAAAATACAATAAAATACTAGTAAGGTGATGATGTTGTTGGTCAGTGGTGTTAGTCGAGCCCGTTGGAAAATGTTACTAATCTCCCTGCGTGGGCAGTTCTTTTAGATGTCACGCAACGCTCCTCCAATTACGCGATAAACCAACGAACGGCTGAGGAGTCGAACCCAGCTCAGGTGCTAATTAGCATTCCCGCGCGGGGCGCCTCGCCCTAAAAAGCACTACCTTGCATAATTTACTGCCTCAATATTCTTCCGCTCAAATTGATTTGAATTAATAATTTCTTGTTCAAGGATTGTATCGTTAATATCAATTGTAAAGTACATGACCCGTGTGAGAAAGTGATTTAACTAGGCAAGGGCTCTTCTTTGAGAAAAATAAATGCAGTATTTAATAACAGTTACCTGCATTTGGGAGAAACAAATGGAAAGGTTCGGTAGCAAAGTACATTTGTATAAGTTGCTCTTCCTGTTGCCTTTCGTGTTTCAGCGAAATCCTACATGTTTTCTAGCAGAATATTACTAGCATTTTGGGTAACCTGTGACAAAAGGTATTCAAAATTCAGTTATTTGGGAAATAGAATCAATGAGAAAGCTTCTTAAATTACTATTTGTGCTTGTTCTTACAAAATGCACCTTACACCTCAGCAATGTCAGATCAGTTGCCTTGGGTCGAAAGTCGAATTTTCAACCGTTAAATTCATATCTGTCCCCCAAAAAAACGTTGAAATTAAATTACTCGACTTCAATCCAATTCGCAATATTCATCACATTTTTGAAAGCGTTTACGTAGAACTGAAATAAGACTTATTCAAACACTTCATACCACCATTTTATATTTCCTCATTCATGCATTCTTTCCTCTTAATACATTTTACAATCAGTGCATCTAGCTATCATGAGTGAGTCTGCCACATTCATTTCAATAAATTTGCTGTCTAGAAAATTATGTCAGTTGATGTTCCCTCGGGGCTTACAGACACTCTGAATATCGAAGACACACTGATTGTCAGTCATTCTTGAAAACAACGTAAGCTAACTATATTTTCCGCCAAAATCATGCATCGTTAGTTTTCCACGCCTTTCAGCACACTAAGATTCTCAATAAATTAATATTTTCTGAGCGCGAACTCTCATAAGTGCAACCGTGTGGACTCTGATGCGAAAGACAGCTGTTCTACTGTCCACATCGCTGCCTCGTTGAAAAATCTAGCAAAATGAAAGGAATAATTTTTGCTTTAGTGTTTTCTGTCAACATTCCAATTTGCATTGGGAGAAATGTTCAGGCCTTGCACGCGTATGATTATGTACACAAACCTGGTAAGTGTTAACAGTTATGTCCTAAGGTCGTTTTATTTAATCATTGTTTACAAGCTTTAAATAATTTGTCCATGCTTAGCGTGCGCATATCGAAATATAGATGCACGAGCCCGAGAGAAGCGTAATAGTCGCCGAGGCGCAGCCAAGAGCAACTCTGGCTTGTCGAGTGCTCTCTAAACTTCCCGCGTACATCCATAACTCGATAGACGCACAGCTAAAGCATGAAATAATTCTGCTATAACATACTGGTAAATTTACCCTGTTTGAATTCTTCTTTTACTAGAATTTACGATCAGAAAATTGCGTAGCTTTGTGTGGAAAATTCTGAAAATTATACGATTTCAAAATATTGAACAACACTTTTAAGACATATCGACACTTCAAAATAATATTTGCCGTTTAATGAAGACTACCTAACGTCGCAAAACCTTAGTTATTGTCAGAAAGCTTAGCTTTGTTTTCAGCCATAATTCGCGTCGCGTTTGAGAGTGAAGAAATGTAAAATGGTTTCCGTGTTTACATAGCGTGATGTAAACACGCGGGAGGTTGGGAGAACACTCGATAGGCTGGAAACCACTCCGCTTCGCGTCGTGGTTTCCTACGCTTATCTCGTGTTCTCCCAACCTCCCAAGTGTTTACATCAGGCTATGTGAACACGGAAACCATTTACATTTCTTTTATAAAATAACTAATGAAAGAGGAACGAAAACCGTCTTTACATACGCTCGTGTAAAATGGTTTTATGGCCAATCAGAGCGCGCGTACTATTTGAATTATTTTATAATATGTTTTGACAGCTTTGAATTACTCTCATGTCTCATTGCAGGTCTTTCAAGCAGAGAACTCAAATTGGCGGACGAAGGTAAAACTGCGACGCCGACAAAATCTGGATCGGATTACGGATTGAAAAAAAAGAGTTTTGAAAAATGAAAAAGAAATAAAATCGTTTACAAAGTAATAATGCAAAATATAAGAGTAAAAAAAAAAGACCTAAAATATGTTAATTAAAATTAGAAATGTTGTGTGACAGGCCAAAATAAAGTCTGCGTGACATAATGAAGCGCAGGCCCCACTTGAAGTTTTTTTGCCCCAAAACCTCACGTAGTAACTTTAACGGCTGTGTCGAGCAATGCCGCCATGGACGAAGGCAAGCAAGAGGTACGTATCATTTTATCAGTTGGTTATCGTTTCTCTTTTTTTCTTAATATCATCAAGGTGCAAGACTGTTTGAGATATAACTTATAAAGTGCACTAAGCGATTCATTTAGTTCATTACGTCACGCAGACTATATTTTGGCTTGTCAAGCAACATTTCTAATTTCAATCAACCTAGTTTGGCTTTTTTACTGTTATTTTCTAATTATTATGATTTTATAAACGATTTGAATTTTTCATTTTTCAAAACTTTTTGTTTTGATCCGTAATCCAATCCGTGTTCCGATCCGGTCCGATCCAGATTTTGTCGACGCCGGTAAAATTATTAGATAGAATGCAATGGGAAAGTTTCCTATTGTAACTAGATATCATTAAGCCCTTATTAAAGTGAAAATTGCTTTCTTTTCAAAGCCTTTGATCTCTGCCTTCGATTGAGTCAGTTTTTGCAATCATTCACGTCAATTACAACATATTGCCCCCGATGTTTCTCAGCTTGTGCCCTGCAAATAGACAAGAACACGGTTATGATTTAAGAATATCCAATTGCTATCGACCATATAACTGTCGTACTAATCTTAAACAGTTTCCAATACTCTACCAAGGTCGTAAAATTTGGAATTCTCTCTCAATATCGATCACTGGTTTGACTAGCTTTTTCACTTTTAAAAGAAACATGATTGATTTTTGAATGAATTGAACGAGTTGGCCAAGCTACATATCCACATCCACATCCACAACTTAATTGCAAACATATTGACAACCGAGGTGGCCACCCCTGTATGTCTGGTGGTTTCTTGAAGGTCTCCTCGCCCTACCATACTGTTAAACCTGTATAAATATGATATCTCAAGTGGCTAATAAATAAATAATGATGATGACGATATCAGAGCACAAAGAAAACTTACATAACGCAACTTAAAGTCGAACACACTTTAAATCTGCTAATGATTCGATAAAATCTCATTTACCATGGGCCTTCCTCATAGTGCTTGTGCTTTGCTTACCCATGGGATACTGGCTTTCAAGCCGATTTTGGGCGACTGATTTGCTCCTAAGAAGGCGAGAGTTTGCTTGTGCAAATGTAACAAAATTAGAATTCATTTATGGAATACTACATCCAATCAATCATCATTACAATCATCAATTATTTTCGCCAGGACCGCGCGATTGGTTTAAACGCGTCATGTGACCGAGGATAGTCCTAAACCTTGCCTTTCACGCGAGCGCTCCATAAATATTTAGTTGATAATCAACACGAAAGCCTTCAGTTTGTTTTGGGATTATGCTCGTGTATTCATCCTCGCCGGTAAATCTGTTTCTCGAAGGTCACAGGTTTTATCTAGCTTGCTTCTTGGAAAACTCTTCGTTTATCGGACACAGTTAAAGTCCACGGAAAAATATTGCTGCTATTGTTTATTGATTAAAGAATTATGTACGTGAAACAAAGAAACAAAAGTCCTCTAAAAGAACGTGTAGTCACCGGTAAAATCTTCTTTTCCCTTGTAATGTGGTACATGATAGGACAAAATCAATTGTTTTTTCAATTCTGATTTGTAAACTAAGATAAAGTCGACTAAGAGAATTCTAATGGATTTCGATACGTATGCGGTCTCACTCTGGTGAGATCTAGAATGATGGTAACCACCCAACCCCGTAGAAAACTAAACGCGTTCCACAGGCAGTCGATGCCTGTGATAATATCCTGTGTGTATCAAATTTTCGAATGCAAATGTGCCCACAGTTAGAGGCCGCGATCCAAATCTAACCCCAACTGACCAAGCCAAATTCGATTGTTTACCATTAACACATCACGTTTTGTCTCACAATTGCTTGTAACGCAGTGATAATTGTGTACATGATTTTCTCCTGCTTTCAACTGGAAACAAATCTCTCCATCTCATGCCTCGAAACGTTCAACTTTTTATGATCAGAATTTTTTTAGTGGGCGAAATAAAATATTTGCTGCAGTGAGTTCCTTTACTAATGCACTTAGCGGCCAATATTTACATAAAATCCAATCAAATTAAATAAAACAGCCAAAGGATTTTAATTAAAACTCTTCTCACGGCTCATGTTTCAAATCAAATCGTAAACAATCGTCGAGTTGCTGATTGCTTCACAGAAAATCACGAGAAATCACTTGTTTATTTACAACATGAAGGCAATGTGATCACTGGTTAGCCAGCAACCACAACAATAAGCCAGTAAGAATGAAAAGCCACCATCGGCTAGTTATCATTTCATAGCGAGAGCGCCGATCAATAGCAAAAAAAGAAAAAAAATAGATAAATAATAATAATAAAAAAATAATAAAAAATAAGAATGCTGCTTGTTTGATTTTCAACCCACTCAGAGCAACTCTTTCAATACGAGTGCGAGCGTTTTAGCAGGGTTTCCAAACACGTGAAAACAGATGAACGCTTTTATTGTTCTCAAGTGCTTGCAATCTCTGATGAAACACAATGCACGAGTTTTTTGAAATTGCTTCTTAATTGGGCCTCGGGAATAAAGTATTCACGAGTTTTTTTTCACATTTTGTCGGCAAGTTTCTTTTAAGCATTCAAATCGTGTTACTGATATTCAAATTAAGAAATCTGATGCTTTATCTAAAGGATTGCTTTTGGACAAAACTCATGACTAACGCCTCATTCTGAAACAATAATGGTGCTCACTCAAATTAAAAATAATCCCATAGCAAAAAATTTTGTAACGACATTCGGCGATATTATGTTTTATTCATTTATATTCTCATTTGGCCAAAAAAAATTCACCAAGCAAGTTTCAGTTATCAAGTCTTTCGTGGAAAATGGATATGATACAATGATCACCGCAATGCTAAAATCACATTGCAGATGATGTCAGTTCTGCTACGTGACAACGAAACCAGTTAAAGTAAAGTCACATCGAAACACTTAATTGCTATACAACGTTAAGTTCAATATCATTTCCTTAAAATGTTTACTTAGTTAGGTAAATTTTGATGCCAAAAGCTGATGTGAGGACATTCATTTCGAGTCGATGCTGCTGAAGCTGCCATGAAAGCCTTTCCCTTATTTTCAGTGTTTTTCGTCGGTCTTTCATGTAATTATCGTGGTTGTGAAGGTAAGATGCATCTTTTTTATATCATCGAACTTCTTTTCAGTTGACTATTTTTTCTGAGACCTTCTTGCTTGAAACGAGTTTTCTTCTGAGTCACCTGCATGTACAGGTCTGTTAACACCTCTCGATCGCTTTCTTCGAAACTTTTAATTGTACTTTTGGCTTACAAAAGAAACCAAGTTTTTGTCATTCTCTTCATGCACAACACAGACGTGGGTGATTTTATTTGCTTCAGTTGCCTCATTTTTTTCCCATGAAATCAGTTTAATCTCAGGAGTCGGTTTCAAAAGCGTTAGTTTTAACAACTGTTGAAGGTTTTCTCTTGGGATGGTTTTAAGTTGCATAAAATCGAAAAAGCTGAAAACGATTTCCAACTTACTTGTCAGTTAAAAAAAAAATGGCATATTCTCGATGGCAATTTTGTTCCAAGGAATTTGTGTTTCCGATACAATGCGGGGTTAATTCTTTAATTGTTGTAGTAAAATAAAATACGAAGTCAATCATTCTACTCCTTCCTTCGTCATTGCCATCCTTGTGTTCTCTTTCCTTACTTAATGTAGAACCATTCATGAATGAATACAAACAAACTGCACCGCCACAAGCACCACATTTATTACTTCTGAAGAAATACATCTATATAAGGATGTTCGGTTAGCATATTTATCGTAAAGTAATTTCAAGCCAATGCTAAGTGGTAACCCTTCCTAAACAATCAAATAAATAGGTGAGTGTTCGTGGTGTTTACATTGTCATTTTATCCCAGTTGATCTGTCAGTTTGTAGTTCTTTCTCCTGCAACCTTTCAATACGTCGTTACATTTTATGCTGATATTTATTAATTACGCGTCAAACTTTATTTGGCGACTGTAGAAAGTTTAAGAAAACCGGAACCAAAGCATCAACTTTTCCTCCACAGCAAGCAGATTTTTTACAAATTAAATTTGAATAAACAAATATTAATTTTGTCACCATTAAACCAAATTTCTAGCAAATATGGGTGTTTCATCAAAATTTGATATCAGTTGCAGTCGTTTTATTCGTAATCAATGCAAATTAAGTTAAATTAATTGTTTCAAACATCGAACTATTTTACAAAAGCACAGTTACTTAATTTGAGTTCCAGTGAAGATGTGTGGCCTCAACAAAGCAATAATTACACACTGCATGCGTAGCACAAAATTAGTTGCCTTGGTAATGGTGACCCCACCAAAGATGATTGACTGGTAATTATCGATCCAATTTGACATGAACTCCTAAAGAGAAAATTCATATTTACAATTTACATAATCACTTAAGTCGTCCTAAAGCGACCATACTCTAATATTTTCATAATAATTATACTCCAGTTTCTATACTTTCCGACAACCTAGCAAGGAAATTCCAAATTCTTAACATTCTGATATTGAAATATAATAACAAAAAAAGCTAGAGTTGCTGAAGGCGCAAACTTCCAGGTTTCCTTTTGAGTGGACTTCTACAATTTTAGTATAGAAAAAATTCTAAGTTGAAATAGAAGGAAAAAAAAGACAACATAAAAAAGGTGCAAATAAAATTGTGAAAGCGCAAACTAGAATTGCATCTGTACCACACTCGCCCGCGCCCGATGTCTTTGTTCTTTACCTCATTTACTTCACTCCATAGATTTCAGTTGCATAACATTAATCTCCAAAGCTCGCCTTTGAGAAATCAGACAGTTGGAAAAAATTAAGTAGAGTATCGTGCTTCACTCAAATTGACAATATTTGAGACTTTCCGCCCAAATTTGTAGCTAACTTTAAAGTACATCCCGCAGAAAACCGTTTCGTGTGTTGATAGTCAACGTACAGTAATCCTTTGACACATTAAGAGAAGAGAGCAAGTTGAAGACAGTCAACATCGCCAGCATAAGTCACATTAAGGTAACATTCTTCTCTATTTCAGGGAGACCAAGTGAAACGACCCAGTTACCTGTTGGTAAGTGTGTGTTTTCCCTGTCAATAGAAAAAAAAATTACTACAAGAGAGCAATTAATACGTCAACCTTCTATTTCATATCATTTTGCTTCTTCGCAAAAGACTCTGGTACATCATAAAAATTTTTTCAAAATTACCTTCTCTAGAATTGTAAGATGGAAGAAATAGAACCAATCTAAATTTACTTCACTTTACGTGCTTTTTCTATCAGTTCCAAGGATCCTTTAAATGTGGAAGGAGGACGCATTTTCCTTGATTTGGTTATTCCTATGAATTATTTAATTGTCATTGATCGACATTATACCCAACAATAAATCGGTGGCTCATTGTTTATTGACAGTGTGTGAAGATGATCCAAACTATGCAGATGGCTGCCCTCGGAAAGCTGCCGTTACAAACTATTGCACAGAACAAGAGGAGTTTATGAGGAGGCATTGCGCAAAGTCGTGCAAATTTTGTTCGGAGGCGTGTAAGTTAAAGGTGTTTTTGTTTCATCAGCTGATATTGTAAATTGTTCATTTGAATTTAGGATAATAAAAGGATTTAATAGAAGAAAAATGTACGCCAATTTTATCAACGTTCTACAAGAGATTAAACTTTTGCGTTTTAGTGAAGTATACACACTGAAGGTCCAATTGTTATCGGGTTGCTACCCTTGTTAAATATTTCAAGTGATTAAAATCTCCTGATCTGCTGGGATGACCTTCATGCCATGATTAATAGTTGTAATTGACGTGGGCATGATGTTTTTCTCTTTATTGACATTTAAGTTATTTTTTTCCAGCGACTGCACAACCCACAACTGGTAAGTTGGCCAATTAAATTGCAAAATTTTATTCGCGGTTGTTAAGGATAGGTGCTGTTTTTATACTCTAATGTTTTCGCCTGTCAGGTCATATAGCTTGAACAAGACAATGTTGAAGTGAATCTCAAAAAATGCAATTGTATTTGACTTGATGTCCAGAGAGTTTCCGTTTCATTTACTTGATGCCAGCAAAATACAAACAAGTATTAAACTTTAACTACTCAGTTAAACGAGAGTTGCATTTAATAGAGTATGCGTGTATGTTATGGATAAAAGTTTCTATCAGGGACTTACAAGCAATCAATTGGATATGATTAAATTATAATACAGAATCTTTATTTACTTTAGAGGCGATAAAGCCACCAGCACCAGCGGGTAAGTTGTTTTTGGCCGTTTTTATATTTATTGTTTCAATAATAAGCGTTTACAGCGCTGTCCTTATTCAACGCGATATCAATTAATATTTGAACTCACTACATAACTAGCAAAATAACAATATTTTTGTATAATCGATCACCATTATTATTTTCATTAATTTCTTTTCAGAACGCAAATTGAATTTGCAATCATTTTTAAAATATTTATCAACTCCCTAATTTCAGTATTCAAACTGAACATGTTTCTAGTTGTCGGCGAGCTCTAACTTCTTAAGCGATTTATGTTCGTCCGGATTGGGCGAAGTCGAGACAGATACAATTTACTCGATAGTTACACTTCGTTTACGCTGATATTTCAGTTTGGCGATTAGCACAGGCTTTGTCGAACACCGTATTATTTCCATTTCTAGTATTTTGGCTTCTGGTTTTCAAAATAGGGCCTTATCTGGGCGTTTTATCGATCGATTGAGTCGCACAAAACCAACGTAAGCGAAACCATGAAGTTGTTCTTTGTAAACATCAAAAAAATTTTCTGCGCTTAAAGGCTCTTGCCTTAAAAGTTTAAGCAGATAATTTAGTGTTAATAACTGAGTTGAAAACGTAAACTGGCCTCCGTAAGGAGTTAAAATACTGACGTTTCGAGTGTTAGCCCTTCGTCAGGAAGATGTTCGATAAGTCTTGCAGACAGGCTCCATGATGAATGGTCGGTAGAATTGTTTTAGCATGTGTTTTTTCGATTCATTGACTTTAAATTGTTCTATTTTGTTTTATGCAGCAACTACTGGACACACTGGTAAGTTTATTCATCCTGACTTTTAAGTTAGATGGAGCGAATGGTCTTTATTTTGATCAAAGATTGAAGATCTCCATTGATCAACTTTTAAAGTTTCTTCCTCAACCAGGTTGGAAATTGTGAGATGCTGTCGGTATTTTTGAGGCCATGCTTTACAACTGCAATTTTTCTGTCTGGTTATTATTATTTACACATTTGTTATTATTGATATTCAGTTCCAGAGAGAATTTGATCAATCATCTCGTTAATTCTGGAACGGTAAAACGCATAAAAATGACCTTCACAGATTGCCTTTTGAAACGTTTCTTCAAGAATGTAAAAATCCCTAGAATTTGTTTTGAATAGCTATCTTTTTTCACTTTTTTGTTTTTAACAATTTTTATCGCATTAGGCGGAAAAAGAGATAAATCCTCTCATTCAGTATTGTACTTAACATCATACTAGTGATGGTTAGTACTGATGGACCGACGATGTGAATTGATGAATTTGTGACTGTACGTTATTCACTTTTCTTTATGTTGTTGATATTTTATTTCAGAGAAGCCACTTAAACCTGGAGAAGTTGGTAAGGTCTCCACAAAACAACTGCCACTCTATTTGATTTATCCTTCAAACATTATCCACACCATCTTCATAACTAATCGCTAGGTTTATCCTTCACTGGTAATCATGAAATGACATATCGTGTTTTCCATTTCCATTTTTTCCTTTGATTTCATTCGTAAAATGGCTACAAAAGCGAAGGAACATCTCAGAAAAAAATGGTAGATTTATCGTTTGGTCCATAAGGCGAACGTAAGGTTGCCTCAGAGCCCTCCCCTAAACTTAAAGAGGTCTCTATGTTGATGTAATGTTTTGTACTTACGTCTTTAGAGTAGCATGTTAATCTTTATAAAAGTAAGTGATTCAAATCAGCCAACTTTACTATTTCATTAAGTTTTGTAGAAGAGTGCTGCAATATTGACTGTCGAGAGTTCGAAAAAACTTTACATGGACGACTTCTACACGATGGTTTAAATCAGCTTTTTGATGTCGCAAACCTCCTTAATTATTGACAGAGGCATCTAACAACGAGCCAAAATCACTTGCTATCCTTCCCATACAAAATTATCATTGCAACCTTGCTTGTGAGTGAAACAGAACTGTGTAAGTAAAACAGTCATAGAAAATCATTTGATCTCTTTTTATATCACACCAATAAGGATGCGCAGACAATCCAAAGTTCAAAGATCCATGCGCAGACATTGCTTCGACACCAGGCTTATGTCAAGAGCAGGAAGACTTCACGAGAAAGAATTGCAAATCGTCATGTGGATGGTGTGGTAAGTAATTCCAATCATTTACATTAATCAGAACTCGGCTTAATCTACTTTTTGGTTTGGTTTGGTAATATGTTTGATGTTTGTTCTTGCCGAAAGACGTTTGTTACCGGCTCCCTTTCTGGAGAGGTTGCGAGTAGAAGGTAATCGCGTGATCGAGTATTTGCTATGAGAGGGTTGACCAGGTGTGTCAATAAAAGCCGCTACAAGCGAGCGGTATACCGCTGCCCATAAGACCTACTGAGCTCTTACTGTCGTCTGTTAAGTCTGCGTGCACGCTGTCGTATTTGGATTTTGCCTTACGCCTCCCATTCCTGACTCAGTTGCCTTTTACAACATAAGAAGCTGCTTATGGAAAACGTTATTGAAACTCCTGGAGTTGAACGCACAGAGTGCCCGCCCGGTAGGCAGATTCCTGTTGCTTAGCTGTTGCCAACTTCATTTTGTTGCCTTCATGCGCAATGTGTCTCACAAATTACGTACAATCCACAACGGAATTAGTTTACAAAACATCCACCTCGCCACTTTTACGGAATCATTCAGAGCGGACTTTAAATTGACTTGTGGTGAAAAGAAAAAGTCAAATAGAGTATCGTGCATCACTTGAATTGACAACATTTGAGACTTTCTGCTTAAATTTGAGGCTAACTTTAAAGTACATCCCGCCGAAAATTGTTTCATGGTTTGGAAGGCAACACACAGTAATCCTTTGGCACATTAAGAGATGAGAGCAAGTTGAAGATAGCCAATATCGCCAGCATAGGTGACATTAAGGTAACATTCTTCTTTATTTTAGGGAGGGAGAGTGAAAAGCCCACGTCACCTGTTGGTAAGTGTGTGTTTTCCCTAACAATCGAAAAAAATGACTTCAAGAGAACAATTAATAGGTGAACCTTTTAATTCACATTGTCTCTTCATAAAACTTTTTCTTAAAATTACCTTCTATAGAATTTGGAAGAAATAGAACCATTCTAAATTTACTTTGCTTTACGTAGTTTTCCTACCAGCTCCAAAGCTACTCAATTTTTTATGTATAGTTTGGTTATTCCTATGAATTATTAATTGATCGACATTATATCCTACGATAAATCAGCGGCTCGTTGTTTATTGACAGTGTGTGAAGATGATCCAAACTATGCAGATGGCTGCCCTCTGAAAGCTGCCGTTACAAACTATTGCAGAGACCAAGAGGAGTTTATGAGGAGGCATTGCGCAAAGTCGTGCAAATTTTGCAAGGGAGCATGTAAGTTGAAGATGTTTTTGTTTCATTAGTTAATAATGCAAATTGTGCTTCTGAATTTAAAATGAGAGAATAATTAAATATAAGGAACATGTACGCCAATTTTATCAATGTTTTACAAGAGATTATACTCTTGTGTTTTATTAAAGTATACAGACGGTAAGTATACGGTATCTCGGTCTATCTCCCTGGTAGATAGACCGAGATACCTTCAATGGCATTGTCATCGGGATTGCTACCCTTGTTAAATATTTCAAGGAATTAAATCATATTTGAACAGGTCCCTGATCTGCTGGGATGACCTTCATGCCATGATTAATCGTTGTAACTGACGTGGGTATGATGTTTGTCTCTTTATTTACATTTATGTTATTTTCCTTTCCAGCGACTGCACAACCCACAACTGGTAAGTTGGCCAATTAAATTGCAAAATTGCGAAATTTTATTCGCGGTTGTGAAAAATAGGTGCTATTTTTATACTCTAATGAAAAATACTCTAATACTCTAACCTGAACAAGACAATGTTGAAGTGAATCTCCAAAATATAATTGTATTTGACTTGATGTGCAGAGAGTTCTCCATTTCATTTACCTGATGCTTGCAAAATACAAGCAAGTATCAAAACAAATTACTATCATGTGATGATACTCAGTTACACGAGCATTGCAGATAATAGAGCATGCGTATATGTTATGGATAAAACTTACAGTCAGTCAGTTTTACATTTAATGAGCTAATTTTAATAACAAATCTCTTTTTACTTCAGAGGCGATAAAGCCACCGGCACCAGTGGGTAAGTTTTTTTTTGTCCGTTTTTATATTTTTTGCTTCAATAAGAAGCGTTTACAGCGCTGTCCTTATTTAACGCGATATCAATTAATATTTGAACTTACTACATAACCAGCAAAATAATAATATTTTTTTATAAATTTCTTTTCAAAACGCAAATTGAATTTGCAATCATTTTTTGAAATATTTATCAACTCTCTAATTTCAGTGTTCAAACTGAACAAGTTTCTAGTTGTCGGCGAGCTCTAACTTCTTAAGCGATTTATGTTCGTCCGGAATGGGCGAAGTCGAGTTTTGTGGGCTTACAGCTTCCGCTATTTGTTGCAGGTGCCATATTATTCGTCATTTCATTGATCTTCAATTTTTCTTTTTTCAGCTACTGCTCAACCCGCAATTGGTAACTAAGCATAGAATGTTTACCTCATGCGAGGAAAAGTACGGGCAACTAAGTAAAAATCAATCTGGCGAGCAGTTCCTTCCCAATGAATCTCATTATATCACACTTATACATTGATTTACAGTTTGTGAAGATGATCCAAACTACGCTGATCGCTGTCCTGAGAAAGCCGCCGTAATTAACTATTGCAATGACCAAAAGAAGTTTATGAGGAAACACTGCGCTAAGTCGTGCAACTTTTGCGGAGAGGCGTGTAAGTGTGAGGTGTAGTTTTTTAGTGATGAAAACAGATACAATGTACTCGATAGTTGTACTTTGTTTACGCGGACATTTCAGTTTGCGATTAGCGCAGGCTTTGTCGAGCCACGAATGAGCGGCGAGGAAAATGAGAGAAATTTCTAGTATTTTGGCTTCTAGTTTTCAAAATAAATCCTAAGACCTTATCTGAGCATCCTATCGATCGATTAAGTCGCCCAAAACCAACGTAAGGGAAACCATGGACTTGTTCTTTTTAACTACTAGAAGTTTGTTGCCTTAAAAGTTTAATAAGCCTTACTGTGAAAAAGAAGCAGTAGCAAAAACATAAACAAAGTTTGGATCGTTTAATGCGGCCATTTTGTCCATCTTGCATTTCCGCCCTGTTGTATACATTGTAATAGCTTGTAATACCGTGGCATATTTTGGACATTCCGTCTCCCTAATATCTTTATGGACATATTAGAGGAACTCAATGAAACAACAGTTTCCGTTGAGATCTGCATGAAGAGGTTTTGAGTTCATATGCACTGAAGAGGTCTGCATACTTGACCTGAAAAACCAACACAACATTTAGCTGTTATAAATTCTACGGCGACACGTTTGCCTCAGTGGAAAGAGTTAAATTTTAAAGGAGTGTAAACCTCAGAAAACCTTCCGTGTGAAGAAACTGTGAAAGATATTTGATGGGGTTTCGTTTTGCAGACAGGCTCCATGATGAATGGTCGCTAGAATTGTTTCAGCATGTGTTTTTTCAATTCACTTACTTTAAATCGTTCTATTTTGTTTTGTACAGCAACTACTCGACCCACTGGTAAGTTTATTCATCCTGACTTTTAAGTTAAATGTAACGAATGTTATTTATTTTAATCAAAGATCTAAGATCTCCATCGTTCAACTTTTAAGTTTCTTCCTGAACCAGGTTGGAAATTGTGAGATGCTGGCGGTATTTGTGAGGCCATGCTTTACAGTTGCAATTTTTCTGTCTGGTTGTTATTATCTACACATTTGTTATTATTGATATTCAGTTTCAGGGAGAATTTGATCAATCAACTCATTAATTCTGGAACGGTAAAACGCCATAAAAATGACCTTCACAGCTTGCCTTTTGAAACGTTTCTTCAAGAATGTAAAAAATCCTTAGAATTTTTTTGAATAGGTACCTATTTTCACTTTTTTTTGTTTTTAACAATTTTTTATAGAAATCAGGCAAAATAAGGGATAAATCCTATCATTCAGTATTGTACTTAAAATCATATTAGTGATGGTTAGTACTGATGACCGACGATGTCGATGTTATCGATGGATTTTGGTGAATTTGTGACTGTACGTTATTCACTTTTCTTTATATTGTTGATATTTCATTTCAGAGAAGCCACTTAAACCTGGAGAAATTGGTAAGGTCTCCACAAAACAACTGCCACTGTATTTGATTTATCCTTCATGCATTATCCACACTACCTTTGCGTCTAATCGCTAGGTTTATCATTCACTGGTAATCACGGAATGGCATATCGTGTTTTCATTTCCGGTTTCTCTTGTGATTTCATTCGCAAAATAGGTGCGAAAGCGAAAGCACATTTCAGCATGAAAAGGTAGATTTACTGTTCCACGGAGCCCTCCCCTAAACTTTAAGGAGATCACCATGTTTATGTAAAGTTTTTTACTTTACATATCTTTACAGTGGTTGTTAATCTTTATGTAACGATTCAAATCAGTCAACCTTACTATTTCATTAAGTTTTGAAGAAGATTGCTGTCATATCGACTGTCGAGAGTTTGAAAAAAACTCACGTGGACGACGTCTCAACAATGGTTAAAATCAGCTTTTTCCTCTCATTGGTTGACTGTCACCTTCCTTCTTCTACTTACGATTCTTGTTGCCGCAGTCCTCCGCTCAATCTTCACGTGTTTCGCCATCATATGCTGGCCCCTTCTCCTTAAAACGTCTGCCAATCAGGCTTTGCAGATGTATTTTAGCCAACCCTTGGTCTTCATCTATTACGAATAGAAAGATAATATGTGTTCCTTTTACTTTTTTTAAGTTGATTAAGCTACAAATAGATGACGGAAGCAATTCAATTCGTCTTTAATTTTTGACAGATGCAACTAAAACAGTCAACATTTGATTTCTTTTTGTATCATACCAAAAAGGATGCGCAGACAATCCACAGTTCAAAGACCAATGCGCGGACATTGCTTTGACACCAGGCCTTTGTCAAGAGCAGGAAGACTTCACGAGAAAGAATTGCAAATCGTCATGTGGATGGTGTGGTGAGTAAATCCAGTCATAATCAGAACTCGGCTAAAATAGCTTTTTGGTTTGATTTGTTAAGATGCTTGATGTTAGTTCTTATCAAAAGGCGTTTGTTACCGGCTACATTTTTAGAAAGGTTTCGACAACAAGGTAGTCCGGTGATCGAGTATTTGCTAGGAGAGAATTGAACAGGGGTCTCAAGAAAGGCCGCTACGAGCAGTCTACCGCCCCTTATAAGACTTAGCTCTTGCTGCCGTCTGTTAGGGTTCCGCCTTACGCCTTCCGTTCCTGACATAGTCGTCTTTTACACCATAAGCAGCTGCTAATGAAAAACATCATTGAAACTCCTGGAGTTGACCGCACGGAGTACCCGCTCGGTAGCCAGATTCCTGTTGCTTAGCTGTTGCCAACTTCAATTTGCTGCGTTCATGGGCAACGTGTCTTACAACTTACGTACAATCCACAATTAAATTAGTTACAAAACATCCACCTTGCCACTTTTACGGAAACGGAATTTAAATCGACCTCTTTCTTTGAAATAGAAGAGAAATACTTTTTAATAATACGATGACAGTGCCAACATTGGCATCTGAGGAGAAATACTTAAACTGACAATCCCAGCCAAGGCCCCTCATTGCCCCTTGGATCACTGAATTAACTGCGTAAGTTCTAATGTTTCTGATATTGCTCGTCTTGTTTTCTTTGTTTTTGTTTTTTTAGGTTCACCAGCAACAAAGCCTCCTATTCAGGAAAGTATGTGCAACTTTACTTAAACAAGCACAGTAAACGAACACTGAGGAACAAACGCACGCACGAAAAGATATCCCCAGATACTCACATAACAGAGCAATGAACATTGGTTGATCCTCCATTTAACAACTATTAAGAGAAGGCGTAACTTAAATAACGAGTTTTTTCCGCTTTTAAGTAATGGTCTAAGCGGGTAATGCTGATGGTTACGGGCCGAAAATTTTATCAATAACGGCACGCGAATAATCTGAGATGCAATCATGAAGAAGATTATAATGATGATAATGATAATAATGATTATCACGATAATTGTAATAATTGTAGGAGAAACTGGCAGATGCTTTAAAACCCGAAGAAAGGAACATTTAAAAAGAAAAATTAAAAAAAATTATCAATAACGGCACGCGAATAATCTGAGATGCAATTATGAAGAAGATTATAATGATGATAATGATAATAATGATTATCACGATAATTGTAATAATTGTAGGAGAAACTGGCAGATGCTTTAAAACCCGAAGAAAGGAACATCAACGAAATCTTAAAAACTATACGAGTGGCTCGAACATTGCCAACCATGCGTGGGAAAACAATCACGCGATTGACTTTGAGGGCGCTACCTTGATAGACAAAGGCAATTACCGCGTTCGAAAAACACTAGAATCTTGGCATACCGCAAAAACTGTCGGCGCAGACAATAACTCTAAACCGTTACCAAGACAATATTCTATCGTATTGTAATTAGATTTTGTTCTATTGTCCATTTTTTAGCTTTTCACACTTCTATTGTATTTTTTAGTTTTTTATTTTTTTTTCACACCCTCCCCTGTATATATTTCCACTCACGCGCTTATATTTTTTACATTCGTTAAAGGCTATAGTATAATAGCCGAAAGCTCATATTTTAAAACCTTTTTAACCAGAGAACGTTTTTTCACCTTTTTCATAATGATAATGATGCTAATAACACTTGTTTTGCTTCTAAATTTGTAATAGTCTGCGACGAGGATGCACCAAAGTGGAGACACAAATGCCCAATATGGGCCGCGATGGGGGAATGTGAAATTCGGAAGAAGTTTAGATTCTATGAACATTACTGCCCAAAGTCTTGCAAATTTCCATGCAAAAAAGGTATTTGTCTCTACATGACTGACGCAGAAACTATAATGTGAAGCAACATGGGTTTTCGTTTCACCTCTGTTTTCATCTCTAAATTTTTGGTCTGGTATAGTTTTCTAGTGCATTGGTTTTTCTTTACATAGGAGGGTACAGAAAGGTGTTGGACAGAAACTAAGACATTTCGGATGCAAATATGACATTTAAATATTACATTTAAGGTCGAGCTGGCAATGTGACCAAGAATAAACTCGCCTATTGATTTGATTGCACGTACAGCTGTAGATGGCCTCAAATTGAATATAACCTCTCCATCTTTGGCACCATTAGCTTAGCGCTGTTGTAAAGGTTCCTTTTGGATGTCATACAGGATCGTAAGTTGCAAATTGACCGCCCATATCACGGTTGTACGGGTAGGATTTTTCAGAGGTGAAACTCCATGAAAATCACTCCGATTGTGATAAGAGTATAAAGAAAAACAGGATATCTGAATTTGTGATCCGGAAACGTTAAAGTTGAGAAGGGAAGAGTTCTTTGAGTGCTCGTCAAATCTAAAGTTTTACATTTGTCTCCATACTTAACTTACAGAGCCAACTGTGAATCCCAACGCGACAAAGCCGCCTTCACCTCCAGGTTAAATCTATTTGCCATTTAGGTTAAAAATAATTTGTATTTATCATTAAAAAGTAAGGATAATTTTTAAAATGACAGGACAAGGTTACACACTGATCGTAAACAACATTTTTGTTAATTAATGAACAAAGATGTATTTTTCCGTCTCACCACGAGCGCGGGGCCAAGAAAAACATTCTGCGTCCTCATGAGAAATCGAACCTCAGACTTCAAATTCCTACCAAAGAAAAGAGCTGACCTTCGCCCACCAAAACATAAATGCATCTCGGCAGGCACAACAATATCAATTTCAAATCACAATTCTGCAAGAACTAATTCATCTATAGTATACAGTATGCAGATAATTATCCATTGCAAAAAAAAAAAAAATTGATCATACATATCACACTTTTTTTTTTTTCCAATTTCAGCTTTCTGTCGCGACCGAGACAGAAATTGCGAGTGGTGGAAGTCATTTGGAATGTGTGAAAATCACGGAAGAAATTCCTCCATGGCCGTTTACTGTGGAGTGACCTGCGGCTTTTGTAAGTATAAATGCAAACTGTTTCAGTTAGATTTTTTTCTTTTATAGCCATAAATAAAAGGTTAAAGGAAGAGGCCGTTAAGAGAAGTAGTCGTTGCGAAGAGGTAGCGATCTGTGGATACCTGCCTAGAAGGCGGCAAATTGCACCCGAAATTTTTGGCAATATTCCTTAAAGGTGCTTTCTTTGGGAAGTAACACGTCAAATAATTAGGATGGATTATTAAAAAAAAAACCCAAAATAATTGAAAATGAATCGTTAATGTATTCTGTTGTTCATGTATCTACTTCTTTAATTATAACTTAATTTGTGTTGATATTTTGTTTTCCTTCCTTCAGGCAAAGCACCTACCCCAGAGGGTAAGATTAAACGGAACAACATCAGTATCTGGGCAACTGCCCACCTACCCCTCCCCTAACCCAAAATTAACCCTAACTTGTTATCAATTGACTTTTGTTGAGTTAGGGGAAGGGCAGGTGGGCAGTTGCCCAGATACTGATATTGATCCGATTAAACACTGTTTGTCACATAAAGGATGAGGTCGAAATAGCCTTAAGAAGCTGATATTTTATGAAACAATCTTCCAGCTTATGGGGAGACTGCAATATTATTCTATTTTTCTTTTTAACGATAAAAAATTGCGATAAAAAAATTTCGTAAAAGCATATTAAAAATATGTCGACGACGTTTCGACGTTGGGCTAACGTTATTATCAAGTCAAAGAGCGAAAGATAAAAATTGTTTAAATACTAAAAAGATAATATGTAATGGAATGTTCTTTTAAACAAAGAGTTTTGCGCGAATGGAATCGGTCTGCGTGTTGAGACAAGGATTGGGCTGCTTGATGAAAGGCATCTCATAGACAAGACAGTAAAGTTTTCCTTGGCACTTTTTTAGAAAGCGGAATTGGCTTTCTTTGAGGAGGCTTGTATCCCCATGGGCTGTCGAAAAGTGCTTACCGATCGCAGAGTTTTTATGTTCAACAATACGTTGACGGAGGTGTCGAGCTGTAACGCCGACATAATCTGAATCACACAGATCACATGTAAAAGAGTAAACAACGCATTGTTGATTTACGATTGGAGGCTTGATTTCTCTGGGCTTGAGGTCTTGTTCCACGCTTTAAACCGTCTTCTTTCTCTTTCAGAATGTTATGACAAGGGAAACAATTGTCAGGAGTTGAAGAATGCCGGACTGTGTAGCTCCACTCGACCTGATATGGAGTATGAAGTCAAGACAAACTGTTTGCAAACATGCGAGTTCTGTGGTAAGGGATTGTAAAAAGAAAAATTATTTATATTATAACATACTGTCGTTATGCTAAGGACAAAAACAAAACAGCCCTGGAATAAATGAAAATAATATTTTCCATTCATATTGTATCATAAAAAACAAATACTTTACAATTTTAACCATGAAAACCAGATTTAACAAAATCTCAGATTTTGAACAATGGAGTGAGGTCGAGTAGTGAGTTTGAGAGAGCTTGAGCCATCATGCAATTAAAAGAGCAACTACTAAGACCTTGTGCATGCATTAAAGGAGCCCCTCGTGTACTGCTGTAACCTTCAGAGTGCGTTTGGCCAAACAGAAAAGGACCAAAAGTGTTCCATCAAAAACGAAACGGATCTTTTATCATATATACCCGTAGCTCTCTCGTTGTATCATTACTTATCGTTTTTGTTTCTCCCTTGTCTTGTTCAGTTCCTAATGGTGGTCCTTGAGGAGTGACGCAGATCCCAAAGAAACTCAGGAATTCTAAGCGTGTTTCATACACAACACGTTATTCCCTCCGCGCTGCAAAAGCTGTAGAATGTTAACATTTCAGAACTAGACGGTAGACTCTGAAACGCTGCTGCAATAATGTAACGAAAAGCCACAATAAAATGCTGATAAAAAGACAAAAAAAGACCGTGAGATATGTGTCCAGCGTTGATTCATCGAGTTAAAAAAAAAGATAGGTCGGTGCTTGTGATGATGCATTAGCTATGATTCAATGTAAAAGAACAAAAATTTGAAACCCTTAGATTCCCTCTTTTATGAGTCAACATAAAGCAGCTGATTTTGGTCTTTAAGGATTTTCTTCCAGTTTTCCATGCCCCTCCCCCTCCCTCCTCCGAGCGAAATTCCAGTAAGGTTTGAAAGCTGCATATAAACTTACATAGATCATGTTCACTGCCTTGAGCATTTGCTGCATATTGAATAAAGACGATGTTAAACTTGAGAGACTTTTTCGTTCGGAGGAACTGATTTAAATTCTATTATACCCTAAAGGATTGAATGGCTCAAGATTTCGGCTGAATAAACCGTTACTGGGGACAATTCATTCCGTGATCTTAATTTTCTTAGAAATTGTTGAAGAAACGCGAAAATTGTTATCGTTTTTTCTTGAATTCAAGTGCCAGAAGTTGATTATTATCATGATTGTAAAATTTAAAAAATTTGTTCAAGTACTAGTTTTTTCGTTACCGAGTCATTTATATGAATACATCGATCATTCTTTTCATTTCAACGAACCTCAGAGAAAAGAAGAAAAAAACTTTCTTTTTTCGTTTTAGATGCATGTGAATCACAACCGGTGAACGTCCAACCGGTGATTTAGTGCTAAACCATTCCGGGATTCTATCTCTTTCGTAACTGATAATCAATTAAAAGACAAAACAAGAAACAAATAAAAACGAAGCAATATGAACTGAGAGACAACGCTGTCGAGCCATCAGAAGAGGCGTTGCGTTGTCCCTTTTTCCTTCTCTCAATATGTTTTTCCTAATTTTAAGAATAGTCTTAATAAACCTTTAAACGAGCGATGATCACAAAATGTTTCACCTTATCCTTTTTTAAACTTTTACCTTTTGTAATCGAATTTCCAAGAATGATGATTGCTCAGCTACTCCCCTCAGTCATCAGAAATCTCTGTTGTTCATATTAAAAACAAAAAGCTTTGCGTTAATGAACTCATCCAACAGTTACACAGCCGCTTGTCTTAAAAGCCAAAGCAAACACTTTCCTTTAGTCATTCAATTATGTTTTTGACTCAGTATTTACGCACCACAGGTTATCTTTTCGCTTTTTTTTTTTCACTTTCTTTGTATAATGTGGTTTCTTTTGAAAAAAATGCTCTTTTTTATTAAGAATTCTGTTCCTAAGTTGAGACCACCTGCTGATGTTTAAATTTTGACATAAGAGCCTTGTTCGACTGTCCTGAAAGTTCCACTGGCGTAACTGGAGGGTATTTCACAGGAAAAAATACCCAATTTAAGAATATGTTTGGCGACCTATCTATGACCGTGCATGATAGAATAGCTAGTTTGTGGCTTTAAAGATTTCCAGTTTAACTGACATAGAATATGTACAAGTTCGAACAGTTTGTAATCAAAGTATAGACAAACATTTATAAGGCGAACAGCCTTTCCCAGAAAAACCACTCCACTAACTATTAGTACAATTATTCCATATCTTATCGTTTTCCTTTTTCTTTCTTTCTTTCTCTCTTTTTTTCCTTTTTTTCTTTATGATTTTTCTATCACGCTGCAAATTGTTTTAGGAGTTTACCTTAGAGACTTCGAGCATGACATAAAATCTGTAATTTCAGGTTACTCTTCAAATTTTATTTTTTTCTCAAAAATGCTTGTTGATTTACAAGGAGGATTACGTTGGGATTTGGAGTGTTTTTGTCAGTTGATTGTGTTAGTGTAAAATACTGCTGTTATCTAAGAAAATTTAATTCATTTTTGCTTTATAAAAACAGACGTGTCAACCTTTAGTGATCACTCTGCAGGATTATCTCAATGAGTAAATCGAGCATTCTTGTTGAGTTCAGAAATTAACTCAAAGCAACTGCATTGATTAAATATTGACTTAGGACAGCTTACTTATTAAAGTCTTGATTGCCCAATAGCTGAAACTTTTGAGATCTAAAATTAACGATAGGAATTAAAGTCCCTGCTCGATCAGCTTCTGGACTCACAGCCATCATAACATTAATATAGAAACCGAAATATATAATAGCGGCTCTAGGTGTGAAAATTGTTGAAAGTAGGCAGTGTCAATCAGTTAGCTCTAAAACGTACTCGGTAATTTGATCATAGGTTATGTCAGCTGTATATACTTTAAGAATGATGTTATTAAGTTTGTTGTGACTTAAGTTCTTTACAACTCGCTGAAGCTGACCAACACTTTAAGTCAACCCATTGTCTAGTGGCGTACTTCTGAAACGATTAATTAGTATTATTGAATAGTTTTTCCATTCTTCCACAATTTTGTCCAACAGCAGAGTTTTCTATATTTTCTCGGGAAAAGTTTCACGCTTGTACCTGACTTGTTGCCTAAAAGATTTGAAGGTAATTTAGTGTTAACAACTGGGTTGAAAATGTAAATTAGCCACCGTAAAGAGTAAAAAAGCTGACGTTTCGAGCGTTAGCCCTTCGTCAGAGCGATTAGAGGAATTGTGGGTTGTGTGTGGATTTATATGTAGAAAGTGGAGCTACGCCATTGGTGGGAATATGGTGACGAAAAAACAGGAATAAATTAGTTGAATGAAAAGCGCTCGTTGATTCCGTGGGGATTAAGGGTGCCGATTTGAAATATAAATTTTTGTTCCAGTGTTTTACGGCTTTCCGAACTGCCTAGATGTAAGGAAAGGCCGCAAACTGCCATATGCTGTTTAGAATGATAAGGAAGATTAAAGTGTCTAGCGACTGGCTTGGATGCGTCCTTGTCATTTATTTCCACATCGCGAAGGTGTTCTCGGAATCGGTCACCCAGTCGTCTTCCTGTCTCGCCGATGTATAACTTATTGCAATAAGTGCAAGTTATGCAGTAAATAACATTGGCGGAGGTACACGTAAAGTGATCAATGATCTTAATGGATCTTTTGGGTCCCGATTTTTTCATGACAAAGAGGATGATTCTAACACCTCGAACAAAGATACTTTCGAAACACTCCAGATTCGAAAGTCTAAATGGACTCCCCCTGAGGGCCAGTTCTCATCTTTAGATTTTTTCCTTAAAAAATGTCGCCACGATATCAACAAACTTAAATTCAATCGTAACACCAAATTTTCCAATCTTTCTTCGGAAGAGTGGGCGGCACTAAAAAGTCTAAAAAAACGCAAAGACATTGTCATTAAGGCGGCCGACAAAGGCGGTGCAGTTGTTGTTTGGCGGGCCGACCTCTATCAAAAAGAAGCTTTGCGGCAACTTTCTGACACCTCCTTTTATGCTAAAGTCGACAAAGATCTCACTTTAATTAACCAAAACATTGTCAAAAATACGATTAACGATCTCATAGCTAAACAAGAATTGCCGGCCACTGCTAAAAATCTCATCATTACTACTCCTAGAACTTCGTGTATTTACTTTTTACCTAAAATCCACAAATCTAACAACCCAGGTCGACCCATCGTTTCTGCCTGCAGTTGTCCCACTGAACTTATTTCCAGCTATTTAGACAAAATTATGGCACCTATCGTCAAAACTCTACCGTCTTACATTAAGGACAGCCAACACGCACTTGAAATTTTTCGTGACTTTAGTTTCCTCGACCAAAACAAACTTATTTTCACCATGGATATAACATCTCTTTACACTGTCATTCCCAATGACGAAGGTCTCCGGGCCCTCAAACATTTTTTCGATCAACGCACTGTTAAGGAACCTAGCTCTGAAACACTACTCCGTCTGGCCGAACTAGTACTCACACTCAATTGCTTTTCATTCGGTGGTAACTACTACAAACAAACTAATGGCGTGGCCATGGGTACTAAAATGGGACCCAGCTACGCCAATCTTTTCGTAGGTTTTATCGAACATCAATTTTTCAGCCAATACCACGGCCCAAAACCTCAACTCTACGGCCGCTACATTGACGATTGCATCGGCGCTACCTCCTCTACCAAAGAGGAGCTCACTCAATTTATAACCGCCGTCAATTCCTTTCATCCGGCTCTTAAATATACCTGGGAAATTTCCGACAATTCCTTGGCTTTTCTAGACATCAAAATTTCAATTGAAGGCAACGGCTTATGCACTAGTGTTTACTACAAACCTACAGATTCACATAGTTACTTGTTGTATTCATCCTCACATCCATCACACGTCAAGAACTCCATACCTTTTTCACAGTTTCTCAGACTTCGTCGTTTATGTAGTGACGACTCTGATTTTTCCGAAAAATCAGAGGCAATGTGCCAGTTTTTCGATAAACGCGGCTATCCTGTTTCTGTCGTTCAAGCGGGCTACCACCGTGCCCAACAAATCGATCGACAGGCAGCACTACAAACGGCCGAGAAGGAGAAACCGGATCGCATTCCATTTACTCTTACATTTCACCCTCACAACCACGCTATTAAATCTATCATTCTTAAAAATTTTAAATTACTCCAAAACGATTCAGAGACTGGCACTATCTTTTCGCAACCCCCACTTATTTCATTCAAACGTGACAAAAACATAGGCAACTTTTTAGTCAGGAGTTCATTTCAAACCAATGACCAATCTGGAACTTTTAAATGCGCTCGCTCACGATGCAAAACTTGTCCTTTCATTCATAACGTAGAGAAAATATCGGGACCCAAAAGATCCATTAAGATCATTGATCACTTTACGTGTACCTCCGCCAATGTTATTTACTGCATAACTTGCACTTATTGCAATAAGTTATACATCGGCGAGACAGGAAGACGACTGGGTGACCGATTCCGAGAACACCTTCGCGATGTGGAAATAAACTAGACAAGGACGCATCCAAGCCAGTCGCTAGACACTTTAATCTTCCTTATCATTCTAAACAGCATATGGCAGTTTGCGGCCTTTCCTTACATCTAGGCAGTTCGGAAAGCCGTAAAACACTGGAACAAAAATTTATATTTCAAATCGGCACCCTTAATCCCCACGGAATCAACGAGCGCTTTTCATTCAACTAATTTATTCCTGTTTTTTCGTCACCATATTCCCACCAATGGCGTAGCTCCACTTTCTACATATAAATCCACACACAACCCACAATTCCTCTAATCGCTCTGACGAAGGGCTAACGCTCGAAACGTCAGCTTTTTTACTCTTTACGGTGGCTAATTTACGTTTTCAACCCAGTTGTTAACACTAAATTACCTGCTATACTCTCCCACCGACGCAGCACCACAGTTTCTTTAGAAACTTACCCCTTTATTCATTTAAAAGATTTGAAGACTTATTGTTGAAGTGAAGCCTGGAAATTTATCGTATAAAAACTCAGAAATATAACAACAAATCGCAATTCATTCTCGAAAGCTATTGTTTACAGTGTTGCTCTTTTCGTCCATAATTGCTGATTTTTAAAATCTCTATCATTTTTTAAAAGAGATACCTTCTTCTTTTTAGGCAGCAGAGTAAGCAAAGTAAATAAGGAAATTCGTTTCCTCAGAGGTACAACAGGATAGAAAAATTAAATCAAGCCTCAAAGACAAAGATGAAAGATTCAAAATACAGATCCATCGGCGTCTGTATACAAACACTGTCTAGAATGTATAGCTCAGACCAAGCTAAACACTTTTGATTGTATTTATCAATTAATCTCAGTCTTGGAACAGCTAAGCACAGATTGATAAAAGAGAAACTGTCTTTTCTTCTGTTTTAAATCAAAGATCATATCAATACATTTACGTTAATGCAGTTATGCTATAATAGCGATATTTTTCTGTTTGGCCAGATAAGTGACTCGGTTCAGTGTTTCAATTTTTTAAGGGCTCCACATTTAAAGTGAACAGTTTCGTTTGTAGAGAAATTATTAAGCAAATAGTGCCTTTATTCATCATTTCTTTAAACCTTTTTACATTTCATTTTCCACGACAAGTATGTTGATTCACAGGTAGAAAGATGGAGTTGGGTTTTGTCGTCAGTTGAGTGTGTTTGTATGGAATACAGATGCATGATAGAATTGAATTGATTGTCTTTACTACTTTATTGAAACAGGCGATTCAAATCCTAAACCTTCTTGAGCAGGGACAATTCCGAGAGCAGATCTTTTGTTCTTGTTTCAGTTCTGCACTTAATCAAAAGTAATCAATTTGATAAGGTATGGAGCAAGTCATTGGTCTAATAAAAGCTTTTACCATTTTGAATTGCGCAATAGGAAAAGCAACATTTTGAAATTGTTATCGGACGATGGTAATCAACGATCTTTGTTGTTTATACACGGCTGGAGATTATACGGCAAACGTTATCGATCAAGATTTAAAAGTACACTGATCAAAAGTATAATGGACATCAGCAGTTTTAATCCATATTATTCTTTTCATTTATTCAATGAGTTTTATATTTGACCATGCATTATGTCGTCTGTATTAATTTTAAAAATGATTTTGATCAAGTTCATTTTGATTCAACCATGACTGATGTCTCTAATTGCTGATAAAGTGTTGAGCAACACATGATATTTATTCACTATCCAGTTGTACACATCTTAAACGACTGTTGAAAAGCTTTTCTCTTCATCCGTAATTAATTAATTAATAAATTAATTAATGTAGCAGAATTTTTATGGAAATTGATGGCCACCAGCTGTGGATAGTCCCTTGGGTTAATTTTTTCTCCTTTATTGGATTTGCAGAATGGAGAATTTAAAATCTTAATGTCGAAGAAAAACTTGAAAATAAGATATGCGAAATGTTATAATAAAAACAAAAGACTCGACTATTTCCTAGTCCGTACTTGTTTTTTTCTAATCACAGTCGTTAATTTTTAATGTCTAACTTTTTAAAAGTAATTTTCGTCAATCGTTTTGTTGTTTATAGCAGTTAAGATAACATTAGGTATTGAAAAATTCAAAAAGTAAGCAAGAGGACAAAATATGCTTGGAGGCGTTTGCAAATAACCTTTGACTTGAAATATAGCTTAACCCAAGCTTAATAACGTGTTATCTCAATTATCAATTTACGTAAAATGTGGAACGGCCATGCAAAACTAAACCAATCAAGAATTTTTTTTTTTTCAGTCTACATCAATGCTTTCAGATTAAATGCAATTATACCGAAAGTAGGAAATCCTTTTGTGGTTAGATGGACTTCAAGTGGCTTTTAGTTCTCACAAAAGTCGCATTAAACTAATGCTTTAACTTTTCAAGTTACGAACATCCCAAAAGCAAGCAAAGTTTGCTTTAGTTTCTCTTGTGGGCAGTAAAAATGTTTATACACCATGGCAAAATTTGAGCAATCTTCCATTTGCCAATAAAAATGTTTGTTGATAAACAAAGTTGTGATTGGCATGTATGAGTATAAATAAATCCCTGAAGGGGAAACTTTTTGCAGTCATCTTTGATACAGAGAAGATGATTTTTCTGGTGTTACTGCTTTTGGGATTCACGGCTAAGGGTAAGAACATCCTTCAAACACAACTTTGTCCCTTAAGTTTTTTTTTTTATTTCTTATTCTGGTGCAAGCTGTTTGGGTGAAGCTTCCTAAACTGTAACAACGTCTTAGAAGTTACTAAAACTTAGCGTATTATTTACAGCACTGCTCGAGGGAATTTCATCTCTTGGTTTCTGTTAATTATAATGAAAAAGAGTTATCACCATTTGCATGAAATCTTATGTACTTTTATTTTTTCTCCAGCACACGGTATTTCAAACGTTGACACACTTCAGTTTCACCCTCATCGTCACGTCTGAATTGTTTTTCTCGTTCTTTCAGCACTCGTTATTTTCTTTTTTTTTTCGTTAAAAAGCCATGCTCCTTTCATCATTAGGTAATGTCCTCGTAAGTAGAATTAGGATGTTCAATCTTGAGCTCAGTCGTAAAACAAAGAGGGAATTTCTTCATATTTCGTGCGTGTGAGACCAACGACTTACTACTAAGTTACAGACCCATATACCAATTTCACATATCACATGCGTCCTGCAAATTATTCACATCAACACTATCGAAAGTTTCACTTATATTGATCTGCGAGTCGATCTTATTTAGGAGCTCTTATTTTTTCCTTTTCATACCCTTGTGACCATCAAAGAACAGTAGAATTAGGTCATCAATCCTGTGTCCAGCTATTTACTTCACTGGATGAGTCAGGTGCAGCTTGTTTGTGTGTTTTTCTTTGCAGGGCAGCAGCTGCCATGTGGCAGTACGCCTATTCCTCAGTCACGAGTTATAGGAGGACAAGATGCCAAACCTGGGGCTTGGCCATGGCAGGTAAGTCCAGTGGTGGCACGGATACGTCTTTGCTTTTCAGTGAATGCCTGATTTATTCTACTTGCTAGCATAGAAAAAAGGTCATAAAATTAAATGATTGATCTCCTAACGCACGTCGCGCCCTTCGTATAAATACGTCCTGAAAATATTGAAGCCTTCCCACCTAAGCTTTGTACTCCTAAAGTAGAGAAACGTAAAACCGTTTTCATATCATCTTTCCTCTAACAGATAGCTCTGAAACGAAATGGAGGGTTTACCTGCGGAGGATCACTGATTTCTGATTCGTGGGTCATTACAGCCGCCCACTGCGTGGCAAGGAGTTCGTAAGTATCCACTTGCAGTTTTCATGAACATGTTACCGATAATTCAAAAATCCATATTCAGAGCTATTTACCTGGCTTGACTTGAGAGTAATGTTTTTTTTCCTCTTCCATTTCTTTATGATTTAACATTACTACAAAATCCCAGAGTTAACACCTAATACACGTTCCTTACAATAGCAATTGGCCTGCATGTAGAATAGAAGTTTAATAGGATCGGAAGGTGTTTTTCTTACCCTCGTGAAAGTTTCACTTGCATCAAGCGAAATAACAACTAACACTAATGCATCTTTGTAATTTTCTTTGTTTTGTGTCATTAGAAATCCTGCCTCATACAAAATTGTTGTTGGCGATCATAATCGAAACACAAACGAGGGAACCGAGGAAGAGGTTGGGGCTCAAAGAATCATTAGCCATCCATCATACAACAGACCCAGCCCCATCAACAATGACATAGCCTTGATTAAACTGTCCAGACCAGTAAAGCTTTCTCAAAGGGTGAATCCCATATGTTTGCCATCATACGACTCAGATGTACCTACTGGATCAAAATGTTACATAACGGGTCAGTCAAACTTTCCCCGTGATATACAGATTTAGCTTAGCCTAAAAGCGAAATTCCAAGTTTGTTTTCCTTCGAGATTCAAATCGGTGTGTTAAGACATAATTAGACGGGACCAGTGCTAGGATAGGTGACTTTCAAAATTTTCTGTAATGTGTAGTTTTGGTTTTATTTATTTATTTTTTTTCAAATTTAGCATCATTAAGATTTGAGGTACATTATTGATTAAAATAAATGATAATCAAAGATCTTTAGCTTCTCAAATAACGCTTAAAAAGTCACATTTCGCTACGTCTGCATAGTAAATTTAACTAACTTCAGAACATGTTGGCCATAGGAAAGGGGGATCAATATCAGTACCTGGGCCACTGTCCACCTACCCCTCCACTAACCCAACATTAACCCTAACTTGTTATCAATTGACTGTTGTTGAGTTAGGGGAGGGGTAGGTGAACAGTTGCCCAGATATGGATATTGATCCGGAAAGGATTCGCACATACCATCGGTTTGTTTGCAAACGGAATGGAAAGCTCTACAAATTAAAGATGACAGCATAGATTATAAATCAGCGTACACACCATGTAAACGTATTTCTTAAATATAGCAAATTGACTTAAATTTCAGCCACGGCTTAAGGCAAGAGAAAATAATGTCCCATTATATCTTGCTTAAGGTCATTCTAAGAACACTAAATGCATCAGTATGCAGTTCGAAAATTCTATTTCACTTTCAACTTTCTAGCATCCAACCGCTATCTAGCTTTCAACGGCAGAACGCGGACCTATTCATCTGACTAAAGATATTTTAGAAACAAACTAAGGTCCAGGTTTTATCCTTGGCCTAGGAGACAAACATCACGTTGATTATCGACAGTAGAAGAGTAGAAAATTTCCTTTGAGAAAACCGCAATGTTGGACGACGAAATTACAAAAAAGGATCATAAAACTATAATGCTGATGTATAAAATTTATCAGTTCTGGCTTGTTTTTGAAAGAAGAAAGGAGTCCTGCAAGCTTTTTTATCTCATTACTCTACAAATTGTACCAGTGGTTGCCATGGTAATACTTCAATTGCTTCGTCGGTCGATCGCTTCAAGTGCTGAGTATTTTTTGTCAGAGTAATTTGAAATTATCAACGTACTGAGTTTTTAACGTAAATTGGCCACCGTTTAGAGTTTCAAAGCTTACGTTTCGAGCGTAAGCCCTTCGTCAGCGCCCTTTGCCCTTTCGCTCTGATGAAGGGCTAAAGCTCTAAACTCTCAACGGTGGCGAATTTACGTTATCAACTCAGTTGATAGAACTAAGTTAATTTGGTATCTTCTCCCACTGATGCAGCACCATAGTCTCTTCAGAAACTTACCCCCTTTATTAATTTGTTGATAGGTTGGGGAAAAATAAAACATCCGGGAAGTTCGTATCACATCTTACAACAGGCCATGATGCCACCGATCGACAACAATAAATGCAAACAAAAGATCAGCCAGGCAGGAGGTACTTTGTTGAAATTAACATAAGGTAGAAAAGTTTTAATCAAAAGATGAAAGATCTTTGCAGTTAGATACACAAATTGTATAACAAGGGAAAAACTCATAAAAATGTATGTTTAGCCGGGATTTGTGTGGATTTGAGTCCGCATGTCCCTCCCGCCATATCGGTATCGATGTATTTCACCTCTCAAAACTGCCATTCCGCAGTTAAAAATATATTATCACTATTATTATCATTATTACTACTATTTTAGGCTTTTATAAATCGATAAGTTTTTATTGATCTCTGTTACGATATCTGTTAACCGACAGAAAGAACTATACTCCTGCAAACTCAACTACTTTATTAAACATCATGCCATGAGCTAATTCTTACAAAGAAGCGACTCCTATAACCAATACCAACAATAACGTACCTCGAAAACCTTACTTAAGTCCATTACAGACAATAACTTAGTTTAGCACCGACGCGAATTCCCTGTTATCTCTAAATCTCCTTGAATTGAACAATCCTTGAGTATCCATGTCACCATGACTTAGCATTTTAGAAATTTCCCTCTCCATAAACATATCTCGTTACCTACCTATGAGATTATATTAGAGAAATGGTTTGACGTTCTCAAAGCTCTCTAAGTCAACAAGAAGATGTATTGTCATGGTAACAATATGCAGAAAAACAAAAATTGATTACTTTTTTTTTCATTTTGAACCTCACTTAAGTGTCAATACCCTTTACTCGCGAGATGCTTTGTGCGGGCGTGGAGAATACCATTCTGAGTGGTTGTCATGGTGACAGTGGAGGTCCTTATGTGTGTCTGAACTCAGACAAGAAAACTTACACCTTGCATGGCGCTGTCAGTTGGGGGTCTGGACAGTGTAATGCCAAGATGATTTTCACCGTATTTGCCCGAGTGACAAGATTCCGAGCTTGGATCAAACAGTACACTAATTTGGATGGAGGAGGAGGAGGTTTGTAACAATTATAAAATCATTTTATTCTTTTAAACAATTTCAAACGATGTTTGATTCCATTATCATTATCGTTATTGTCATCATTATCCTCATCATCATCATTTTTATTCTCATCGTCATCATTATGATCATTACCATTGCTATTATTATAATCATTAACATAATCATTATTGTATCATTCATTATTATTATTATCATTATTTTTGTCATTCATACAAAAATGCCTGCTGATGGGACTAGTATATGGCAAGTGAGAAATAGCTCACCTAGGATTACACTAAAAAATGCGAATGTGGAAGCGATCTTCGCAGTGCAGAACAGTACTTAAGCAGTAGTGAAAACAGAGCCTGAAAAAAAATTAGGCCTGTATGGGATTTGAACTACTGCTTGGGTAGTGTTCATTACTGCGAAGATCGCTTCCATATTTATTGTATGACTTTCATATATTTACATTCACTAAAAGATATATTAGAATTCTTCTCACATTTCCTATCTTAAAAAAGAGTTCTGTTATTGTAGCAACCCGGTGCGAAAGGATTTTAAATGTACCATGCTCACCAAAGTTAGTGATTTGTTTGATGGCACATTTTCGTAATTGGCTAACCCTGATCAATAGTAAAGCTCAATTAAATCAAAATTGTTATAAAACTATTTAAGTCACTTTGATGATAGATATAAAGATGAGGCAATATCAACCTTGGGTGTGTTTGCATTGATAGGAGGAACACCACCGACACCACCGGTGCCAACAACCGCTGGGAACGCTGGTAAGGGCGATGAATTTGTTGGAATTAACAGTTAGCTGAGCTTCAGGAGAGGGTCTCAATGAGATTGGACGATAGCCGTAAAACGTCCTAAAAACTTAACCGCTAGGTGTCAAAATTGGCAAATTTGAACCTTAAGTCGTTGAAAAAGGTAACCGTAAGTAGAAATTTCCGGTGACAACAATGAATGGTGTAAACCGTTAGCCATAAAATGGCTAAAATTTTAACCTTTAGCCATAAAAACCCATTACCCTATTGAGACCCTCTTAGTGCAGCCAAGAAAATCGACACAGCAAAATTAAACAGCCTCAGTTTGTTATCATATCAGAGCATTTTTGGAACATTTTCACGACTTCAAAAAATCATGAGAGGAAATGTACATTCTATATGTAGCAGTGGGTCTCGTAGGAAACCACGGTACACAGATTCAATCGGATTTCAGAGCCTTTATTCCACAGATGAGCGCGTGTTGGCTCCGCTAACTCCTCAGCTTCGTACAACAGTTGCTTTTGAAAAACACTGTCGACCAAAACCACAAGGCTTTTTATGCCATTAGGGGGCACAATTATGATATGATAACACCGTCCCTTAAAAGCTTGTCCTTTGGTGACGCTCACGTAGCGCTGGTAACTAGCATAACGAGACTCCACTACATTAACAAAATTTTAGCCTTTGTTGCCTTTGTAAGGATGAGGCGATATTTTATGGTCCATCTCATTTTTATTGTTATCTTTATTCATTTTATGGTAGTGTAAAGTTTTTTCACCATTGTGGTTTGTCTCCAACAGTGTTCTCGTGCGACTTTGATCAAAATTTGTGTGGATTTGTTCAATCAAAAAATGACAAGTTTGACTGGACTGTTAGATCAGGAAGTACACCTTCTTCTTCTACTGGGCCAAGTGCAGATGCCTCTGGAAATGGTAAATAACTTTATTTGAAATACTTTTATGTTTGTGCATTTTCAACTTTCGATAAGACAACACTGCTCCCTCTTCAATCAGACAAAGGTTCTCTTCAACATATGTGTCGCTCATTTACATAATGACACAATTTGAATGGGTCTGAGGAATCTCGGCAATGCTATTGAATATTACGAGTTTTTACCGAAAAGTGAGCCATTGCCTTCAATCATCATGGTACAATGCAAATTTTGCTGCATTGAAAATATTTCGTTACTAGATCACGATCCATACCAGCCTTACTGCGAGCTCTATAAATACGTCTTTCGGAAAATGAATTATCAATCTTCATTGCCCTGCTCATTTTAATCAATCTCTACAGGAAAATATGCATATATCGAGACTTCTTCTCCAAGAGTACAAGGGGACAATGCTAAGCTTGTAAAAGACGGTTTGTCCTTCAAAACGAAGAAATGTTTGTCATTCTACTATCACATGAACGGAAATACCATGGGAACATTAAACGTGTTTGTGGGGCAAAGGAAAATATTTTCTAAGTCAGGAAATCAAGGAGATCAGTGGAAAAAAGCATCAATCGATGTGACTGACGCTGGAGCATCAGAGGTGGGGTCGAAATAAAAAAAATTGTCTTCTCACTTGTTTGTAAAACACCTAACATTTTAATAAAGTAAAATTAAGCGGGTTAAAAAATTCTAAGAAGCTGATACAGAAAGTTTTAGTCTTTCAATAATTTGTTCATTCATCGGTCATGCAATGGTGTGGGAAGGGAGGCTAATGTCAAGGGGAATTCATAGGTCAGGAATAGACAAACTACTTTTAAACGAGCATAGATGGAGCTTTCAGAGTGTGGAGAAACTTCGACGTTTTTATATAACCTTTCAGCTCACCTCAACCGATAGAAATTACTAAAATAAAGGGCGTAGCTTCTTGTATCACCATGTAACATATTTTAGTGACGCGATCAAACGCCGCGGAGTAAGTAAAACTTTCAGTGTTGTCGAAACGGCGTTTATTCATGGGCGGCGCTAATTTCAATATCACAATTCTTGAGGAAGCAAAAAACGGGTTTCACGTCGCGCCAAATGTTTCGGATTATAAAATTAGGAAATTTCTCAGCACGGTTTGTTTGTGTGATTACACAACTATACGTTGGGCTTTATTATTGGAACAAGGCATTGATCGTGAAGTATCTGATGTACCAGGCTCCGTCGCACATTTTTTTGACGCAAGTATGAGTATAAATTTCACATCATGAAAGACAATGGGAAAAGTATGCAAGAAAATCAGTAATAAGGGCAAAGCATTTTTGAAACTAAAATCTGCACTTTGACTGAGACTAAAGCCGCACTTAGAGCTCAGATGAAGAGCAAAATAACTCAGTCACAATTCAAGTTTGATGAACACCTTGATATACAGATACCTTTCTTTTCAGTTGATATTCGAGGGCATTCGTGGAAGTAGTTATAGAGGAGATGCAGCCATCGACAACGTGGTGCTGATGGAATGTGGCAGTGGCGGTGGCGGCGGCGGCGGAGGAGGAGGAGGAGGTGGTGGCTGTGGTGAGTCAGTTACAGAAGAAGTATTATACAGAAACCATACAACCTCGAGATTCTCATCCCGTGATAGTTGATGAAGGTGAAACCCAATCGACCATCACGCATAGAAATTGAGAACCATTTCTTTTGAAACATAAATCTACTAGTCGATCAAAACTTAACAACAAGAAAAGTCATGTTTTCAGTTTATTTTGTTAACAATCGAGAACTGTCAGGCCACTCACTCGACGAGTCGATGTCGAGTACCTTAGTTTATCAGGTTGCAGCATTGGTGATAGAACACTCGCGTTAACGTGTTTGAAAATTATGTTCAAATTTTCTTAAAATTTGATGACGCTGCCATTTTGATTCTTTCTTAGCAGCCTAATTACTTGCCTGAGACGCAGCCAAAGCTCACCATTCCTTTTTCCATCTCTTGGCCATCAGTTTGGCTAGACCCGAAGAATTGACAAGCAAATTGTTTCCTTGCAATCCCTAATTTTTGGCTTTAATTTCTGGCATTATTTCGTTATCAATTCATTCATTTCATTTCTCTCAGGATCTTCACCCCCTCCAATAACAGCTGCGCCCCCTCCCGCACTTGGTAAGTGTTTTTTTCTCATATTAGTAAAAACATTTGGGAAGACACCAAAACACCCAACACTTCTTCCGTACAGTTTTTTTTCTCGATGCATTAAGATCTTAGTTTTTGCATTGACAGTAACCGTTTCTCCGTAACACTGGTGAGTCTCAGTAAAACCCATGGAAAATTCGTTTGATTTGATTGATGTTCCCCTTTTCCCTCCTACAAACAATAAGTCAATTTGGTTTTCTACAACTGGGTTGATAATGAAATGGCCGCCGTCGAGAATTTCTTAAGTGGACTTTTCGAGCGTCAGCCCTTTGTCAGAGCAAAAGCTCAAACAACCGAAGGTAAAAGCGTGAAGATCATCTGCAAGGCAATGGAGGTGAAACTGCGAAGATATTATGCCTATAGTTCTTTCAATGTTTTGTGAATTGTAAAAGAAAAATCCCGCACAGTTTTGTCTTTTCGCGTTCTGGGTGTTTGGCTATCTGGTTTTACAAACTATCACAAAGGGCGTAATAAGATCAAAAACAACAAAAACATAAGCAACGACAATAATAGCAACAGCAACAACCACGACAACGAAAATTACTTATTGTTGACAGAAATTTTAATTTCCGATGATTTCCTTAATTAATTTATAGAACTTTCTGGATACATGTATTTATTTGCATTCAGAGGCACAGCCAGCGTTTTTTTCGACTTATTGTGGGTCTGTCCCTAAAGAAAGTTCAATGTTTGTTTCAACATTTGAAAGAGTCATATCATAAAAGTCAAGCGCGTGGAAAAAATTTTTGCCGGGCCTGCAGGCCTATCATGAGCCATGACACCCTACTGCCCTGGGCGACAATGAAGGCGCGGTCACTGTCACCAAAAGAAACGCACCATTCTGACAACATTGAAATGAAGAGGAGCGGAGGATATTAAAATGTTTTATTCACATATTCCAAAATAGCATCTGAGGTATCAATGTCGCCAGAAAAAGATAGCGGCTTTTCAATGACTACAAGGTCATCATTTATCACATGCATGTAAGTCGCGAAATACATCAAGTTGGCATCCTTGAAAGCGCTCTGAGATAAGTAATAACCATGCAATTCGATTACCGCGTACTTATCCCTTTTAATATTTTTTTCTAAAAGGTTCTTGCGGTATCCGTCCACAAAGCAGGATCGTTGGTGGTGTCGCCGCTAAACAGGGTGACTGGCCATGGCAGGTTCAGTTACGAACCACAAGTGGCTTTCCCTATTGTGGAGGTTCCCTTGTCAGTTCCGGATGGGTCGTTACGGCCACTCACTGTGTCAGGGGTAAATCGCCAAGTTCCATTATCGTAAGGTAAACCGTTTCTCAAAATCTACATTTCGCGGTACTTCATCCAATCTAATGTAGACCTCCTCAAAATGGCCATCAAAGACTTCCTATTATCGTAGGGAAAATCCATGCCCTGATGAAGGATGAACACGGTCAGAAAAAGTATACTTTAAAATTTCAAGTACAGGTGCATGCAACATAAATTGGCGAAAAGATAGCAGATTATAAATATATGCTACTACCTTCAAGGAATCAGTTTTGCTTAGTGCAAAAATTGTTTTTAGTTCGTTTCGAGATACTTAGCCAAAACTGGCATTTAACTTCGATGTATTTTTTAGGAGAACGCAAGCTCCTTCCTCTTTTTTGCGACTTCACTGGTCACAAATCATGAATCATCTCTTGCGAACGGCATTCAATTCCATCTCTTTTGATTACATCAAGATACTCTCGGCCAAAGTCGACTTGGGTGGACATGAAAAAAAAAAAATCAACTAGTGCGAAGAAACACTTTATAGCTGATGGCTTTACTTATTCTTTTCTTTGTTTTGTCTCCTTTTGTTATTTAGAGCTGGTGCCCATAGACGTGTTAAAAATGTTGGTACTGAGCAGGACTTGAAAGTGATCAAAGTTATCACTCATCTATCTTATCACAAGCCAACAACATATGCTCACGACATCGCTCTACTCAAACTGGAGAAACAAGCTCAGACTAACAGGTCTAATAAACATGAATATTAACCTCCTCGCTATAAATATCTCACCTGTTTGATGGCACAAAAAATCAATTTCTGTTAATGGAGAGCACGTTTTTGTTGAGTTTTACTAAATTTTGGTAAACAAATTAGTCAAAACTCTTCAGTCACTGCAGCATATCTCTTTTAGTTTAATGTATACATGTAGGAAACTCTAGTTACCCAAAAAATTTGAAATATATATTATTACAGAAAACGCTCCCTGGAAGAAGGAGAGCTAACTTCAAATCACCTATGATTAAGAAAAGTTGCAAAAAATCCCTAAGGTTTTTCATCTATGTATGTTTTGGAAGAACATGACTTCAAGTCACTGAGCTAGAGAGATGGTCTCTCTATCCATACAGTAACCGAACACTTACTGGAGATTTCTTTCTCTAGGTTTGTTAACCCGGTATGTCTTCCCGATGCCGTCTCTGAACCAGCTGACGGCACCAGATGCTGGATCACGGGTTGGGGCCGACTTTCTTCCGGGGGTGCTACACCAGACTATCTTCAGCAAGTTCAGGTCCCGGTGGTAAGTCGAGCTCGTTGTGATAAAGCCTACCCGGGGAAGATCCACGACTCCATGATCTGTGCAGGCCTGGACCAGGGAGGAATAGATTCCTGTCAGGGGGATAGTGGGGGACCAATGGTTTGTGAGACCGGAGGGAAGTTTTATCTGCACGGTGCCACCAGCTGGGGTTATGGATGCGCCAGTCCTGGCAAGTTTGGTGTCTACGCGAAAGTGAAATACCTGTTGAAATGGCTCAGAGGAGAGATGTCAAAGAACTAACTCAAGGAAATGTCGATTGATAGTACTTATTGGTGCTCTTCTAGCACATGAGAAACAGAGGGGTTAAATTGTGTAGCTAATGAGGGAAATAAAGGCATTTAAAAAAGAATCAGTTACTCGTCCGCTCTCGTTCCTTTGTAGTGATATTTAATCAGAGAAACACAGAAGGATTTCAAAACTCATTTCTCTTGCAAAGCTCGAGCCGTTTCACGCCTACATACGTTGACGTGCTAAAGACAAAAGATCTTCATAAAAGAATAACCTCATGAATGGTAAAATTGAAACAGCTGGGGCTGCCGTTCCCGATTACCTACCTCGATGAGAGATACATTAGGTTTCGGGAGGGGGAGGGTCGTTTCGATATAAAAATAGATTCGTAACTCATCCCGATCAATGATAGGTACAGCTTTCGCTTGGTTGAAGGTGACCATGTAAAGGCAACAGAAGATCTCCGTGCATCATCTGAACATCTCTGTTTTGGTTATGGGTTAGTCTTGATGAAACTCTCCCACTGAACTCCTCTATTGTCACCATTAATTCTGAGTGACTTGCATAAGTGCTGGCTATGGTATGCACTTAAATACGCGAAGAGCTCTTTTGACTTTATTGAAAAAGTTTAGGTTCAGGTCCCAACGATCACTCGTGCTAGCTGTGATAAAGCCCACCCAGTGAATTATGACTTTACGATCCGTGTAGGCCTGAACCGTTGGTTTTTTAGACTGAGGGGAGATTCTATTTGTTTGGGGCCACCAGCTGGTGTTATGGATGTGCCAGTCCTAGCAAGTTTGTTTATTTTTACTCTGAGTTCTCACTGGCTCCTTGTAAAATTCTCCTATGCTGTGACTGGCTGTTGTGACTACTTTGTGTTTGGTTTTACGACACTCAATCGAAATGGGTTCTTGCGGCTCAATGCATGACCTGGCGCACGAACAGCTTTCAACGATTAATTTTGGTGAGCTACAGTTTACTTACTTCGAACAGACTTCTCTGAAAGATTTTAACGATTACTGGTACTGACGACTTACCTACACTATCAACAAACTGAACGGAACCAAAAGATCGAAAGCACCGAATCAAAACGCAACTTAGCTAGGCCCAAAAGCAAAGAGCATAACGGCAGTTACCTGACCAGTCAGTTTTTAGGCAGCAGACTGAAAATGTTCGCCGGGAAAACTGCAACCAACTTGATTGTAATGACTACTGCTGCTCACGTTGTCGAAACTTGTCTCTTTCGTCGAAATCAGTCCTTCTAAGGAAAACACGGTGCACTGAGCAGTACAATCGATCAGCAATCAAACCAAACAATTTGTATTCTTCTGGATCTTTATGTTCCTCTTCAAATGCTGCACAGAAACTTTCCAATTGGAAACTAACTTTTCCACGATTTACAAAATTGACACAAATTTGGAAATTTGACGAAAAATGCAAGTTAGGGCAATAGCAATCGAACCTAATGATATTCAAATACAAATTAAAGAATGTTACGAAATGGTGTATATGTAGATATTCTGCCGCAGTGAAATCATCCACAATTTTTTTGGCAATGCATAATAAATATTTTGAAGCTGACATTATTATTGCTTTTATTTTATTCTGGGATGCATTGCCATCGTTTGAAAAAAAAAAGTATTCCAGTGTGCAATCAAAATGCCATCATAATACGCGACCCGAAGCCAAGGCTTTGGGTAACATAACAATTCCAGTGAATAAATTGCTTCTATTACGAAATCTACATGTACATGTACATCTCCCTTGATCCCTGTCATGTGCAAAAGTCATCAAGAGGAAAAGAAGTTACATGAGTGCTTCGTATACCAGGAAAGCAACTTTCTATCTGTAATTAATTTTTGTGACACTAACAGCATTGACACATCCTCATTCACTGGTTCATCTCAAATCAATTGCTCCTCATTTTCAGACAGCCATTGTGCATACAGATATGTAGAAGGATTTGTTTCCTCTCATCCAGTCTTTGTATGGATGTAATGCCTCTGTATGTAACCATATAACATATCAAATGTTGTAAAACTCATTCCAACAGCAATAGGTCCCTTGACCCAATTCATACTCAATCCTTTGTATAAGCCTTTTCTCAGTCCCTCTGTGGCATAAACATATTTGGCTGTGGTCCACATTCTTTTATACTCTGGCCTAGAAGGGCTAGTTATTCCATCAGTCTGCATTCGCCGGCGAATTATGTCCAATGGATAAGTGGCCGATTGGCCAAAGAGTCCCGCACATGCACCAAACAGAAGTCTGTGTAAAGGATTAAGTTTGTTCTCATGGAAGACATCAGAGTAAAGTTTTTTGAGTGATTCATAAGTGAAGAAACTTATCCCAGCATAGGGCATTATCCCCATTATTGTGGGCAAAAGGCCTCTGTAATACACATATAAACCTTCTTCTCTGTAGATGCTGGTTATAGTGTTTATAAGTCCAGCATACCTGATCAAAATAACCAAACAAAAAAAATAGGTTAAATGCTATGGAACAAAGCTGCCATTTTCAAGGTCTTGGGATTCTCACACTCACAGACATATCAAGTAATAACATGGACGACTTTGAACAAGCATACAACAAAAACTCAACACAAACAGGAGGGGAGAGGGTGTGCACTGCGGACATAGCAGGTTATGGTTACATCTGCTTCCACTGCAATTTATCCCAGTTCATGTGTGCACATGATTTAGTTGTACCATTTATGTCAAAAGCATTTGTATAATGAAAAGGGATTTTTCATTTTATAGGAAATGTTGCCAATGGTTAGCAGTGTAGGATTTTTTTAATAAATGATCTCCTACTCAAAAGATGAAGGCAAAAAATCAACATATTGTGTAATTTATGACAGGTTAAAGTGTCAGATAATTACAGATGTGATCATATGCATGTGAATTGTACTTCATGTGACTTAATAGTGTTAACAAATTTAATTAGATACATAACTTAAAGTGATATACCTGTCTCTTGAGGTGATGGCAAGTCTGGCTCGAATCATATCCAAAGGATAAGTGAAGAATGCTGCTGTAATACCAGCTAGTGACCCTGCTATAAACCGACGAATGGGAGGCAAAGGTCTGAAAATCAAGAAAAAAATTCAACCTGCTTAGGTGTATCTGTGGCATTTCATAAAATTTGTCAAAAAGAACCTACTTGTTAAGGTTGGAGGGATTGTGAAAACAATATGAACTTGAGAAAATTTGTCATTTTGCTTCATGCAAGAACCATGTGATACTTCTGCCTTGGTATTTTTTCATGAAAATTCTTACACTGTTCCACTTAATAAAGAATACCACAGTCAAGATAGCTAAGTATAAAACAAGATCAGACATACTTTCAAGGAAAAATGACTGAAATGAGCAATTATAACATTTTCTTGTGACAGAATTGTCATTCAAAAAAGATACAATGAAAGTTCAAATGAGACTGCCTACTGCTGTCACAGATCAAAGCTTTCATTGATCCATTGCAAGGCAAAATCTTTGATTTGAGCATAGTTATACAATCCATTCAAAGTGCTATTTCATTTTTATGATCATCACTGATGGAACTACAAAAGCCAAAGAGTGTCTTATTCTGAGAGTCATGTTCTATGGTCAGAATTCTACCATCTGTGAATGGAATCAATCTTACCCTTTTTTCTTTCCTTGTCTCAGTAGTCGTTTAAACTGTTCATGCGCAGTAAACTGCAATGCAGCATAGGGTATAATCCTTGCCATGGTTGCACTGTTTCCCCGGAAAAGACCATGCAGACCATGTTCCACATATGTCTGTCTTAGAACACTTATAGCTCCCTGGCATGAGAAAATTAATGAAGAATAGATAAATAATAACTTTATATTAGGCAGAGTCATTTCATATTCCTAAGTAATAACAGGTATATGAGTAATGCCGCCTGGTTAGCTCAGTTGGTAGAGCGCCAGTCTGCTGTGCGGGAGGTCGAGGGTTCGAGCCCCAGACCGGACCAACACTCAGGGTCTTAAAATAACTGAGGAGAATTTGCTGCCTTTGTAATTGTACCAGCAAATGGTTAGACATTCAAGTCTTCTTGGATAAGGACTATAAACTGTAGGCCCCGTCTCCTGCATCTTCAGTGTTACATGGTCAGCAGCGGACGTTAAAAAACCCACACACTTGTCGAAAAGAGTAGGGGGCGTAGTTCCCGGTGTGGTGGTCTATCTGTTGTTTCATTGTACATTTCATGCATGGGCTAGGTGGATGAGTGAGATCAAATATGGACTGATAGCGGCAGCCAGAGGCACCTTTACAAGCTGACGTTCGATCTCACTCAATTAGAATTGTAAACCGCCTTGAGACAGTATGTGATATGTGCGGTATATAAATACACATTCATTCATTCATTCATTCAATGCACTGTCAAAACGATCTCTTTAATCCTTTGACTATTTAAAGTGACTTGCATCTCATTTTACCCACAGTATTGCACCTGAATCAAATATTAAGGTCATGAGAATGAAGGAGATGATCACAAACTAAAGAAGCTCTTGATTTTAGAAAGAATTCTCCTAATCAGTGCCTTAGGAAATATATAGAGAACAATATGGAGATAATGCACACTGATATAACAGTGTAGAGGGTTAATTGGGCCTGATTTTGAGGCTTGTTATTGGCATAGTGAAGAAGTATCAACACAGTAAATATAAGAAACTTGTTTTTTCCTCTCTACATTGGCTAAATGGTTACTGTGTCTTTTAGTTATAATCTTGGTTCACTTTGTAAGTGTAAAGAGTGCGTGCATCCTAATCAATTCTGATCCAAATAAGGAAAGTATCTTGAAGAAGTCTGTATGACATTTCAAGATTTTCCCTGTTAGCTCTCTCAGCTTGTTCTTCTTTGTTTTACATTTTGTGATTAAAAACAAGTTGTTTAATGTATATAAAAAATGTATTAAAAAAATCATGATAACAATAATAATAATAATAATAATGATAATAATGATAATCAAAACAAAATACATATATTGTAATCTATCACAATGACTTACCTTTACTGAGAATTGTCTTTTGGAGGCTAGGTATAAAAAAAAAGAATTGCCTCAGTGTCCTCATTAGTAAGATAAATGATCACCACTTGAAAATTAAAATTTAAAGCACTAAAAACTCTTTTTCTCTGTTACAAAGACACACAAACCAGTTCTTTTCTCGTTAACAAGAACAAAATTTTGATACTGTAGGCAAAAGAGCTAAAATAAGTAAGTGATGAATAGTTTCTGCCAGTCTACAATAATGTTTGGTTATCAGCTGGATATTCATAGTTTTAGAGGCAGTGGCATTTTCTTTCAAGAGCAAATCACTCAAAATCACTTTTGAAGAGACAGACGCAAGATCAACATCTGGGTCTTTGTGACTCATAAAAAATTCACGTCTTATCGTGATTAATAATAATAATAATTAGGGGCAAAGAAACATATTTGCCTTAATCAGCTTATATCAATGGGAAAGATTCTATATTCCGAATAGCATAGGACTTGAAAACACCAATTATAGACAAGAATCTTATGACGCCCCATCAGCAATCCATTAGGCCTTAATGATCAGCAGAAAATTGACGTCATCCACAGGACAAGTAAATATGTAGAGGCTGTCACTCTGTTTGCATTTTCAGATAATGCTCTCAATAATCATGTAATGTCTCACAAAATCATCAATCCTCAATATGTTTCTAATACTCTACTTCTTGTCACTTAGATCATTTTAATTTTGATTCTTGACCGATCTTGTAATGATAGTGTTACATAATGGATTTAAAAAGCCAATTATAAAGCTTAGTTTCTAGAGGAAAGGAAAAGGCATTAGTCAGGAATTTTTTGTTTGCAACTCAATCAAACCAGCAGTAAGCCTCAGCCAGAAATAAAACATAACCAAAATGTTTCTAGGAAAGCTTGGTAATCTATAAAACAACTTCAACTTGTTCTGTTTGAACTAACATATAGTCACAGGTGCATAAGGTTAATCCGTGAGACTTGGGGAGCAAGATCCAGAGAAAATTTGAATGCGGCCACTGCTTTAAATCTTACTACTAAGTTTCAAAGCCATTGCAAACTCGACTTTTTCACGACTATCAAGATTTTATTAAAAAAGCTGTTAACAAATAAAATCAAATAACTTTGAGACCCAGTCATCTAACATCAGCATCAAAACAAACTAATTGCAAGTTCGTTAATTCACTTACTTTGAAAGATGATTTTTGTCCGATCTAATGGTGCAATTGTAGTCTTCGCAATCGCTCCAGCGACGGCTCCGGCGCACAGGGAGCCGATTACTTCTTTGAACTCTATATTGGTGTCTTGAATTGTTCGGTCATAAGCGTTACGCCTATGACTCCTCAGATACCATTCACCATGCGTTATCTGACCATGCTGCTCGACATCCCCGTGAAGAAGCTGTTCCTTATCTTTCGCTTTAACCATTTGTTAAACGAGTTATTTGGAAATGCATATCTAATAAATCCATTAATATGTTTTTTTTAAAAAGTAAACGTTTAAAAATTGCACAATTTTAGATTCACCGTGTCTCCGCCATTTTAACTGTAATTTTACGATACTGAAGGGGAAACCTGGGCACTAAGCAAAACTGGCTGAACTGACGTAACAAGCGCGTAGTAATTTTGTGACGACATTAGGAAACGACAACATCCTTAGCGATTCGGATCAGCGCTCTCACGAAAAACGCCTGAAGTGCTCCGCGCCGACTTCCGCGCCGGCAATTCGATCTATGCATGGAAATTCCTTCTACAACGTACAAGAGCAGAAAATAAGAACAAAGTTCAAAGACTTTCGTTTTCCCTATCTTCAGTCTCGGGTTGTCTAGGTTGAACTTTTAACCAGTTCTTGGACAACGAGAAACCAGATGCTGCAGTCGACCACTGCCTGTGCCTGGTGACCGGTTTATGATCTCTTTTCTACAGTCTTAACAGGCGAAAAAATAGGGATAAATAAAAAAATCTCAGTAGAAGACAAACGAATAAAATTAGTAAATTATGCCGCCTTCTCTTCACGTGGAACGAAAGAAATTAAAAGCTTTACTGGATATTGCACAAACAGTTTGCCTCCAAAAGAAAACTTAATCTAATTTTTTAAAAAAATTTTTTTTTATTTCCAATGTGCTTTTTGGCTTGGGTAAAGTATTCAGCTTGATTGACAGATCGAAAAGAAGTCTGCACAAACTTAATTCTTGTTTCATTACGCACATTTCAAAATAAATTTTTGCCATTTAACCAGTTCCCGTTTCCTGAGATCTGAGAGTCACTTCAACCAAAGGATGACTTGATATTTCTTTGTCGGTTAGTTCTGGGAATTAACTGTTAACATATCAATATCATGTTCTGAATTATTTCTGGACCAAAAACGCGCTTCCAGATTAATTATTTCCATGCCTTCACTGGTTACCATTTACCCCTCCTATATTCACCCCTGATTAAACCTGCCGACCCCGGAAAACTTTAGATCAGTAGTCTTGTCGTAAGATCGGGTCAAAAATAAAAATAGAACAAAAAAAAACCGTGAGACTCGCGCACAGATTTGCGAGAGTTGACAGGTCTAAGCCAATAAAGTGATTTAAAAACAGAATGACGAAAATCCGTCACAGCCGGAAAACAATCGAGAAAATTTCATCTTTTGTTAGAAGCTTATCTCGAACATAAAGAAGAAAACATTTACGACTCGAGGTCTTGGTGCGGCACAATTGGCCAGCAAAAATGTTTTGGTGTTGCCATGGGGAATAAAGAACGTTGTATTGACCAAGGTAAACGTGGCTGCGGAACTCCAAACCATTTGCATTTTAGGTATGAGTTATCGAGGAAACTTTTGTCACACTTTTGAAGAAAAAAATTATGTGTTAATCGTGTTGACAACCGTGAAATTGTGTAACATAACATTTGCTTGACTGCAAATTGATTTATTGTTCCAATAGACCTACTACTGGCTGGCGGGAAACTGTTGATCTGTTGCTATCGCAACGGATTTCTAAATAAGATGATCGCCATCTTGTATGGTTGTCTTGACACTCGCAGCGAAGTTTTCTCTACATAAATCTTCGTCAATCTTCTTTCAAGACTGAAAGCAGCGGTCGTAGAAATAGCAAAATCAATCTCTATGAAGGCATTGTGAGCGTCTGAGCCCTACCATCACTGCATAGATTGGTACGTGATCGAACGGATGAAAGATTTTTTTGTGCAGTTTAAATGAATTTAACAGACGTAATAATCGATCAAAATCAGTTTCATCTACATAGGTACATACATGACTTTGGTTTGAAAAAAAACATATATCTATAAAATATCAAAAACAAAAAGGTAGCACGAGGGTCTAAAACTTGTGGTTTAGTTAAAATTTGGCTAATTTTGTTGTCTTACTGCAAATCTCCTGAACGAACTGACATTTCAAGTTACGTGACCTTTGATAATATTTAGAGTGTTGCCTGTAGGGTAAACAAGATATTGAATGAAATGATCCTTTAACGCGGAACTTTTACTGTCTATATCAGTTAAAAACATGGGCTGTGGATCATCGCAAGTTGTCGCGCCTGAACAGAACGCCATTCGTAATGGTGACGTGAAGAGAGAATCACCCCGACCAAATGAACAAGAGCATCAACCACAACCTGAGGTGATACGACAAGAAACTCCTAAAGAAAAGAGGAAAGATTCAGCGAAATCAAGTAGTAGCAGCTCAAGTAGTAGCAGCTCAAGTAGTGCAAAATCCAAGAAAAGTCGTCCTGAAACTGCACCGGGTGGAGATGCGCCGGCTCAAATCGAAAACCAGCAACCTGCGCAAGAAACAGAAGCTCCTCAATCAAATAACAACAAAGACAGTGAAGGGCCAGTGGTTGTAACAACAGTAGTAGCTGATGAAGTTGAGAAGGTCGAAGAGGCTCCAGATGAAACGACGACTCAAGGTGAAGGCAACACTGAAGGAAACGAAAAACCAGCAGAGGAGCAAGAACGCGAGAAGCCGAATTTCAGCGAGGACGTGTTGAGAGAGTTCGTGGAGGTAGAAAATCAAATACAGACCTTGGAAGGAAAGGGCGCTGAGAATGAATATCCAATTAAACATGCGCGGCTTGTGGAATTGTACAAAAAACTTTCCGAGAATACTGTGAAAGTTCAACAGCTCAAGGCTCAAACGTGAGTGGAAAGGAATTTTATATTTCCATTTTTTTTGTTTTCATTTAAATAATTACGGTCCCAACCGTAAACACACACAATTACTGTAGCTGAATTCGTTGATGCCATGAGCACCTTTCAGCTGTACACATTCGATCTTTATAATATTATCGGGTTCTACTCTGTATATAGTATGACACAACTTAGTACTTAAAATTACATCACCAGTAAGTAGACTAACTTTGCCTGCCTTCCCCCCCCCCACTCTTTTTCAAAATTTTAGGATGGGAGGGGTGGGAATTGGGAATTTCCACGTAGCATTTGCAGTTGCAAGAAATGATATAGAAATGTCTGAATTTGATCAGGTTATGTTTCTCTGATTATGCTCTGAGTCATGTTGAATTTTATGAAATTTTTGTCTACTTATTTTTCTTTATGAATACTTCACAAGCACTTAATTAAAAAATGATAATCATTATAATAAATTAGTAATAATAATGATGATGATGATGATATTGAAGGATTTCTACAAGACCATGTTCAGTATCCCATAGTGCTGTAAGATGCCATGCAGGGGACTTGACAATGACTGATTTGAATGTGGAGTTGAAAATTTTCGATGGAATGTTTTTTTATTAAGAATATTAGCAAAAGAGACATTTTAAGTTCAATATGAATGTCCATAGCTGGGGTCAATGTCATTGCTTGAACATATTTGATTTATTAATGAAAGTATTAATTTGGCTGAGTAAATAAGCATTGCCAGGTTGTTGTTGTTCCATACATATTATAAATCAATTGAACTTTTTCCTTCTTTTTATACCTACTAGTGCCAAAGAGTACCAGGATGTGGTAGATGTGAGTGCAGCATACAATGTGCGGTCTTTCTTTGTCAGTGCTGATCAACTAAATGCAGAGGTAGCTAAAGAACGGAGCGAGTATGTGGAAGCTTTAAATAAGCAAGAAATTGCTGAGCAAGAACTTGAAAGCCTGAAACAACAATATCAGAAACTGTATAATGAAGTAGTATCTGCAAAGAAGGATCAAGATGAGCTACAGAGCTTGAGAAATAAAGAAGAAGAGTTGTTGGGCCGCATTTTCAATGATTCTTATGGTAGTGACAAGGAATGGAAGTTAGAAATGGAGCTTGAATTACTGGCAGAAAGAAAAACAAGAATCAGTGCTGCAAATACTCGCTGGCATGGTGCCAGTGTATATCTTACTCATGCTACAAAGCAACTCAGTTGGAGTGCCCGGCGCTGGGCACAGATTTCATCGCATAATGTTACACTTCCAGTGGTGAGTATTATTCTATTGACAGATGAGCTCATTTGACTTAAAAACTGGATTTAGCCATAAATAATTGTAGACTGGCTACAAACAAATGGCCAGTGAGAATGTTACTTTTAGTCTGTATATCATATTTCATTCATTGTATATCATCATTCATGTATAAAATTATGCTTCTGGAATTTTGATATACTAAAAATTGAGTCAATTCCAATAGATGTTCAAATTTCTTGACATGTTCCTCATGGGCTAATTTGATAATCACTAATGTTTTTATTTCTTTACCCTCAGGTCAAATATACAATGGTTGCAGAAACAAGAAATCACATTATTGCAGCAATTCAAAACATCTCTAGTGCTTATGGGAGCCTCAAACCAGTGACTGCTCCTTACTGCACTCCAGAAGACCTGGAGGTTAGAAATAATTGCTCTTGATATCAATGTGAATAACAGATATATAAACCCCTAGTTTGTCATTGATTTCTGATGATTACACCACCCACTTGCATTTACTAATGTATGCACCCTTTGGGAAGATACATCAATTTAGGGGTTTAATTTTGTCTTATCGTGAGTAGTCAGCTAGAAAGATTGCACTCCATAATATATGCACATCCTATGTACATGTACATGCAGTGGGACACAGTTAAGTGCTAGGTTGGCAATTGAGACAAAAATGTGTCAACTTGGAACTCAAGGCCATGACTACATTAGACATTTTTTCCATTGTTCATTTTGGAAAAATGTAGCCCAGCCACTCATTTGTTGTTCATGAGTGAAATATTAGGGTTTTTCAAGAGATGAATAAAACATGACCTGAACAGTGTTATTCTTTAAAGTTAATTGATTGGAGTATATATATTTTTACATTATAACAGGCAATTTCCCATTCTGTTTACTAAGATCATCAATTATTGTTTCATTGGTTATAGGTTTTGAAGGCCATTACAAACTCAATTTTCAATGATGTCAATGTGCCAGCAAGTTATCAGAAGACATATAATGTGCTTTGTGTAATCTTCTCCAAATGTTCAAGCCTTCTTCAATGGGTTAATCGTGTTGTTGAGGAAACCATCTCTAAAGACTTAGCTGAAGTGAAGAAGGAATTCCATGAAAAGTACTATGAACTGAAAGAGGAAAGAATGAATCTGATTAAAAGTAAAGTGAAGGAAAAACTTGGAGTTGAACTGGAGGTATGCAGCATGTGCAGGTTCAATGGTTTATACCTAAATTCTCCTTAGTGTAATAGATAAGTTGGCCTAATTGTCAGTGGGCAAGACTTTGTATCCAAAGGTCCAGGCTCGAGTTCTCATCATGCAGGGTTAATTAATGTTTTATTGTGTTCTTTGGCAAGACACTTCTCTCTTGTGATGATTCTTGTCGGAGAGGAATATAAATAGGTGGCTGCAACTGTCAAGGAGAACTGACAAAATGTTAGGAGAACTTGAAATGGACTGTCGTCCCATCCAGTAGAGTAGCAATATTTACATGTACTTGTTTATGGCAGCAAAACTGCATGTTCTGTGGTGTAATGGTCTCTCATTGGCTTTTATGCAAGGTTTGTTTAGTTTGCATAAATTATGGCAATGATTAGATGATGCAAATATAATGATAGAAAATGCAGCATAAAAATTCACTTTTTCACTCTTCAAAGCTGTAACTGTTTATCAAGGCAGAATGCAGTGGTAACATTTTAGTATCTCATTGCAAAGATCTTCAGCATGTTCATCATTTTTGGGGTCAAAAGATATGTCCTCATAATTTCTTAACATTCAAATTCAATGGTTACCTTGTAATTTTGTTTTTTGATCAGATGGAAGTAAAGAGAGATGAATTCATAGGTGATGACTCCTCTGCTGAAGAAGCTGACATTGCCAAACCAGGAGCAGTTGCCAAAGAAGAGGGAGATGATCAGGCTCCTGAGCCAGAGGATAAAGAAGGGTTACCTGCAGAGGCTCCACCCTCTGGAGATGGGGAGGCACCAGCTGAGGCAGAAGCTGGGGAAGACAGTGCTGATGCCCCGCCCAAACCTGTGCCTTTGTCTGAACTTGCTCCTCCTCCAAACCAAGAAGATCTCTTTGGTAACATTGATCAACTAAAGAAACAACACGAAGAGGAGCTGGCAGAGTTCGAGAAGCAGCAAGAATTAAACAAGACTCGTGTAGAGCAAGGCTTGCAGGAGAAGCTGAGAGCGCGGCGAAGCAGGAGGCGTAAGATGCAGGCTCAAGAGGCTGAAGCAAGTGCACTCTCTGGAGGGGAAGGTAGCAGTGAGCCTCCGCCACCTTCAGAAATGGGACTCTAACTCTAAGTAAATGAGACCTTTTCTTGCCTGTTGTTTTTTGCTTGACTCTTTGCTTGTAGAAAGACATATTGATCCTACGGTAGTCAAGCTTTTAGATTTGGATTCCTTTGCAACACTGACTAAAGATGAACCTCAGTTCACAACCGCGTGATTCACTGATGTTTCTTGCTGATATTGATGGAAAGGAATGAGTAAGCGTCATAAGTGGTTTGTGGCAGTACTATTAAGAACAACTCTGCCCATTTTTAGATCACTCCCTCTTTTTAATGGAAAAGGGCGGGACGTTGTCTCAATTTGGTCAGATTTGCGGTCGAGTGTTTGCGAGCTGAGGTCCATACGCATATCCATATTTTTTGAAATGTAAAAACTCGCAAAATTATCTATTTGATCTTGCCCAGTCTGCACATGTAGTACATAATTTAATCACGTAGACATTGTAAGCGCATCCTGCTCTCAGTTGATTGAACTGCAATTTTCCCTGCACAGGGTTAAGTATCAAGTGTATTTTTTGAGCCGTACTGCCTACCTTAAAGAGGTATTGAATTTGTTGATGGTGTTCTGTTGTGTTGTGGGATATCATAAACACAGAGTTTCTTCACAGCGATTGCAACTGGGCATTTGCTTAATTTTTGCAACTATGAAGCGATTCAAGGAATAAATAATATATACCTTATTTTTTGTTGAAGGTTTCAGGAGATAATGATCTTTCATTCCGACACGTACACATTTTACCAGTAAAGCTAGGGCTAGATGCATTCTTTGAAGTTTACATCGCCTGAAAGAGAGAAAGAAAAATAATGTGAACAATCATTGAGAAAATATTTCCATTATGTGGAAAGGATGTTTTTCATATTTTTCTACAGGAATTATTTATGTAAAGCCAGGATATGACTCTTTCTTAAATTTTTTCAATTTATTTTCTTGTTTTTTTCACTGAAAACTAGATGTACCTGGATTAGTGCATTTAACTGAAAAATTAAGGTTAGCATTTAGAATTTGGCAAATTAGAGTTGACTCTAATTTTAAACACATATGGTCGTTGATTTGCTATTGTTTTTACCGAATTGGAATGAAGTGAAGCGCACGCTTATAAGTGGTCATTTTGTGTTTTATCGTATTCGAGTGTTGATTGTAGATGGTTTTTAAAGGTTTCATTCAGGTCTTACCTTGAAAGTAGTCCGAGTGGTCGAGTGTAATCTAACTTGTCCCGTTTGTGGGACTGAGATAAAATGTAGTTCGGTGACGTGAAGGTGTTAATCATTTTCAAAGATTGTAATTTAGACATCTGAAAGATTAGATTGTTGTAGATTTGTAAAATACTTGTAACGCGTACATACGCATGCACCTTCGGTGGCTTGTTGTTAAGTTCAAGGTCATCATGTATTTATTTGGATCTTTCGAGAAAGAATAAAAAGTTCAATGGAATGTGTGGCTTCATATTCATGAAATAATATGTGGCGATGACTGTGAATATGGAAGTTAGAAATTGAGATTGAAGCTTTGAACAATGGGTCAAATGCTTTCTGAACAAAAAAAACAACATGTGGCCATTTCGCTGGTATCTAGAAGGTTTTCTCACTTTTGATAGTAAACGTACTTTCTTAATTCTTGTTCAATGCTAGCATAAATTTGTATTTAAACGGTAAAAATCACTGGAAAGACAAACAGCACGTGGTAATATTTAACCAGCTTTGAACAAAGTTCGTGACCACCAGTAGACTGGCAAGAACGAGAAAGTTTTTGTTTTTCTCCGCTTTTAGGGAATGCTCTTTGGTATTTTTTTGCAATCGTTTGCCTTGTTAATACGGAATCCCTTGACTCAGTTTTCCGTATTCTTTTGACACTCAGTGATAGTAAATGAGCACTGAACTAAGGTTTTCTTCTTGTAAACTCAGTAGACCGGCAACGATGGTTTTCATTCTCTCCTACTGTTCAAGTGAGGATCTAGTTTAATCCTTGTTGATATCGGAAATTCCACCTCATAAGCGTGTTGCTCAAGTAATCTAGCTCAGGTGTTTATCTCAACAGTTGAACAACCCGGACTCGTTCGCCTCTTATTGGGGCATCAGAAAAGTGTCATTAGATAGAATCTCAGATACAGAAACAACCCAATTGTCCATCAATAAAGCTGCAACTGTAGGATAAGTGATGTCAATAGCGTCCTGTACACGTTGCAACAGGGAACCCAAACGTAAAAATTCGGATAAATTCCCGATCTTTCAACATTGTCCTGGCTTCGTGTTTTCTTATTATTTTTCTGTTAGTCTACGACTGGGCGGCAAAACATGCCAAATCTTACTGAATCTCGACAGGCGTGTCTACGAGGAACTTTTCGAATTCGAAATTGAAAAAAAGTCTTTGATTGATTGAAAGCCTTTTTCCCAACAGACCCAATCGTTCCCAGACTCCTTCATCGTATTCTTTGGTCACACAGGATAAGAACTAGTATTGGCAACGAAGTAAAAAAGAATAGCTTTTGAGACGAAAATAATCTTAATCTGAGATAAAAGATACCCAAGTCGTTGATACTCCCAGTTTGTTTTACCAGCCAAGCAGAAAAACTGGTCTCTGATGATGTTGAACCAAAGGTTTGCGGCTCTGGCCTAAGGGTGAGCCCCTTTACTCAATTTCTTCCCGCGGTCAGTATTGTCGATGGTGGCACCAAGAAATCCCTGGGCCGAGGTTACGCAAAGACACCCTTTTTGGCTGAGGAGGACTGAGCGTCAGTGGAAAGGGTTTCAAAATGGCGGGCAAAGGAACGAAAGTGGGTATAATGTAATTGCTCGGATAGTTTATTTCGCTTTCCTAACCCATTGGGAAATTGGCTAAACTACAGAATACCTTGCCAATCGTTTACATGTCATGGAATAAGAATAACGTTTATTGTATCATGCCTCGATCTTCAGAGCCTCCCGACGCATGTAAAAGAAGTGGACCAAAGTGACAGGGTATTCTGCAGTTGTTCCGGAAAATTAACTTTATTAATGAAATCTTAGTTATTTTTAGTTGTGTATATACATCAGTAATATTTTCTCTGTGTTGACGGGAGAACTGCTAGTTTGACTACGTAGTTAACGAGTATTCTTGCTTTCAGTCGATTTCAGTGTTGTATACAGTTAGATGAGAGCCGGCTAAGTTTCCTTCCCTATTTTTTCTGAATGAAAAAAAACTGAAACAATATTTAATTGGTAGGAGTGAGACACTGATTGATCTACCTTTAATTACGCAACCAATTGATGAAAGCAAAATAAGCTTTCATACAAAACACACTTGCAGGGGCCTTAGAGAGTGAGTTTTGACTAATTCTAAAAAACAGACCTGAGCAATTTAAATTAACCTCAACCGGTTCGACCGAAAGTTTTTTTCAAAATGTAAAATTTTTTTTCATTAGCCAGCTGGCTAAATATATTTGCATTAGGCATCCGATAAGTACATGGAACTATATATTTTTTGGTTTGTTTGTATGATTCTCATAATAACTATATTGGCATTTTAATTTTTTTTTTATTCTGAATTTTAGACTGACAGAAACCAGCATTTTCTGAAGGTTTCACGTGCAGATGTAGATCAACTTGTAACAGAGATTATGCAATTCAAGGAATTTTTGCCAAAGGTAAACTTTTTCTCAATATGTGGTGTAATTTTTGTTTTAGAAAGTGAAATCCAGCCAACTTGCACTTTAAAGAGAAAGAATGCTTTAAGGATTTGCAGTTGAAGTGATAAATAGATTTTCAATCTCCATTTGCCTCCTTCAAGTGTGAAGTGTTATTTATTGTAATATATGTTGTTGGTTTTTTCACTTAAAGTCGAGATTATGGAAGTTTATGTATCAAAATGTCAAGCAAGAACCATTTCCAACAGTCAGCAAATGCAGAGAAGAGCATGAAGAATTGTAGCTTGTATGATCTACTCGTAAGGGATTATTGCTCCTACCAACCCTAGGAGAACCAGCAACTTGAAACATGTCTCATACATAAGTTTGCGCTTGTCTGTAGAAAATTTGTCGATAATAATACTCGCATCGAGTTTTGACATAAATACTAGAGTTAGGAATGGAACAGCTGTTGATTTTTGAATTGTGGTAAAATTTCCTTTTAAATTAATCACTGGCTTCCCCAGACTCTTACATCTCTGGTGGTGAGGTGACCGGTAACCAGCAGCTGTTGATTTAAGGGTAAAATTTCCTTTTAATTAATCACTTGCACTAACAAAGTATGTGCATTGTTTGCCTTTTTTTTTTCTTGCAGGATATAATGTTGTTGATTATATTTATCTCAAATTTTTTTCTAGGTTTTAAATTCTGATCTTGTAGGGTTATATAAGAAACTGGATCATTGTGAGCAAGGTATGAATTTTCTCTGGGCTTTAAATCACAAGAAGCTAATTATTGTCTAGTTAAAGAACATGTGGTCAAATCATTTAGTTGTTTTGTCATAGGAATTGCTAAATATTCCATGATCAGACTCAGTCCTTGACTGCAGGAACAAATAATGTGAAGGCAAACAAAAAGATATGATGCACAACATAAACAATATGCACAAAATAAACAGTTTGTTTTGATCTTTTTGAATTTGTAACAATCAGAACTTGAGGTCTTGGAGGCAGAGAACAGAAAGCTAAGGGTTGAGCTTGATCAGATGAAAATGCACCATGATTCAGAGATTGAGGCAATGAAGAAACAAAATAACAGCCTTCTTGAGGATGGTGAGAGATATAAGGAGGTATGTCTCCTGAATTATAAACATGATCTGTTTTTGTATACAAATAATATGCTGATCATTTATATTTTACTTAGTTTTTATGTAATTTTATGTAATTTCCATCTAATGTTATTGCTTATTAAAACTTTTTGTCAAATTTAGTGGGCACTCGATCTATGAAAATTGAATATCAACATACACAGTGTATTTATTGCTAGTGATCAGTTTTTCCAATATTTTTTGCTTTTTCTTTTTTCTTTCCAGGAAAAATATGTGCTAAAGGTAATGTATGTAATTTAGTTAACTTAAAACCTCTCTTTTCTTTTTTCTTGTTTTTTCAATTTTTTTAATCACTTTGGATTGTACAAAATCCCATGGAATCTGTGGTTTAACCTAAATCCATTTCAAAATCTTAAACAAAAGCTCTTTCTGCTGAGTGGCTAATTTGTCAACTGACTCCAACAGGTAGTTTGTAGAGAAAAAAAAGGGATGAAGATATGTTTAAATTGTCTTTGCCAAGAGAAGTTTGTAAATTGTAAATATGCAGATAGATATAATCATCACAGTTTGACTTGTGAAGATTCTCTAAAATATTTGTAAGTGAACATTTCAATAAGAAAATCTTTCTTTCAGTGTCAGCTGTCAGAAGCAAGCCAACAAATGAATGATCAATCTGATTATTGTTCTTGTATGGGTGCAGCCGTTTGTACTCTGCTATGGAGAGTATCTCGTCAGCAGGAGTCTGTTACTTCCCTGCTCGGAGGGGTAAGTTGATAATATTTGTAAAATATGATGCAAGGTCTCTGGTAAATCTTGGTTCATTCTGTGTGGTAAAAAGCTAAATTTTGCACTAACATTGTACCTTCTATTTCTCTTAAGAGGCATACAGAAACTGTTAGATTTGGAGCTTTTTATGAGCAAGTTTTTCATGTTTTCAGCTCTCATTGATGTGGCTGTGGCTTCTCTCGTTCACTCTTCACTTCTGTTGTTTTTATATTGAACAATCGTATGCTTACCAGCTTTAATCTTGTTAGATTTTTACTTTACAGTATTCCGTAGCGGACCCGATCTTGCCTGAACCGACAATAGACCCGGAGCTTTCCAAGGGTCAGGTCCTTGAGAATTTTTGAATCTCGTCTCCAGTGCTCTGCCCATTAGAGTCGCAAATGCCTCGGAAAGTGCAGTCACTTATTTAGGATTTCAAATTTTTCTTGCCCCAATGGATTTTTAAATTATTTTAATTTTACTTTTTCCAACAACGATTAAGGCCATACTGTCACTTAGATTTTTCCGCCGGCTTAAGAAATTGGCCGGTAAACGTGAGCACAAGGCCTTGGCCTGATTGCAATCCTTGCCTTGAGACTTGCGCCTTAGATATTAGAATTGGATGGCATTAAATTTAAATGGATTAAACGTTAAAAAAGAGAAGGAAATTGAAAACCTTTATCCCATTCCTTCTGGTGGGAATGACAGCTTGTTGCTACTGCTTTCTCAAATCCAGAACAAAGCGGAAGAGTTTCTTCAAATCACATCACGAACTATTGAGAGTTACTTTGACTCTTGCGCTGGAGGAGAGGAAGCGAAAGAAAACTCAGAAGAATTTCAGTTTGTTTTGGCTCTCGTTGGAATCATTACAAACATGGCAGCTGCTGCGCAAGGTCGAGAATTCCTGGTAACGAAAGACAGTGGGCGTGTATTGATTGACACGTTTATGAAAGTGCTGGGTGGATCGTCTGCAGGAAAAAATGTTAAGATGAGAAATTTGATACTGATGGCGTTGTATAATGTTAGGTAAGGTTCATTGAACATGTGCTTAGCTATCGTAAAATGCATGAATCAACGTACTTATAAAGCTCATAAACTCACTGTGTGACGTAGCTCGTTCGTTCAGACGAGATATATATATATGACTTTATCATCTGAGTTCAGTGAGTAGTCCGAACTACCCGTAGTAGCCGTTCTTCCCAGTTGAAGCTGTAGCTTTTACAAAAATATATGAACAGATAAATATGAGATAAGAAATAGATTAAAAAAAAGAAGATGTCATTTTGATCACAAGTAAGATTCCAATATAGCAAATTGGAAAAAATTCATCTAGTTAATTTTGTCATAAGTTTATCATCATATCATATCACGTAGGCCAGACAAGTCTTCGTGAAGTTAAAAATTTACTTTCATGGTTATTCTTAGTATCAACATGTCAGGGCTCCAGTACATCACTAAAAAGCGAGGAATTCTTGGCAACCTCATGCAGACAATTCGGGGTAAGATGATTTCCAGTTCTTTTGTTTATGGCTGGCTCTGTTAGCATTGTTATGTGAACCAGAGTTATAATGGTCACGATTCGGTGGAGATCGAAATCAAAATAGTAAGCACAACACAATCACGATCGGAACATTCACAACGTTTATCGTTTTCCCCAAAATTTGTTCAAAGGGCGAGTGATGACATACAGTGTTTGTAGAACTTGTGTGTGTGAGTCACTAGCTGATGAAGACTGATGATATACAGTGTTTGTATAACTTGTGTGTGTGTGTCACTAGCTGGTGAAGACTGATGATATACAGTGTTTGTATAACTTGTGTGTGTGTGTCACTAGCTGGTGAAGACTGATGATATACAGTGTTTGTAGAACTTGTGTGTGTGAGTCACTAGCTGGTGAACACTGATGATATACAGTGTTTGTATAACTTGTGTGTGTGAGTCACTAGTTGGTGAACACTGATGATATACAGTGTTTGTATAACTTGTGTGTGTGAGTCGCTAGCTGGTGAAGGCTGATGATATACAGTGTTTGTAGAACTTGTGTGTGTGTGTCACTAGCTGATGAAGGCTGATGATATACAGTGTTTGTAGAACTTGTGTGTGTGTGTGTCACTAGCTGGTGAAGACTGATGATATACAGTGTTTGTAGAACTTGTGTGTGTGTGTCACTAGCTGGTGAAGGCTGATGATGTACAGTGTTTGTATAACTTGTATGTGTGAGTCGCTAGCTGATTAAGACTGATGATGTACAGTGTTTGTATAACTTGTATGTGTGAGTCGCTAGCTGATTAAGACTGATGATGTACAGTGTTTGTATAACTTGTATGTGTGAGTCGCTAGCTGATTAAGACTGATGATATACAGTGTTTGTAGAACTTGTGTGTGTGAGTCGCTAGCTGCAGAGAAATGACAGACCGCTCCAAACATTTGTACTACTTACGGGTTTGAAAGTGAGAGCTGTGACTGATTGCTTCTACCGGTGAAAAGATAGTTTGCGTATAGTGGAAATGGCTGTTTCGTACGCACCTTAAAGTCCATAGGGGCCGGCGGATGAACAAAACTTTACGGCAAAGCGGAGTTGTGGAGGTGGTTAAAGACAATAAATAGTTTCTCAATCGATGCGTTTTCGTCTAAAGGCTCTCCCGCACGTTTTCTCGGGTCCGTACCTCAACGCTTTCATGCATCACAAAACCGACAGCTACTTACTTTTGGTTTATGGAAAATGTTGCAAGTTACATATGTATAACAGCTGGGGTCTCTTAGCTCCATTAAATGATGAGAATGCGTCATATGAACTTCAATTTGGATGCTGGACTGAATTGTTACGCAGGTCCCAAAGTTTCTCAAACCCACGTTTTGAAAAACGTCTCTGGCTTGAATAATCTATTTTCATGACACTTAACACTCAAGGTCGCTTGATTTGTTTTTGTTTTGATTTTAAAGGGGAAAGTGATTCTGAGCTAAGCCTTAATGCTGCCAGGTAAATAAACGAATTGTTCTTCTCTATTTCCTTCATATCACTTTTCCGTTGTAAAGAGCAGATCACTTAATTGTATCACTTACATTTTTAACGTCGTAGTCCTTTGAATAAGTGAGAATATTTCTTAGTGTCTCCATGAATGTATAAAATATGATTTGTCACTGTTCCTTTCAAGACTGTTGCAGTCCATCGTCATGGAGCCGAACAGTTTAACAAGTGAAATCTTTGACTCAGTAAGTAACAGTAAACTTTCATAGCTTACTAAACCTCTTGTTTAATTTTTGTTTTTTTTCTCGTTTTTTGATGGGTCATCATCTCGATGATCATTACATTTTTTCCATGTGAAATGTCTTTCAAACATGGTTAGATAGTCAGTTTGCTTTAATGTAATCAAGATGTATTTCTCTTTGGGTGCTGTAATTTAACATTTCTGAACGTTCGTCTCTGTAACCCTATCAGATTTCTTTGCCAGTGCTTCAAAACCTTGCACGAACAGCCAAGGGAGAGGTTAGTGATGTAAACTTTAATCACGGGTTAACAATGATTGAGAATACATTGGCCACAGCTTGTGAAAAAAAAATCATGATCTTTCATCGCATAATTTTTGTTTGTTTTGTTTTTTGTTTTTGCGGTCTTAGTTTGTTTGTTTTTGTTTTTTTCTACACTTTCTGCCTATATTGCTCTGTTCTTTTAGCTTTTACGCATTCTTTAATTTTGGTTTGATGGCATTATCCACAGTTGGCTACATGTTCAGTCCCACTGTGCATGATTTTACCACTAGATCATTGAACTCTTCTTGCTTTTAGGGGAAAAAAGGTTCAGCGCCTTTTCCGCTCTTCTTTATTCCACGACCAATGCAAGCTCAACATTCAACTTCGATATTAATCTATATACTTACATTAACCAGCGGTCAAACGTTAGGCTCGCGCGATGGAATCAATTTCCGGCAGGCCGCGCGCTAATTTCCCGCGCGAAATTTGTACAAGAAATCGGATGATTTCGAGTGCCTCTGGTTCATACTTTCAGAAACGTCTTTGGAAGCCCCAAGACTTTCAGAATTTTAGCCAATTGTTTTTACTTTGTTCGGTCTTTTTGTTTTTGTTATTATCCCTCAAACTATGAATTAAACGTTGTCACTTTCTCCTCGTCTTTCCGCCATTTTGTTTTGTTGTGCTTTCGAGATTTACCTGTCAATCGATTTAATTTCAACTTTTTGCTATTAATTTTAACTCACTGCACTCAATTTCAACTTTTTGCACTCAATTTCAACTTTCAGCGCTGTTTCGGGATTTATTTACGTTTTCTCAGCCAATGAGCGTGCTGAAATTTTTGCATACATTTTATCACGAGAAACAAACGCTTTGCAAAATGGGAGAAAGGAAATTGAAACACTCATAGAAATCTGTGAAAAGAAACAAAAGAAGGGAAAAGGAAAACTCGAAACTTTATGAACACAAAGCTTGTTCAAGTGCGGGTATTCTGTCAATTTATCATTCAGTTTTTAGTTTTACCGAAAAAATCATACGCTCTAAAAAGACCTTGTCTTACCGGTTTGTGCGGTTTGTTATAACAAGTTGGTTCTGACCGCCTGAAAACTCGCCACCTAGTTAGCATGACGTTCGTACATGGGCAGATGTTTGGCAGCTGTGGCATCCGATTTTCTCCTTACCAAAATTGGAAAAAAAAAGGGGGAGGGGTGGGGGAGGCGGGAAAGGAGGTGTGGGCAATTTTTTAACAGCTGTTACGAAGATCGTGGTAGTGAACTAACTCTCCCTTGAGATCTCTGTAGGTCAGCGCCTAGAGCGTGGAAATGCAAGTCTGGAGTTCCATTCCTAATGGGGTTCATGACATAAACAGATAAAAACCTACACAGAAAAATTCACTTTCTCAATCTATTTTCTTCTTTTTGTTTCCTATCAAGTTGCGTGATACACTGTTGGAAGTAATGTCAGACCTGCAGTCTTACCATACTGGATTCTAACAATACTTTTGTGGATTCTCAAAAACCCAAAAAACATTACTATCGCTTGTGTTTGACTTTAGATATTTATAACGGCAAAAGGACTGAGTGGAGTCCAACTCGGTTTGTAATCATACGAGTGATAAAAAAAAACCAGACGACCCGAGGCGGAAGATCCGTTTGTCAATCACGAATATGATTACAGACAGAATTGGACAACACAAAGCCCTGTTACCAAGAAATCATAGCCGTTACAATTTCCTTCTCCCTCCTCCCCCAAAAAAGAAAAATTTAGGACAAACATCGCCGGTAGAGACAATGTCTAAAGTAAAAAATTCCTCCATTTTGGAAATTCCCCATTTTTGTTTCAGGATAAGTGATTGCTGCTATGGTTATTGTAATCAATTCTGTGATTGGTAGATTTAGCTTAGTGGACTTGGTATGATTGACTTCATCAACTGTCCGATTACAGGTGTCTGATTACAGCCAACTGTCTGATTATGGCCAAATGTCTGCTTCGTACACTGTCCAATTACAACTGTGCTAAATGTTTAGTGAAAAATAAAGCAGCAAAATGCACCAATCTCATCTGGGGAGATTGTAATGGTTATAATTAGTTAAATTTTTACAGCCACTTAAAGAAAGTAACTACATCATTGGAATTATTTGTGTGTATGATGTATCCGTCGTGAAAAGATTTCCAAGAGAACGTTTTATAAGTAAGAAAAAAACATTTTGTTGCATTTTGGACAAAACGAGGGACTATTTTCAATGGTTATAACACTGAAACTCTATTTTATGTGTTAAAGGTAAGAATTATGAAACATTTGTGTCGATGAATGTGGTCTCAGTGATAAGAAGAATTGAAGTGTACACACCCTAAATGTATTATTGAGAACACTTTGACTTGAAACAAACAAGAATAGAGTTACTAGTAAAAAAATCTCAATCTTTGAGTTGAATTTTATCTCATTATCCCCTCCATATTTGTGCACAAAGAACTCACTGAGACTCACTTCAACAGTGAATATACTGTTATTCACACTGATGTCCTGTCAGGTTGCATCAACTTAATCAAACATTCAATAAATGACAGGTTTACTTATAGTTGAGAAAGTTTCCTAAGCGTCTTTACTTCCCGTACATAAAGGGTAGCAAAAGATGAAAAATAAAAATCCTTCATAACTTTTATATATGCCCCTTTCATATTGAGATTGTTGCTTGATGCTCAAGATGCTTACTAGAAAGAGAAGATAATGTGGTCCCATTATTTTCTCTTGCTACTGGTTATCGACGACTGGAGAAAAATAAATATTAGGTATATAACCTTAACGCTTGATATGAGTGCTGATCTGTGACTGTGTTGTTGGGGCTTGGTTGTGAATTTTTAAGAACGTTTGTAGTTTAAAAGCTAGTTTTTTGCGGTAGTTTTAAGTCGCAGTTGCAATACTCTTGTCTTCTATTTTGTCATAAAGGCCTTGTTCTTTTCGCGTGACGCCTTGGAAAGGAAAAAATACTAGTTATCCGTGATTCGTCGAAAATTGACACATAGTGAGTGCATTAATACTACTCCCTAAACTCCAAAGCCAGATAATCATGAAAGTTGTTTTAAATACATATAGACTCAACTCACAAGCTGATCTGCAGATTTCATAGCACAACGTTTCCTATTTATACATATGAAACATTTCATAACTATGATGTACACGGTTGATCAAGCGTCTCTGGAATTATGCGCATTTTAATTAACGCGTTTAGTTAGTTTTGTCGTTTATCGACACTGCGAATGTCAATCGAGTAAAATGCTGTTAATTCTCTTTGCCTTTGAGATTATTGTCCTTGTGTATCCTTGAAAAAAATTATCGCTGAGAGGAAAGTACAACGTGTAGCTTAAAATTAGACATTATAGAGCTATGTTGAAAAAGAAATACTCGAAAAATGTTAGCCCTCTTCTTTCAACGTAGATAAGTATACTATGGCAGGAGCCATTGCTGTCACGAGTAAAGACCCTTGCGATCCTTTCACAGCTGCACTTTTTCCACCGTTACACAAGTCTTTGTCACAGCATGAATGAGTGCAGTTGCCACCCGCAAGGATTATGGCCCGGCATGAATTCTCGATACTTTTACAATCTACTACACATGATCTTGCCTCGACTTCGTTCACCAAAGCCCCAGATTTAATCCTGTGGAGGTATCTGCCGCAAAGTGAATGATTTAAGCAAGTGATAATGGTTGACTCTCTTTCGCACATTTCTTGTGGGTACGGTCGACCATCATCTGGACCTTTGCATTCATAGCATTTGAGGCAATTTACTGTAAAGAGAGATGAAGAGAAAGTTTAGAAACGTTAGCCTCTTTTTTCCTGCTGTCGAGGTAACGCAGAGCGAGCCGCAGTGAGAATGAACTAGTGTGAATTTCATGTAAGGAAAAATGGTTGATGTTGTATATCCACGGAGAGCGAACGTGACAAAATATTAAAATTCATTCCGTTGCAATTGCGAAGTAGCCCTTTAAACTAAACGATCTCATATGAATGATGTTGCACTAAAATTTATCAAGAAGTATGAAAAATTGTATGACGATAACATATTTTTATGCAATATATTAAAGTTCACATGGCAACCATGTCATAATTTTATGCAGTTCTTACTAGAAAATTCCATCATATCAGAAACTGTTTACATGTAGATCTAACAACCGGCGTCGTGTTCGTTTCATATTACTGATTTCTCGTAATGAAAACGCTAAGAAATGAGTTATAATAACGATAGATTGTTGTTTACAGCTCTCTTGTACTTGAGGTCATACCTCAATTCCCTTAAATGTCATCTTATGTTATTTATGTTATTTATTTAGAGGTTTGAACGACATCTATCACGCAGCCCAAGAGGCGCATTTTCATTGGAATTAATGCAAGTTGACTACAACAGAATATATGCAAAACATAAATACAGACAAATTTTTCCTGCTTACAAATATTTAGAACTACGTAACACAACGGAGTTTGATCCCTCTACTTACCCCTTCTTAACATACATGAAGCAATGAAGATGATAAGAAATACATTCATCAATGCCACCGTCGGATTCATGGGTTGTTTAGGGTATATTTCCGATGTTCTGTGTGGCAATGTTCCATGTCATCGCACCTTCCGAGTTAATTAGTTTCGGTCTTCAGCGTTCAGAATCAAAGTCCACGTTCCAGAACCTGTGTCTCTTGTTCAAGTATGCTCGAGTTGTTATGTTATGACAATCCATGAAGTTGTAACCGTTTTATGCAAATAAGGATGTAAGAGAGGTTTATTTCGTGACATGACGTCAAACATTGTTTTGGAGGCAGAAAACCTCGTTATTTGAAACTGACTAACCGTGAAAACGGAGACAGGCCGGCTAGAGCGTAACAAGTGTCAAGACAACTCCAGTTTGCTTGTCAACAAAGAAAACATGCAACACTGAGCCCGTACATGTAAGTTATTTTCATTCAGGAAACTTGAAATTATCTGTTCCTCAAAGCTCACAATTTTTCTCAAGCTTCACTCGAACTACTTATACAACCTCTGAGCATATTTTGCAAAAAATGGAAGCTATTGTTGTACATTCATGTTTCAGATATTCTTGGGAATGCTTGCGAAGAGTATCTAGAACAATCGAGCATCTAATCACGTACCCTTGGACACATTAGATCCAAGCGATTGAACAAAGATTCTAAACTCCCTCGACAATTTAAATTACATCATAGCGTGCACGCAAGTTCTACCTATTTCCCAAGGACCTACCGCGGTAAAAAAATCCTTATGTACAGTACGACCGTGCATCCATCACATGACAAGTATAGCCGCGAGGTTTCAAAACTTTCGAGATTTTTTCCCGCTCTATCCCGATTGAGATAGATATGGTAGGGTAAGGTAAGGTATAAACTTTATTTTACCAGAGTGGGCCAATCAGCCGTTAGGCTGGTATCCAGAGGGGCCCAGAGCAGACCTTTTGGAGCTCAAAATGAAAATAAACATGTAAGTAATACTCATTTCGAAAAACAATGAACATCTAGTACTTTCAAGCGACGAAATTAGTCTCAAACGCGATGCGAATCATGGCTGAAAAAAACAAAACTAAGCTTTCTGACTTCAACTGAGGCTCTGCGATGTTGGGTAATCTTCATTAAACGGTATTTTGAAGTGTTGATATGTCTTAAAAGTGTTGTTAGTGTTGTTCAATGATTTGAAATCGTACAATTTTTAGAATTTTCATCAAATTTAGTGCTACTTACAATTTATGCGTTTGTTTGTTTATTTTCAAGCGAATCTTTCGGTACTTTTACAAAATAAAAATTCTAAATCCAATCAAATTTTATCCAACTACTTTCTGCTACCTTGATTTAATTTATTAATTTTATTATCCTATCTCATGAAATTTCCTTTAATCTTCGCCGATTTGATAAGTAAGACCATCAGCTTGCTTTTCTTTTGAATATTTTTATTTTTACTTTACTGGTAGGCTCTAAAAACAAATGTGATTAACATTTTACTAATAAAACACCCTGCCTTTGGTCTATGATACATAGCAATGAGAAATGATCTAACAAGAATCTCTCAATGGATTTGTTGGCTACGAATACTTATTCACCTTTGAAATTCTCAGCTAAATGACGTTGTATATTTATACTCAAGAGTTGTTATATTTTTATCCTTCTCCCCCCATCCATCCTCCACTAACTTTATTCCTTTCCCTAATTTGTCTCTTTGTTTGTTTGTACCATGAATAATGTTTGCACGGAAAAATCTGCTTGTGATAAGGCTGTTGATATCTGTGATCAAGAAGAGGGAATGGAATGCAACATAGAGTGCTGTTCAGAAGACCTGTGCAACGGTGATGATAGAAAGTGACTTGGCAGGTAGAACTCCCTTTTATTTCACAGGGACGTACGTAACATATGAAACTAAACAATGTAATTCCAACAACATTACACTAAGATTTATCACCTACGCAGTAGCAGTAATCGTATGATGATACGATATTTTTATGGTGTTCAATCCTTTAGAAACCGTTTCTGATGTAGTTCAAAGACAGTTCACTACGTTACACACTAATGATTTCTCGTTAGGAGTGCATTGGTTTTCCGATTTTCTCTATCATTGAAGCTATGATTTGTGTTGAAAGATCAGTGAAAATAAACCTTAGTGATTTGTTTACTGCTCTCTTGTATATGAGGTCCTTTAAAATTCCCTTAAATTTTATTTCATTTGATTTGTATTGTTCCAGGTTTCGAGACATCTTCGTAGCCTCAGAGGAGCATTACTTATTGTGGTTGATGCTCAGTTGACTGCTTTCCGAAACTATGAAAATCATAAAGGGAGAGGAAGTTTTCCTCTTTACCTTATTTAGAAATATGTAACGCAAAGAAGTTTAGTCTATTTACCTCTTCGTAGCATACATAAAGCAGTAAAGATTATATAAAATGCTTTAACTTATTCCATAGTCGCACTAAGAGTTGTTTGTTGTGTTACAGAATGTGACCTCATGCATGTATTCAACAGTGGACTGTTGAATTAATTAAGTTGTGATAAACGTTCCCGGATCATCTTCTTCTTTCGGGATTAACCTAACTGACTCGTGTGTTCTCCGTGCAATCCGTTTTTATTCCATCCCATCCCATCATGACAGAAGGAGCGAATTTAACATAGTGTATATTTTCAATGTCCTGTTTGGTAATGTTCCTGAATTGAAGTCATCGCATTCCTTGTTTGTTTTGGTAAGAATTAAAATTCAGGTTTAATAAAATTGTTATGTACAAGTACATGTGTCTTTCTTTCAAATGGTCCTCCGACTTCCCATGCAGTTGTAGCTGTACTGTAAAATGAAGAGAGCCAAATTGACCCCATAAGCCAAATCGGCGCTAATGTTTTGAGGGCCAATTTGGCCCGTCGAGGGTCGTTTCAAACTATTTAAGCCAAAACGGGTCAGACAGGTACCATTTAGACCCCTCCAAACACTGAATTGGTCCAAATGAATTCCACTTTGGAACTTTTTCTCGATTTGGCCCTTCCACGAGCCAAGTAGGATTTACCAATTTGACCCCAACAAAGTGCAATGCTTGAAATGACTGATAATTTTCCCAAAATTGTCAAGGACAGCATTAGACATGTTACGTGGAAGTCCCACCACGACTTGAAAGACACACGGACGTAGGGATTCGGGAATGTTAAAGTGTATACTGGTAAAAGTAGATCTTTAACTCGGACGAAACCATAGTAAACTATCGATTGGCTTACTCAACTTTATGTAGTGAATTTTTTAATGATTCAATTTTGTTTTAAAAGCAATTTCTCTCCAAAATTCGTCCTTCTTTTGCTAGTGCGTCCTAGCAGCTCCCTCTGCGTATCACATCAGTCGAACCTAGAGTTCTTATTCGGTACGATAATTAATTTTTCCGTCAGAGAATTTGATGGAATTTGATGCATGCGTGGTTCGCCTTTTCTTTTGAACCTTCTTGAGTCTCAGTAGTTTCACAACTAAGGTCGTGTGTTTTCATTTTGGCGCCGAGAGATAGAGGCAGTTGCACAAGGTGGACCTAAATTATTTCAAGATTCTCTGATTTTAGAATCTCTCACTCTGAATTCCTGATCTTTTGCTGTCTATGTCTTGGTTTGTATCTAATGAAGCTGAATTTTTTGCTCTCTCTCTTTCAGTGTGCAGAATCAAGTTCTTCGAGTGAGAAGTTTCAAACGTCGATTGTACCCAGGCCAACTGTGTAATATCGGTCTTCGAACTACACAAGTAATTCTTACCGTGGATTTGAATGGCCGGTCATGTGGAATTCTCGCTGGATTGATTCCCCCACGTCAGAACTTTTATGGAATTTGATTTAGATAAACTTATAGTACAACTATCTGGTTTTCATGAGGCAAAGTCTCGAAGCAAGGAGACGTGGTTTCGTCGGATAATCGAGCGATTTTCGCGGAGAGTGGATTAGTCCGTTGCTTTTACAAAGCCTTCCTCCCTTTACTTCTTCTGGCAGTAGTGGGATGAATCTCGAGGAAATAACCTGGAACCGCCACCAGAGAACAAAAATAACACAAGTAACGCTATCTGAAGGTTAGAATTTATTTGCTGTATTACTTACGGGGTTACAGAGCGGAGCTTTACATATTATCCTCTCACAAAGAGCTTGGGCCCCCGTGCTGTCATGCTACACTCTAGGATTTCAACTGTTGTCCACGCGGAGGCGGTTTGCGCCCAGAAAATCCATCTGATTGACTATTTTTTTAACCCTCAGTTTACAATCTAAGATCATTGCTCGTTAGGAATGTCTCAATTCCAAAGTCCCCGCGCATTACGCTAGGAATAGGTTCAGGGTAAAACGAGCGTTTTCCACCTGCCTTTCCAATTTCGTTTCTTTCTGCCTATGTTTGGATGCAAAGACTGTTCACGGTCACGGAAGAGGCTTGGGTACAAGGTCAATTTTCTCTGCACTTTGAGTGGTATAGTCAATTAATTTACATACGATTTACTTACCCAATGCAGCCCTATAGTGAAAAACCTCTTACTCCATAGTGATATACTCAAGCAAAATTGACCGTTCCACCCTCGGTAGAGAGAGAAAATCGACTTTTGCCTGTGGTTCAGGTAGCCTAAGGAGTGCTTGCGAAGCGAGTCTAGAACATGATCGAGTGTTTTCGCCGGGCTGTTGAAAATTACTTTTCAACAATTAATCAATTACATTTTTTGATAATTAAGGAAAAAATTCGGAAAGAAAGCAACGCGAGGACAAAGGGAAAACTCCCACCATAGATAAGACGTATATTTTGTTATTCTGGGTTAGAGTAGATATGCAGTGAAGTAAATAAATGTTCAAAAAAGCTTGTTTCATACCAAATGATATTTTCCTACCCGCTGAGCATACCAAATAATACTGCAGCAAAAATGGAAAGTAGTGCTAGGTGAACACACGAAGTCGAATTGCACATGTCATGCTGACAACATCGAACATGGCAATATGTATCATTCCTGGTATTGGGTCCCCGACAAAGTTCATTGAGATCGTCGCAGTGCTCCTTAGAGGTGCAAAAACGCCGTTCCACTTCAAAGTTTTGGAATTTTCTGTACAATCTGACGCAGAAATTCCAAGGTGGGCAAATCATTGTTTCTGACTCATCGTTACACTGATGACTCGTGTAAGACGTATTTAAAGGAGTAGAATGGTTAAAAACGAGACTTTCCTCGGACCCAGGGCAGTAGTCACATTTCAGACAGCCTTCACCCTGATTGATATTCTCATTACATAAGTTCTCTCGGCAGCAAACGTGGCTGCACTCTATGACCCCTTTAGATTGGTTACAGATCTCGTTGTATTTCGATGTAAGGCTGTCTACGGGTACACAACCTTTAAATTCCACCTCCGTGGTTTCGTTGTACTCTCGGTAAGTGGCCCTAACATGCATACAAATATCGTCTTGACCAAGGCAAGTGGTATTGACTTGATTCTGACTGCACTGGGCGGGTGTGTAGAGCTGGCTTTCGGTGCCTTCGCAGCTGTAACACTGATGACTTGAACCTGCGAAAAATGAGAAGAATTAAGCTAGGGAATGCGGCTGGTCGGTAATAACAACTAAATTAATCAACAGATGGATTATACACAGATACAATAAAATATACACAGATACTGAGATTACCGTTGTTAATTCATTGACAAACACATTTACTCAACGGAGTATCTCAGCCAAGCGCCGTTTTTAGGTTCAGACTACATCCTTAGCGAATAACTAGAATTACGACAAATAACTAGAACTTTTTTTCCGGTTGCCACCATAGTTTTGGGGTATTAGGAGTACACGTAAAACTACACCAAAGAAGTTGCCGCAAAAGAGATTCCACTAAAATCCGACTACAACCTTATGACGATTTACCCACCTGCATCTATAAGGGTGAAGATTGCGAACCATAGAACACACAGAAAAGTCATCATGGCAGTATCACTTTGTGAACGTGTAGCGTCACATGAACAAGTTGACACTCAGAAATTGAGTTTCAGTTCCAACTTATAGTAATTATCTACTTGAGAGTTAACTACTCGAAACTTTTAACTAAATTTGCAGCCAATCAGGGCGTTTTTATGGAGCAACGTAATATGGATGATACGTTATAGGTGTTGGTGAAAAATTTAGTTCTCGTCGGAGAAATAAAGAAATGTAAGATTAAAGACAAGCAGATGATGAACCCAAAAAGATTCTATGAACAGACTTCGTAAAAATAGTGGTACTTGATTCCCTACAGTATTTGTCAATGTTGCGTGCCTTGATAAGACGTTCCATCACAAATAGCCCGAGGAAAATAATACCCTAAGGGAGGACATCACGTACAACTTGGGTCATGACGAAGACCTTGAGTGAGGAAATAATACTAAAGCTACTTCTACTTCAGCTTCTGAGCCTTTTTTTTCAGTACTGCTCTTTACTATTTAATGCCTTTATCGACATTCTGTTTATCACGTACGCTCGATTTGCATGGTTAGCTGTACGTTTGGCTGACCGCTTTTTATTCCAAATTGTTTTCTGGCTATTCATGCAAATGATAATCTAAATTAATAACTCATTTTGATCATATGTAATCTTTGAGAAATATTTTTTTGTCTACTTTCGCAAAATTCTACCGCAAGAAGTTCAAGGGCAGGGCTACGCTTCTGGAATTCTGCTATCGGTACCGAATACAACACATTGTTTTTGAGTTCGTGATGTATGCCACCTTTTCATTGTTGCATTTGCTTTGCCATGATTAAATCCTTCACTCAAGTAGAGGTTACATTGTATCGGCTGTGAAAAATCGCTAATAAGGAAATCATAAAGAATAAAATGTAAAGTCGACATTACCAAGTTTCTCTGATGATAATCTTTCCTTATATGCATTTTGCAGAATTTTATCGCAAGGAAAATGAAAGGAAGATTATCCCTTTTTTAAAATACTTTGGGTTTCGGATTTGAATGAAAACAAAATGTCCCGCCATTGTTTTCAAGAATGTTATGTATTTCAAATTTTCCTTTGTTCCCTTAGGTTTATTTGTTTCAGCCAAACGAAGTAGGATTTTGCTTTAATAAAGAATAACGAACAACTTAATTCATAGTTCAGTGAATGGCTTCAGCCCGGGGTTAAGATTTCATCATGTGTTCTTATCGTCTGGGTGATGGTGGATAGTCCTTAGTAAGACTGTTACAGGTAGTGGTGCCTATGTTTCGACAACCTGAGCGGAAGACGTCATCAGAGTCACATCAACTCAGTTAGGTTTTCGAAAAGTCAGTCACCCCTAATGAAATTAGTCCTTCTCAGGAACACCCTCACCAGGACGATCAGACTGCGCGATTTAATTCATGGTTATCAGCTTTAATATTGAACGGAAGAAAATGTATCCTTGCAGCCTTTTATGTAGAAGATGGCTAGGGACTATAGGCACTTTGCTAATTACACTTCACCGAACTGCGAAGGAACGAAATTGTTCTGTTAAATGGGTCGTTCTTCTGATATATATGTATGTTTTTTTCTAAACTAAAGGTTTAAGATTAAGATGTTTGAGAAAGCATATTCAGCGATTGAATGTTTATTTCTGGTGTTATGGCAACAAGAATATGAAGCTGCCAGTGGAAACTGGGAGTTTAGTAGTTACAGAGGTTACTCTGGCAGCATTTTACTTCACATTCAACTCCAAGGTTCTGCTCACAGTAACCCTGGGCTTGGTATTCCTGGCAGAGAAAGTCAGTTAAGCATCCTTTTGCGTAGCCTTGCAGTCCAGGGGAGTGGGAGATGAACGTTCCACAGCGGTTTTCTTCTCCAAAACAGATTTGCTCTCGTTGGTTTTCAGTGCAGTCATCCATTGACAGGAAACTCGAGCAATGCAAACAGGACAACACTTCGTTTCCTTTTGCTTCATAAAAAGTAGTAAACGAAAAAGAGATACTCTTGATGTTTCTTACTGCTACGTTATCATTGAAAAACTATCCCATTTCAATTAAAAAGAGACGGCGCTTTGCTGTAGACTAGCATTTCATTGCAAATCTAGCTAGGCGCCTAACGCAATAAACCTTCCCAAAGCAACCTAAGAACACCAATTGGCTACAGTTAAAGCCGTGTGTGTGCGCTCTCGCTTCCTCTTAACTCTTCGACCGACTAACTGAAGTTTCTTTGTAATTCATTAAAAGCCAGTCACAAATTCGTGACGCTCTTTGCAAACAAGGTTATAAAGGCTTAAATTCTATGATACATTAGAGCTTACCATCATGAAAAAGAAAAGTGACCAGAAGAAGTACAACAAACTTCATGATGAACACAATCTAAAGCTTCGTTATTTAGATGAAAACGAAAATGGCCTCAAGAAACGGGCACAGACTATATGTACCTCCTTTTATTTATTCAGCTTCCCAGATTAAGGTGATTTGTGAGGGAGAGTTACCAAAAACACGGTCAAAAAAGGTTCTAATTGTATATATTTTTTTCAACCAAATAAACTACAATTCTAAGCTGTCTACATAGAAATTCAATGCTATTAAATTAAAATTCTATATAAGTTTATTGTTTCCTTTATTGGAAATAATTTTGTCGGCGTTTTGTTGCCATAAACGTATGTCAGCCTGCGTAATGTGATACCTCAGAGTAAAGCTGTAAGTAAAAGGCACTGGTTTATTTATTATTGAACATTTTTTTCATTACGAATGAAAAAATAAAAATAAGGGATGTTTAGTCGGATATGAGCCAGATAAGGTCTGAATCATTTTGACTCACTTTTTTCACATTTCATCGTCATCAAACAAAAGTCAAAATCAACCATTGCAACACTTTAATTCAAACTTGGGAATAAGTTCTCACAATCACTTAACAACCACGAAACTTGTTCAAAGCTTGCCTTTCTCAAGACATTCATTTAGCTCCCATATTTTCATCGTTGCAAAGGCTTCCTTCACAGCAGTATAATTCGCACTCGATACTTGGATCGCCTTCAATGTGTCCATTTTGACATAGAGAAGAGCAAAAATCATCCGGGATGCACCCTTTGCGAAACAACGATATTTCTCCCTGATGGGCAAACATGACCCCACAACGGTTTTCCTTGAGAGAGCATTGTTCTTGTGTTTGACTCTCAATGCAGTCGGCCATTGAGGAGTTGCTGACACATGTATGGCAGAAGGAATCCTTCACAACACTTCCTAAGATGTCAAGAAGTAAATAAAGATTCGACGTTAAGACACAGACATGAAAACAAAAAAATTAAGCGTTACTCGTGTGCAGTCTACACAATTGCAAACCTGTTGCTTTTCGAAGCCAACAGCGCTGAACGTTTGATTTAAAGCCCGCTGCAAATTGTAGAAGTTACATCGCCTCCAAATGTTTAAGGTGATTTATTTAACACAGTTACTAACCTTCAACGTAATCACCGTTGCACAAGTCTCCTGAACAGCACTGTATGTCGCATTCCATTCCCTCTCCTTGGCCACAGATATCGATTTCCCCATCGCAAGCAGCAGTAGGTGCGCAACCTTGATACATAAAACAAACAAAAAGTCAAGCAAATAAAGAACAAGTAAAACTGAAAAGCGAATGGAGGATGGGTGGGAAGAGGCCAGGAACATATCAATTCTTGAATACAGATAGACAACACTTGTGAGTTGAGAACGTCAACTTTGGGTTTCATAAGTCGCTCGTTCGATCATTTCTCATCTTTATGTATCATAAATCAATGAGAGTGGGAAAATTTATAGAGAGATCTGTTTTCAAACGGCTCTCAGAATAAAATTTTCCCAAAAAACAAGCCAAATAGACCATTTAAACATTCTAAACTAAAACAAACCTTTCACAATAACTAGCGAGGATATGCTGTCGCTTTCATACTTTGCTTCCACTGTGGCACATCTGACTGACCCACCTACACACGTGGTCTGAATCTCCTTTGATGCGCAATCAGCTGGAGATGAATAGCTTTCGCACTGATAGCACATCAAACTGTTCACTTGGTAAAGAAGAAGAAATAGAGAAGAGGTAAAATAAGAAAGAAAGACTAAGAAAGAAATGGTTATAAAGAAATGGATAAATAAGAGATACATCGGTTAAGACATTGGGAAATCACTCCCGAAGATGGTGAAGATGATAATGAGATGATGAAATTTATAATTTTTTAGGATATAGGTGCCCGCAAAATTTCGAAAAAAACGATTAATTAATTGAAAACGTAAGATAGCAATCGGGAGTGATTCGATAACAGGCAAAAGTTATTTTTGCATGATGATTGAAGAGTCAAGCTATATTGTATGAGAGAGCAACATGAAGAAAAATTTCAAAGAGTGCTCTATAGATGTTGCTTTTTCGAGCCTGAGGATCTTCACAATGGTTTTAGAAGCATGCACGTTCTACTTTGACATACTACCTTCCAAAGCTCCTAGAAGCAGCGTAAGTAAGGTAATCACCGTGAACTTCATGTTGATGATAGTCATCAGACCAAAGTCAATTTGAAAACAGTGTCATCCAGGAAGTATTTTATTTTTTCAGTTGTTTAACCAGCTGGCTTCTTTAAGTGCATTTCAAAATTATTAGCAGCCCGAGTGTTTTGTTGCTAAACTATTAAACGCATATCATTTCAACGCTAAAAGTGGAGAAAAATAGCGATTACAATAGTATGGCAAGCTGATGGGTTGTCTTATATATAAAGTGAACTTCTGAATATTTTCGACGCTCTTGGATAAATTTGAGAATTTAACATTCCATGAGAAGGGATGATAAGTTAATAGTGAGAAAAGAGACTCGTTGGATTGGAGCTAATCGAATCAAGTATTTATATTCACTAAAACTTAACAAAGCACTTCTTTTCTGTTTTAAGCGAGGTGTCTAACAGATCAAATGACACATATCAAATAATTTCATCTCTTTACATTGAACAAAATAAATACCGAAAGATTCGCAAAAATAAAAAAAAATCATTCATAAGAGGAGGCTCTCCTTATTATTGCCCCTTTTTAGTTCGAGCAATTTTTTCTTTGAAAATGAAAACGATAAGATGTAGCAACTTTGTAAATGCTCGCATTGTCTACAGCAGCAGTTGTAGACAATATAACAGTTCTTATTAAATTACAAATTTAATTTTAACTCGTCATATGCAGTTTAGATAGAGTTAAAGGCTTTTTGTATCAACTGTATATTTTCATGGACAAACACTTTAAAAATTTACTGAATTAAACATTTCCATTAAACTATCAAAATGACCATTCATTAGATAGCTTTATTGTCATGCACCTGTCTCGCCACTAGCCCCGCTAAAAGTGTCTCATAGTGTTTATCATTTGGCCAATGACGCCTCATCCTTGATTGCCACTCCCCAATTGTCTTAGAAGGTTTTTATTATATTTAAAGTGCATGCCTCGTACTTTCCTACTTTTGCTTTTTGGACTTCTGTGTTCCTCTGTCGCCCTTTTTCTTTAAGATTGAAAGGAAACGCCAGTATAATTGACTATGTAGTTAGAGACTGAACGCGCCAAACACTTTACTCATTAATTATACATTTTTCCAGGGAAAATTATTCGACGATGTCGTGATTTAGCATGGCTAACGTTTACAGCAAAGGCAGGTGTAGACAAAACAGCCCATCTGATTAAATCTCAGTCTTGCAATTTTAGACCAAATTTATTTGACATTCAACTAGAGTTGGTGTTAAGGACGCTAGACAAAGACCCATTTTGATTAGTTAATAATTGTCTCTCTATCACTATATCGTAGTTACGCACGTAGTGGCAACAATTATTTTTGATTTAATTGACTTTCTAATCGGACTTTTTAGCGTCAACACGTACATATATAAGCTGAGTCCGCGTTCTCATAGGGTAGTTTTTCGTTAAATTTTGCGTGGCCTTGTCAACCTCACACTCTCGACGTTTCTTAATTCTTAACCATTGACTCAAGCGGGATCGATACGTGAGTACCTTTGTCATTTTGTTTAGGTCACGTTGAATGGTTCTAGGCGAAAGAATACAAATGAACGTTATTGAGCAACGTGAACTAATTTATAACAGTGTAAATTAGAAAACGCTCTTGACGCTACCAGAGAGAACGCCGACCGTCTTAAGTTCGAGAGCCTAAGGCTGTTAATTAGTTCCTTTTTTAATATGTAATTCTTTGATTGGATATCGTATGGTGTTTTACATAGTTTTTATGCTGGTACATCATTTATGTAGTTTTTTTCAATTTCAGTACGCTATATACTCAAAATCGTTCATTTGTCTCCTGTAAGTTTTGGCTTTTAGTACGCAACTTTTTTCCGCTAAATTGATAAAAATATGTTGCTTCAGTTTACGATCTTTTATTCTGATGCAATAAATCGCCGATAACCGTCAGCTTTGGTTTTCCGTGGGTTATTTGTCTTTGGGAACAACCTGTAGAGTCACTCATTAGTTGCGAAACGCCTAGGACTCGTTTCGTTTTGCTTCGTTTTGGAACTTGGCAGTCGTTGCAAACGCTAAATCTGTTTCCTTTAAAAGCAACTTTTAAGTTTTTTAATTCATTAAGTTCGATTGCATTGAAATATCAAAATAAACTATAATTGGATAATTTCACTTCCTCACCGCCGTCACATCTAAGAACCGAGGTTTGTCTTATGTGTGAATTTGGGGCGATATTGTAAGGAGAAATCAGATGCTAATCAATCTTACATGCTAGTCACTCTAGTCTCTCTTGTTAAAGGTCCACAGCAATAATCACTTTTTCTTGACAAAGTAGAATTTCGAAGCCAATCAGTCACTTCTAATCATTCTATCGCAGATTTCATGTTTAGTCATCCAGGAGATCACAAATATTCAACCTTGGCTTGTTTCCCAATGAAATGGGCTTTACCTTATTTAAGTTGCTTGGAAATGAATGGCATAAATTGCTGGCCAATATTACATCAACTAACTGAACATATGCAAAACATTTTACAAAAAACCTGAAATATGATTATGAAGCGCTATTTGGTTGTGCTATCTATTCCGTGCCGAGGAAAGCGCTCGTTAAGTGAAACAACCGCCTTATTTTCTGAAATATGAACGCTCTGCTAACGCACTGGAGTTCCGCCAGGGTGATAAATGTTTATGACACATTAGGGCACGTGATTACCTTTCCATGCATTATTTTCACTTGGAGTAGTGGGAAACGTTTGCTATGTATGTAGATGCCAGCCTACAAAGTGAAGACCTGTAGATAACTAGTAAGAATAAGTCTAATCAAAAGTATTTAGTCTATTTAGTACTCTTGAAGTACACCAAGAGGGATTGCATGAGTTTCCGACATTTTCCCAGTTACATACACTCCAGACATTGGGCGTTTTCATATTCTTCCATGTGTGAAGTCCACTTGTTTCCAGGAACTGAAACGTTTCGCACCATTTGCAAGTTGACTTCCATCTCATGCTTCCCAAAATGTTGTTATATTCACGAAGAGCAATCCAAATGAGTGCATGTGATTCATTTATTGGTAGTTTTCGAAGAGCTGAAACGTGAAGTTCTTCTGGTTGTCAGCCTTTATCAATTTCGTCAGGCTAAGACTGCTGTGACCATTGTGTTTTACAGCGAAAATGATCTCGATAATATTCCTGGTTTGGCTGTTCACAGTTCAGCATCGAAGCAGGGTAGGAAGGGGCAGATCGCCTTGAAACTTCCCCTTAAAATCCCGGCCAAATACAATTTAGATAATTGGATTTTTCACACAATTACCACAGGTCTAGAAGAGTGCCAGGAATTGACGATCGCGAGTAGGAGTTAAAGTAGAGGGAGAACGGTTGTAAGGTCCAAGCATAACATTAATTTTAACTGGAAGCCATAATAAAGCGAATATAAGATCAGCTATGAGGAGCATCTTATGGAAATTCTTTTTGGCTTTGATCTCAACTTTTTAATTGGCCGTAGTCACTTGCCCTGGAATCCTTCGCATCCATATTCTGTGGATGATAACGGTGTAAAGAATGATTATTTCCAACATTTATGAACTGCGCTTGGCGCGAAAAAACGAGAAGACAGGCATATTATTGCTATGTGCACATCGATAAATTATAATTAAGCAGATAAAAACAGCTTTTAGGACAAGGAAATTATCGAATTGCAGGCAAAATAGCTCAATAGTGGTTTAACTCCCTTACATGGCTTGGCTCACAATTTCGCAGGTCTTCAACCGTCAGAGGTGCAGAAAATCAGGGATTTCTTTTCGAATAAGCAAATAATCATACAAAGTGGAAAAAAAGAACACGAATTGAATATGTGTAACTTACCAAATACGCCAAACCCTATTACAGCTATTCTATCGCCGCGGCAAACTAATACTCTAACCTCAAAGTGGGCGCGATCCTCGTCCAAATTGAGCTATTTTTTCGGCGAAAACTACACTTTCGGCTTTTGCTGAATTTTTCTTTATGATTTCTGTGCGGGAACGGGGCCTTTCCATACTTGTGCTCATTTTAAAGGCCACCCGAAGGGCCGGGAACCTTTTCATCCATTCCTAACTTCGACGCAGGACGTTTGGAATTCAGACTGTGGGAAATCCAATATCAACTGATACAGGAAAGGTGTGACAAAAACATAAAACTCACCCTTACTGAGAATGCAGCATCAAAAACGTGTCAAGGAGCTTCAAAATGGTCTGCAGATGCTCTTGCAGCCGACAATCCAGCCACCCGAAAGGAGTTTATTCACAAGATACTCCTCATATATGATTCTGACTTTAAATCTCACTAAGGGTCGGTAACAATTTTATTGCTGTATAGACGAGATCAAAAACATCAGTTGCAAAATGAAAAAGAGTAATGTAGAAGTGAATGCCGATATATATAATACGCTTCCCTTCTCCCCCATACTGAGGAATAGTGCCACCAATTTAGATTCGATTCCTTAGTGTCCTCATTCGAAATCACACAAATTAGCGGATGGAACTGGTTGTTTTAACAGAAATTACTTAAGTTTTTCACAGCGCGCCTTGATCTTTCACTGAGTCCTGAGCAGTGGTGCTCTGAGTGACGATGTCTATTGCCCTTCCATTTTCAAGTGGCTCCGGCGTCAGTCGTAAAACTTGTATTCTTGTCGCTTGTTTTGTTTTGTCGAGAAGAATAAATAAAATGATAACCGCGGTGAATGTACACTCGAATGATCCAACGAATAAAAGAAAATTTAGCTCCAGTTGATCGCAAAAATACATAATGCATTGTAATGGAACAGCAAAACTCGCGCGGTAGAAAACGGCAGCTATTGCAAAGGATGTAAGATCTGCGCCACCAGAAAAGATATGAAACCATCCGAGAATTGAGATTAATAAAAACCAACATGATTGGAATGAATAGTTCTGGTCTTCGTTTAGTTGAAGCTTGAGTGGTTTGGCGATGAGCGTAGGGAATATCATCAATACTGCACCACCACTGAACTGTAAAAACCCGATTATTTGAACTACCAGAGATGATAACGCACGTTGGTTAAGTGACCAAGAATTTTTCAATGAGCCAAATACCTCTTTGACCAAGGTCCTAGCCGATGCATGAGAAGTTTCTTTGAACCAAATGCAAAGTGTAAGCACTGACAGAGTTGTGTCCAGTGTCATGAAGAGTGTTGCGAAATACAGAGGTACCATACCTCGAAGAAATGACATCAACAAGGCTGCATTGACCAGGAAAAGTCTTTCGAAAATACTGCTCAACATAGGCCCCTGCTTCCCAACGCAAGAACCATTTCTAGCGACTATGATATAACAGAAGCCGACAGCGAGTAGATAAATACCAGACATCCTCATAAATCCTTCATCTGTCTGGCTAATTTCAAAAGCAAGAATCGCGCTCCAAACTTTAGGAAAACACAATAGAGATAGTCCTCCGCCTCCGTATGCTACTAAAGATGCCCATTGGGTGAATAAAGCTGTCTTCGTGAGCTTATGGTCGGGCGAGAGCGAAATCATGGTCTTGAACCACGCAAACACCATTTTAATGGCACTCTAAGAAAAAAAGGAATTTGATAAGAAACGTAATACATCTAGGTTAATTAGTTTGGTGCTTTGTCCTCTCATGACTAAGAGTTAAAATTACATTAGTAAATTCTCCCTGTTAAGATTGTAAAACAAAAACGAGTACGAAAGATGTTCTGAAGTGGCCTATTGCCCTTATTGATGTAATGCCTTAGCTTTATGGAGTTTAACGTATTTTCTGGATCAAAACTTTAAGATAAATTTAATTTATTTATCAATTCCTGCTTGGACATGGTAAAATTATATCAGCAAAGATACAAACAAGTTACGCACGCGTATTTGTTGATTTCTTCTTGCGATTAAATTATTCAGGACAATAATGACAGAAAAATGAATAAGGAAAGATAAAACGAGGAGCTTAAATACTGTGGGAACTTTGTTCCTTTGTTTACAGCTATTCCACGGCCTTATGTATTCACTTTTCGTAATGTACCTGAAAAAATGACGCGCTTCTGATTGGTTGAAAACGAGTACATTCTCATGGAACACGAGTGCAAATTTTAAGTACCGCGCACGCTTTCAAAATTTCGTCTGTCTTGACTTTCTGCGATTTTGTGTGATTCTGTGTATTACTGCAAAATACACTTGCCCTACGGGCTCTGCAAATTTTGTCTTCGTCGAAAAATTTGCTCAAGCTTATTTACACCAAATTGCACTAGTAATATGTCATGGTCCGTGTTGGGAAAACCTGTGGCCGAGGTCTTGAGTACTCAAGACAGAGGAAACATTTTTTCCCAATGCGAACCTACCTAGGCTGATGAATAACGTTTTTATTTTTTTCCAAAGCTTCACGAATTCCTGTCAAAAGAACCCGAATAATTTAGGATTGTAATTACAGTACGATCCTCCTTGAACTGTACAATTTTTGAGCTAGTAAATGGCAGTTATAACAGAGGTAATTCAAATTGAAGAGAGAGACTTCACCAAAATAATTTTGTTTGTGTAGCGATAAAGGTGATTTAAAATACTTCCAAACAAATTTTGAAACATTTTTTACAAGCATCTGTCACAATCTGACAACAACTGTCAATTAAAGAGGGCTTAAGAAAAAAAAAGCGCATGTGTACTTTTGAAAAAAAAGAAAAAAACAAACTCAAGTTCAATGACTGTCACGACAATTTTTTCTTCAAAACCTTTTTAACGATCTTACGGAAAGTAATATTCAGTTCCATCGATGATTAGTGTACGAAGAGTACTTCTGTAAATTGCAAGGAAGTAATTGTTTGTAAATTCAAATGTATGTTTTGAGACACCTTAACTAGACCCAAGGGGAATTTAAAGCGGCTTTTTCTCGTTGAATTCATTCGGTTTTTGTTGTGCAATTAACGGTACAAATGGCCAAACTGGACAGACTTGCAAAGACTTACCGAAAACGTATTTGTCGTAGGACTGAAAACTTTGCTACAACGAAAAAATTGTTTGAGAGAATTTAGATATTACACGAATGAAAGTTCCATCGGTTAATTCAACTGTAAACAAATATCTCACAAATTTAACTTTCCGTTTTTAGGCCGCGCGTTAACCAATTTAATAATGACACCTTTACTACCACAAACTCATCTCGAAAACAATTTTCTGCTGTCAACCAAAGTGATTCGAGAGTGAGAAAAGAGACGATTAATAAGTCATTAATCGGCTTGATTTGCGTAAAAATAATTTGCTTGAAATGGCAACGAAGCTAGGGATGTTCTCGGTGAACTACGAAAGCTTTACCGTGCCCGTGGGCAGAGATAGGAAAATCCGGATCGCACTAAGAGCCAACCAGATTGCAGGATTCGTTACCGTGGCCACTGAGAAAAAGTCGCGCATGATTTCCACGTGGCCACATAAAACAAATAAAGAATGATTTATTAAGCCTGAGTGTTCTTAGTAGGTTTTTTCTACTCTCTTTTGGATAATGATACGCACACCTAAAACATTTCCCTTTACCGAAATCCATTAAAAGTGTTCAATTATCACCGAACAGAATATTCCCTTAAAATGACTCCACTGTAAAGCTCTCAAAATCGAATCATCTGGTTCTTTGACATAGTAGGTTTTCAACTATCACGTCTTCTATTATATTTCGATGGGTCGAGAAATTGTGGCAAGAAGAAAGCGTTAAAGCGATGAGCGGCTTAAAAATTTCTTAAAGATAGGCCATTTTTTTATTTACATCGAATTTTTCGTTTCGTTTTGTTCGAACATGCACAAGGAAAACTAGACACTTTAGCAAATTCAACCGAAACAGAGATCTTCAATGGATCATTACGTGAAATAAAACTCATCATAAGATCTCTTTTAAGCCGTCTAAGACCCTTCCTTTAAAATGATGATAAAAAGTGACGATCGCAAGCAGGTAAAATCTACTGATAAGCAATGAAAGATATGCCAGCGTGTCAGAAATTTACTTACTGTTTCTTGATACCATCACCGTTTCACACGCGAGGTTAGGACTTAGGGTCTACTTAACATAAAACAATGAGGTATTTTTGTTTTTTCGTTGTTTATTTCCCCTCTGCAATGTTGTTTCGTTGGTGGCATGTTTGCTTTTTGTGGCCTCTTTAACTTCTTCTTTTAAATATTTACTTTGAAATTGGTTACTGATTAATTTTTGTCCCACGAATGACGTATTCTTTCGCGTCAAGAAATACTTTAAAAAAATCGTTTTCAACGCATATGCATACTGTTCTGGTTTAGATAACCATGTACATTAAAGGCTATCTTACCACTTTGATCACAATGAAGCTCAAATTCTCGTAATTTACATTGCAAATTCTTTACAATTCTTGTTACTCTGGTGAAAAGTTAGACATCTATAAGCAGGCTGTCGGTTTTAAATAAACTCGAAATTACACCGAGAAAATTACATTTTTAAAATCATACTCTATGAATTTAATGGTATAATGTAACTTATATTTCTTTTCCACGGGAAACTCCATTCTGGAACTTACAGGGCTGGCTGCAGTTGGTTATTGGTGTCTTGCCAAAGCTATCCCACATATCACGTATATCGTAAGACCTTGACTCTAACATTTGCCTTTCTTAAAACACACTGTGTTCCCCACAACGATACAAGACGTGATTTTGAACTTCAGTTCCCAATCACTATATTCATTGTTCACCTCTGAAATTTTTTGGTTTACCATTTCAGGTCTCACGGCGAATTTATTCTCATCTTTATCAATTGCCGGCTGTTTCAAGCAAATTGTACAAAAATAATATCTCTTACCTTAGATCACAAATGAATGACACAAGATTTGTTGTTTCTCGCTCGTATAGCAAGGTTGGACAAAAATGATTTCCACTTTTTCAATTACAATTTTGGATTTGAATGATATCACTGATAGAAAACTGACATGTAAATTGATGCGGCATGTAAATGTAACTAGAGATAACATGAAAGGTCTCGCCGTCCTCACGTTTGAGGCGTAGTTTACTTTAATACTCACTACATTTATCTCCCGCAACGACAGCAAATTAACTCATCTGGGAAAAATAACAAAAGAAAATCGACAAGCTTCGTAAAAGAGTAAATAAGAGAAAGTACTTATTTGCCTGACCACATGTAATGAGTAATTTGCATATTGTATTTTACAAAAAAAACATAAGGTGTTTACATTAAGACGTATAGTACTTCAAAAAAAGGGAAATTTTCACGACATGGGAAATAAAAACGTTAAAAGTGCTAAAATCCGTGGATATTCTAAAGCTTTAATAAAAAAGATTTACGTTCGTGTCGCTTGGTATGATTAACATGATTTAGTGGTACGATAATAAAAAAGTTCTTATAGAGTTGACAAATCTTTAGGAAATGACAAAGACGATATCATTAGAGAAAGGTGCAACGCAACGAATACTTTGGTACGGTTGTATTGGGGAGCAAATGGAACAAGATTAATTACCAAAAAGTTATGTCAGTTGTCATTTCACGTTTTCTCGTACAAACCCTGTATGATCCTTGATTGTTCATGACGTTCTTACGAGTGAGTGACTTGAAAAAGTAAAAGACATTTATCAGAACGATGAGTCGCATCCTCCAGTTCAAAGTCTATTTCAAAAGCGATATCAACGAAAAATTTAGACAAAATAATGCTACTGACAATGAAAAAGATTTTAGACTCATTTGAGTAATTACCTCACTTAGTAATCACCTATACGTAGACCTGAAGAAATTATTTCAAACGTAAAAAAAAAGAATAAAACAAGATTTCTTTGTTACAAACGAAATTATTTTTTCGTTTAAAAAAAAAGAAAGGTAAGGTTAATTCAGACTCAGAGAAAGTAATCAAAAACGGCCCTGTTTATAAACCAATTTACCTTGACCATATCGTTATATATTCAGACGTGAAAGATATAAACGGTACGTTCAAAATAAATTATTTTTTGGGAACATGCGAAACGAGGGTATTTCATTTGTATCTCTATGATGAATTGATTTAAATTTCACTGGCCCAATAGGTTTGCACGTGAAGGTTTATTGTGAAATTTTAAAATTTGTCAGTCTTAGTTAGAAATAAAGATAACTAAATTATTGTGTAAAAGACATCTGAGCAAGGAAGATAGAAATTTCCCAACACTCTTCAAGATGATATCCAAATGATCTCTTGATTAAGAAGGCGAAGAAGTCAAACGCCATTTCCAAAAGTTTAAATCATATTTAAAAAACTTCATAGCCCTTACATCGACAATAAGTCACTTTAAAGTTCGATTTTTGTTTAGTAATGTAGCTTACATTCAATTACCGTTCGGCTAAGACCTTAAAAAACTGCGGGAAAATGTGAAACCTTGCTTCATGAGCGCTTTTGATTGAATGAAACAATGAGATTCGTTGTTATGATTATCAACCTATTTGACTGATTAGAATTTCAGATGTAAATAAAATTAACAAATGAAAAGCAGTGTAAATTGACGTGGCAGGCAACCGATGGCAACATAGGAGAATGTTTTCGGCCCTAAAAGGTTTGCTTTGAGTTTTGTTTCCTCTACATAATTCACTCATGACAAAAAGTAAAATATTTGATTTAAAACTTCAAGAGAAAACCGGGAGGTTTTTACAAATAGTGCAGGGAATAAAGAATCATGAAAGTCGATATCGTTTACGAGTTCCGAACTGGAGGAACGATTTACATATTGGATCTGTTTATTACGGAGAGAAAAGAGGGTGTTTACATAAAGAGACTAAAAAATACCTTTGGGAAAATCTTCCGGGAAATAAAAAGACGCTACAGGTCCATAATTCTTTACCTTTTTAATGTATTCAGCGTTATTCAGCGTAACATGTCCAGGTTAACTCGGAAAGATCAGCGTAGAGGAGTAAAGGTAGATTGTATTTACGCAAGTTGATAAGCCTTCCTTGAAAAGATCGTTTTGTCGAAAAGTCAACTTCTTTGCCAAAATTTTTCCTCGACAAGCGCACTCATACCTGTAATGTAATTTTCGAAAATGTCAATTGTAGTCGTCGGTTCTCGATGTTCTCAAAACACCTCTCTCAGTTGGCACGTAGGGAGGTAAACAAAAGCCATGAAAGACCATTAAAATGATATTACAGAGGCAATAAGCCACGAATAAGTATTATTTTACTCCGTATCTCTAACAAGTGATTATTGATATGAGTTTGTTAATCAAAATTCACAAACACAAGTGGGAACAATAAAAAGTCTATTTGCTTTTTTTTCTAATCATCCTAAACAGTTAGCAAAGCAAAGCAAAGCAAAGTGACTTAATAAAGCCAGAGAACGAAAAGGTTGCTGAGCAAGGCTGTTGAACGTGCGATAATGAAGAAATTTATGGTAACGCTTCTCTTAGCAAGTATTTTGCTTACAGATGCTGGTAAGTTTTTTGTATTAATGATTACGTTATTAGGGTACGTGAGGACTTTGGGAAGCCGATCATTGACCGTTAAATTAATTTTTGGGTTTGAAATAAGCCAACAGTTCAACTGCGATGGAAACAAAAGTAGTTCTAATGTGCATGTATTGCATGTAGTTCAGCAAAATCTATTGATCTTCCCATCCAAAACGATGATCGGGCTGAGAATTTAAATTCAAAACACTTAGTCTTGTAAGTCTCGTCTCGATTTTAGAGGGCGGTTAATACCTGAAAACAAATTGGAAGGGAAACGAAATAAATTAAAAAACTTTCAAAGCTGGGTGTTTTCAGTGAACCAGTCATTTTACAATGATCTGATTTGATGAGTTTGTTGGATATCCGCCATGTGATATTTTCATGAGATCTCTAAAAGCAAAATTCAAATCTATTTTTGTAAATATAATAAGAGAGATGGTAAGTTTTGAGCTCGGTAAAGAAATAGAGAAAGGTGTTTTTCTTCTTGTCCCAAGCTCGTGACAATACGTAAAACATCTTTATCTAAATCCATTTTTGCTCATTATTTCTTTGTTCCCAATTCTTTATTCATTCACTCAAACTATCATTTCCATGTCTTATTTTCATTTCTCATCTATCTATCATTTGTTGGCTTATCTGCTTGTCCAGGAGAAAACCAAGATCGTCTGTCGTGTTTTGATTGCCGTAGTGGCAACTCATGGGAGGAATGCGGTTCAAGAGAGGGTGAACAAAGATGCCAGAATGGACAAAATCGTTGCGGATTACTTTCATTGGGCTCATCAGTTCATCAAATATACATGAAAGGATGCTTTAAAGACTCTGATTGTATAAATTACCAGCATCCAAACTGGTGTTCGAAAAATGCGGCTGCTGACCCACACTGCTTTAGTAACATCATTTGTTGTGAGCATGATTTCTGTAATTAGGCAAAGATTGAGGGAAATCAAATGTCTTCTAGACAAAAAAAACTTTTATTGGCAGTAATACTTCATTTCGATGTGAACTGTATTTGGCATTAAAATTTTCGATTTTTGTTTGTTGAGACATCTATGTGTTGTTGAGGTAACCTTGTGTCTAACTTTTCCAATCATGTAAGGTCTTCAGATCTTAGACCCCATTGAATGATTGTGGTAACCTTTTAAAAAAATTGTAAAGCATTTTTAAAATGTTATTTATCATGTGTTCAAAGCTTTGTAAACATTAAGACAGACACAATCACGAAATACAATTTCGCTTGATTCCATTCGAAACGAATGTTAAGTTTATATTTGCCACTTGTAGTACGCATCCAATGTTATCCAATCTTACCTCGCTCAATCCAACAGCTGAAAAAATTTTAAAAAAAGTTCAAAGTAATGCCTGATTGGTTACTTTATTCATGCTTTTCTGACCTGCAGGTGTATTTGAAAAGATGGCCAGGTTTTCCTTTACTTGAAACAAACAGCGGGTAATAATTAAAAAGCAATTATGACCCATTAAATGGGTCGGCGAGGGCTTTTTTTTCTGCTTGAGAGGCGGAAAATCTTACGAAAAGAACAATTGGGTTTTTACATTGGGTGAATAGTTTCACGTATGCGTCTCCAGTACCTGATTTTTGACGCCAAACTCTTCTGCCACGATCATCACTAAGTCTATATTGGCAACGGGTGGTTTTTAATTCAAAATTTGTGTCAATTGGTTCTCGAAAACCCAGCTTAAATTAATCAAAGAACGATTGCCCTGAACAGGAGAGGTAGCCATGAGATCACTTGAAAATCTAAGAAGCCGTTATGCTTGATGTGGAAACCCTTATCCGCTTCCGATGCTGCGCCTGGGTATGTTACCTTCCTCCCACAATGTAAACTACTGGGTCTATCAGTAGCTGTGCAAGGCAATAAAGTTTATATATTATATCTATTTATCACTTGGGTATATTTTCGACATGTGCTCATCGTTTTCCATCAGCATTGGCACTGGCATCAGCATGTGCAAAGACCTTCTGCATGTGTACTTGCGTTGTAGCTCAGACCTCCGTTCAAGTTCAAGCAGCGAACAAATGATTTTTTTTTAAATTTGGGTTTGGAAATGAATGAATGCTATATTAGTTAATTGTAATGTACGTTCACATCTCTCAAAACTCTCTTTATTGCTTTTTGTGAAAGATAAAGAAATTACGAAGGGTTTTTAAACGGTCTATAAAAATCAACTCCTGCAATGACGTTTTCGGCCACAAAATGTCTTCAGAAACCAATTTCCGACTTTGAACAAAGTCATTTGAGAGAGGAAATTAAATGAATTACTTGTCTGCTTAAGACAGATCCCTACACTGAAAACTGTGGTGACTTTAGACTGTTTTTATATTTGAGTTCCCTGCTGGAAAATAAACATTTATTGTATGTAATATTGCGAGTTTCGACGGGACAGTTTCTTAATTTGTGTGTTACCAGTCTTTTACGGATTTCCTTCAGAATAACAGTGCTTTATTTGAATTTATGTACCTTCCGCCAAACCGAAGCAGGAACAAGTAACGAGATCATTATCATTAGCAGTTCCGGTTATTTCGAATTTAGACCATTTGAATTTCAAGATCGATTGGACGACAAAATAGACCATGTAGTAAAGATAAATGTGTTTTGTTTTACATATTTATCTAAACTTTATCGTTGACGACATGTTTTACTTTTCAATTCGTAAGGATTGGGCAATGCGTAGCTGGCAACATTCTCAAGTAATCTTTCAAATCATACAAGCACGGTTAATTTACCAACTTATACAACATATTTCGTTCTTAACCTTTTCTCACCACCTGACGAAGATGAAGGCACACTTCAGTAGTCAATACATTTGGTAAAGTAGCATCGTCTTGAATTAACTTCCTTCGTGAAGCGTTTTCAGCGTCAACGAAGTCTTTACTCCAGTTCTGCGAAAGCAACGGAATGGCGACGCCGCCTATTAATTCGAAAAACTTGCTAAGCTTTTTGTGACTTTTTGCACCGTAGCAACGCCAGAGCAGTTTTCCGTTAACAGCAGTTCCTGTAGAGGTACATCAAGGTGGGGCGGTAACGCTCCTACCTCACGCAAAGATCACGGAAGAAGATTTGACTACTGTCTTTCCTTCAACGATTTGAATGGTGTTGGTAGAGAATAAATCACTGTTTTGTTGATCATGTTAACGATTTTAATTCTTCTTTTTACCAAGCAAAATAGTAGACTTGACTAGAAAACGTTCAAATTGTTTCTGTTGTTGCCAACAACAGATTTTATAGTTTGATATCTGTGTTATTTGATTTTCGAAACTGTCCTCGGAGTTGTCCTTAAAAATATAGTGCAACTTATGGCAAGTTGGACGTGATCTTTACAGCTCAATAAATTACGTAAAGAAAAACATTGTCGGAGAATACAATATGTTGTAGACAGTTAAACCGAATGTTAAAAATGCTTCTTTTTATCTTTAATACGTTTTGATTAACACTATTCAAATACTCAGCTGCAAGAAAATAGATAAGTCAATTTATCCCCTAAAAAGAGTAATTTAGTTATAGCACATAGATGTAAGCGGGGTAGATTATTTGCAAAGATGTTCAGGTATACTAATATCTTTTGTTCGAAGAAAATGGTGTGAAACAAAAGTGAAACAATTTTTAAAGTATGTTTTATTTTGTAGCGTTATGGACTCTTCAGAATCTAGCAGCTGAGCTGAATAAGCTTTGTTTTCTCTCTAGGGCGTGTTTCAACAGATAAAGCTGGGCAATCAAATTCAAAGATTTAAAAAATAAAACGATAAAGATGAAAAGATGAAAATGGAGGGAATGACAGTTCCAATTAGCACACTCTTTTGAACTGCTCGTAGGCACTGAGTTTATTAAAAAAATGAAAAGACTTCGATGGCACGACAAACATATTTAATGGTTGTTTTTATAATTACCAGATGCTTAAAATATCAGCTATTTAATTCGGACTGCATCCCTTTCATTTCCATTTTTATCATTGCCAAATCTCATCACAATGAAGGTTCTTGTTCTTCTTAATTTCGCGTGGTTAGCTACCATTTTGGCCTCATCTCCAGAAGGTATATAGCGAAAACATGGGCTTGTGAAACTTAAGTTGAATTATATGTGTTGAAGTCGAAGATATAATTATTCCCAAGTTCACCAGTATAATTCTATTGATGCAGTTTCTTCTCAAAATTTTCTTTCCATTTTACATTCTCTGAATGTGAGGAGGCTATTTTTTTTTTGTCGACCGAAAAAACAAAACAGATGAAATCGAAGCGATAAAACTCCCGCCCAAAAAAGCAACTACTAGAGGTTTAGATCACCAAGAGAATTTCGATTTTGTCTGTCTTTTTATGTAGTTTTTCGTGATTTTATTGAACTTAAGGGATGTGGAACTTTCGTCCGTTTTATAAAAAGGATAACAAAAGATAAAGGAAAAAAAATAAAAAATTTTATTTTAATTCAACCTTCTCTCCGTTCCTTTCTGGGAAAAACAAAACAAGAAAAAGCGAAATTAAAAAAAGAAAAAAGAACTAAAAGCAAAAACAAAAGGAAAACATGGAAAACCAGAAAACCTAAAATACTAGTTTTCTTTATTTCTCAGTTTAACTGATGTACTGGTGGATGCATACAGTAACAATTCTACCAATTGTACAAATTTTGCAAGCACAAAAAAAAACGTTGATGAAAAAATAATGAAAGTCATCTTAACTTTCTCCCAGAAAATCTTCACACCAGGGATAACGAATTGTTTGAAGGTGATATGAAGCTAATACCAGGCCAGACCAGAGGTGCAGTGGGTAACAGACAGTGGCCAGGCGGCACGCTCGTGTATGACATCGATTATTCTCTGAGTAAGTTAGTCGTACTCTTCATACTATCTCGATACGAAAAACCTACAAAAAATGTCGAATTTCAATCTTTCGAAATGTATATTCAGCCAACACAATCATAAACTGCAAAAAAAACTTGTTACCATCCCTGTTCTCTTAGCTGATAAAAAGATATTTGTTTGCGATAACAAAGAAAGATTGGAATAAAATATGTGCATGGTATATGTATTACGCATGATATACCATGTGCCATTCATAAATTGTTCTAGACAAATATCTTCTTTTCGAAGAATGCTTATCGATTTAAAGGCCACATTATGCTTGTTACGGAGTTTCGGCATCGTCAGTGTTGTACTGAACTTAGCATAGTTTGGCAAAAAAAGTGCCTTGACAATAATTTAGTGTATGTAGACTGCAGGATGGAAGATTGTAAATCGAGGATGTGGTAGCAAAAACGAAATCTGAAAAGAGCGACTCACGTAGTTGTCTCCTTTGTTTTCTTGTCAGTGTCTTCCTCGTATGCAATGACCGTAATTAACAATGCTTTCAACGCTTGGAAACGAGAAACAAATGGCTGCATAAAATTCAGACAGAAGACGGCAAATGAGCGCGCATTCGTCAAATTTTTCAAAGGTGGCGGGTAGGTTTGAATATTGTATTTGAAAAAACCTGTTTGGTCGTTTAAACTGCTAAGTATTCCAGGTATACAGTTACCTTTTGGTATTCTAGGTGGTTCCCCCTTGTTAAGATATATTTACATACCATATGCCCTAATAAATGTGCTCGATTTAAATTAGTGACGGATGAATCGTAGAAAAGTTACATGACTTTCACCTAATTAAACAAAACTTAATTTTTAATCCCTTCATGGATTCATTCATTTTCTTAGTTAAATTAATCAAATTTAATGAATTATTTTTTATTTACTTTGTACGCTATTTTTTATATGTATTTACCTACTTAGATAGTATAACTGTTTTACCAAGATCTTTCAAGTCGTGCGTATTACGTACTGGTATGGTTGTACAGTGATATTCCAAAGTAATTTAAACACAATAAATTTTTTCTCTCTTTTTTTTAAGTTAATTTTTTTTATTCTTACAGATGCTGGTCTTACGTGGGACGAACCGGGAGGGAACAACAACTGTCCCTAGACAGTGGATGCTGGTATCTCGGCACTGTTGCCCACGAGATAGGTTTGTTCTAGTTATCGTTTGCGGCTTTGGAACAATCGTATTTTTTTAGTTTATCAGCCAGTCGGCTACCCTATCAAGAGAGCTTGTGTATAGAGCAAAATTTGGATTGTGATTTCCAAAAATGTAGGTATGTAAACTCGATCATTTCAAATCTTAAAAAAAATGGTATCGACCCTTATAAGGAGCGGTTAGCGATAGGAAAGACGTTCGGAGAAACAGTCATGGTAGTTTTTCAATTGAATATTGACACTTTGATTGAAAGAAGCATGACACCTTTGGCAAGTGTTTACAGCCCCGCAGCCACCCCTGCTAGGGTTACAGCACAGGGCAGGTAGAGCTCGCTAGCCTGGAAAGGCAGTTTACCTAGGGGAAGGAAAACCCTTATCCCAAACCTCTGCTGCCTTGCGGCTATATCCACACATGGAAAAGGCTTCAGGAGTAAACCTCGAGGAAAAATCCGGAGTTGGAGTCCCTAAGGCAGCTCGAAGTTGAATTCAACCCGTGCTGGCAGCTCCTGCGACGGCACTGGTCCCAAATTGTAACGACCTTGTTGTTCCTTTGGCCCCATCAGTGACGTGGAGAGGGGGAACATGTTACATGGGCAACAGCTTGTTCTCCATAAAACACTGCCCAGGCTAGCATCCGCCTACACTACACACCAACACACCTCGCACTACACCTGGAGAGGACACTCCAGCTACGCCCATGGCGTAGACACAACACGGAGAATGGCAGTTTACCGGTGATAAGCTACTGCTCGATTGGCGTAGAGTGAAGCGCCAGGGGTCGTTCTCGTCGGTGGGAGGGATCTTCGAATCCCACTGGACAGCTACCGCCCGCCTCAAGCTGGGCAGCCCCCAGTCAATAAGGTGCTGTCCCGCCACGGTTTGCTTTCTTCATTGGGTGCATGGAGATTAGGAGATATCCAACAGGCAGACTGCAAACTTTGCACCAGGCAATAACAAAAATCATCAAAAGAAACCAGTCCTGAAACTAGGCTGCTGGAACGTTAGAACAATGCTGACGGGCCTCTCAGAAGACCTTCAGGACGTCAGCGACTCCAGGAAAACAGCCATCATTAACGACGAACTTAGGAGGCTTAATGTGGACATTGCCACCTTACAAGAAACACGACTTGCAGACTCTGGAAGACTGAAGGAGAAAGACTACACCTTCTTCTGGCAGGGGAAAAGCCCCAATGTACCGTGTCAGCATGGGGTGGGCTTTGCAATGAAGAACAACCTGCTGAACATGGTAAAGCCAGGCAACAGCGGCTCAGAGCGACTCCTCACTCTCTGCCTGAACACCACGGCAGGCCCTGTAACTCTCGTCAGCGTGTATGCTCCAACACTCTCTGCTACACCTGAAATTAAAGACGAGTTTTATGATCAGCTCACAGCCACGATCAGCAACATCCCAAACAAAGAACAACTTATCCTTCTGGGCGACTTCAACGCCAGAGTAGGAGCTGATCAAAGATCATGGCCTTCTTGCCTTGGAAAGTTTGGCATAGGCAAGATGAACGACAATGGCCAGAGACTGCTCGAGCTATGCACCTATCACAAACTCTGCATAGCCAACTCTTTTTTCAAGACCAAACCTCAGCACAAGGTCTCTTGGAGACACCCGCGCTCAAAGCAGTGGCATCAGCTGGACCTTATCCTTGTCAGACGAACCGCTATTAAGAACGTCCTCCACACACGCTCTTACCACAGCGCGGACTGTGACACAGACCACTCCTTGGTGTGTTGCAAGGTCAGGCTCCATCCGAAAAGGTTCCACCGTGGCAAGAAGAAAGGGAGCCCTCGTATTGATGTCATTAAGTTGAGCCAGCCTGATCTTAAAGAGCAATTTGCTGAGAGGTTTGAGAATCATCTAGCAACATTACAGTCAGGGGACTCCGCAACTGAGAAGTGGACCACCTTACGGGATACAATGCACCGCACTGCCTTCCTTGGAAAAAGTACCTCGAAATCGCATGACTGGTTCAAAGCTAAATCCGCTGTGATGACCCCCATCATAGAAGCAACGCGTGCCGCTCTAACGGAATACAAGCGATTACCCAGCGAGAAAAATCTTCAGATTCTCCGAGCTATAAGGAACAAAGTCAAACACACTGCAAGACGCTGTGCCAACGACTACTGGACCGAACTCAGCGAAGCCATCCAGACTGCAGCAATTACTGGGAACATAAGAGGGATGTATGAAGGCATCAAAACATCAATAGGTCCAATCCAGAACAAGACAGCTTCCCTTAAATCCACCTCAGGGGAAGCCATCACAGACAAGGGACAACAGATGGAGAGATGGGTGGAACACTACTCTGATCTCTATTCAAGACAGAATGTAGTAACATCATCAGCCCTTGATGCCATAAAATGCTTACCTGTAATGGAAGAGCTTGACAACGAACCCACTAATGACGAACTCAGCAAGGCTATCAACAGCTTGGCCTCAAGGAAAGCTCCAGGCAGTGACGGGATCCCCCCTGACCTGATCAAACACTGCAAGACTACACTATTACAGCCTTTACATAACGTCCTATGTGCGTGCTGGAAAGAAGGGGCCGTACCACAAGACATGAGGGATGCTAAGATCGTTACCCTCTACAAAAACAAGGGAGATCGCAGTGACTGCAACAACTACAGGGGCATCTCCTTACTCAGCGTTGTGGGCAAAGTCTTTGCTCGGGTTATTTTGGTAAGACTTCAGAAACTGGCTGAACGTATCTATCCAGAGTCACAGTGCGGCTTTCGAGCAGAAAGATCAACGATAGACATGGTATTCTCCCTCCGCCAGCTTCAGGAGAAATGCAGAGAGCAGCAGATGCCTTTGTACATTGCCTTCATCGATCTGACCAAGGCGTTTGATCTTGTAAGCACAGAGGGTCTCTTCAGAATGCTATCTAAAATTGGCTGCCCCCCTAAACTACACAGCCTGATTGAGTCCTTCCATGCCAACATGCAGGGGACTGTGCAGTTCAACGGCAGAACCTCTGAGTCATTCAACATCAACAGCGGTGTCAAACAGGGCTGCGTACTTGCCCCAACCCTTTTCGGAATCTTCTTTGCCTTCCTTCTAAAACATGCATTTGGCGCATCGAAAGAAGGGATCTACCTGCATACAAGATCAGATGGCAGGCTTTTCAATCTTGCCCGTCTCCGAGCAAAGACCAAAGTGCGTGAAGCCCTGATAAGAGACATGCTATTTGCTGACGATGCAGCAGTAGCCTGCCATACTCAGCAAGCACTTCAGTCACTCATGGACCATTTCTCTCAGGCCTGCAAAGACTTTGGGCTTACCATCAGCCTGAAAAAGACTAAAGTCCTGGAACAAGGAACAGAAACACCACCATCCGTTACCATCGACGATTACGAGCTTGAAGTGGTCCATCATTTTACGTATCTAGGCTCCACTGTCACTGACAATCTCTCCTTAGACTTGGAGCTCGACCAGAGAATTGGAAAGGCGGCTGCCACACTTGCACGCCTCACTACACGTGTGTGGTCCAACCCCATGCTCACAGAGAAGACCAAGATGGCAGTATACAGCGCTTGCGTCATCAGTACACTGCTATACGGCAGCGAGACATGGACGATGTACGCCAGACAAGAAAAACGCCTGAACACCTTCCACATGAGAAGCCTCCGCCGCATCCTGGGAATTTCGTGGCAAGACAAAGTCCCAAACACAGAGGTCTTGTCTCGTGCGGGCCTGCCAAGCATGTCAACCTTACTCAGGCAACGTAGACTCCGCTGGCTGGGCCACGTTCATCGCATGCCAGACGGCCGCATCCCCAAAGACTTACTGTATGGTGAGCTAGCCACTGGAAGTAGACGCAGAGGACGCCCACAGCTGCGATACCGAGATGCTTTGAAGCGTGACATGAAGGCTGTAGGAATTGACACAGAGACCTGGGAAAATCTCGCAGCTGATCGGTCACAATGGAGAGGAGCCGTTACAAGGCACCTCAAAACAGGAGAAGAGAAGCTGACACAAGCTGCCACAAGGAGGCGGACCCGCAGAAAACTTCGTATCAGCAATGTCCAACAAACAGCATACACGTGCAGCACTTGCGGCAGGGACTGCCATTCACGCATTGGCCTTCACAGTCATAGTCGCAGATGCTCCAGCCAAACACACAATTAGGATGCTATACCCATGGTCGACCCTGACCGATGGAGGCCTACTATTGATTGAAAGAAGCATGTAGGGCAGATTTTCGGGTCGTTATTACTTGTAAGACTAGACGATCGTTTGTCAGAACTTGGCTATCGATCAGATTCAGAAAAGGAGTAAATTTACCTTGATATATGTAGTTTACCCGTTTTTTTAATGTTTTAATTTCGTCTTACTGTGTTTGTTTCTTTAGTTTAGATAATATTACGTATATTTACTTTCCTACCAGGACATGCTCTTGGATTTCTCCACGAGCAATCGCGTCCGGACAGGGATCAATATGTCACAATACAGTTCGAGAACATAAGCCCAGGTACTGTATGATAAGCGTTATGGCATTTAGGTCAAGGAAGACAAGTCAGGTATAGTTTGAACCATCATAACTCTGAGAAACTATCGACCTCTTCGCCCTTATCATTCGTTTCGGCCTTTCTTATCATTTTCATAAGAAGGTTCCTAGGAGCTCTTTGTTTCTATGACATTTCCTAGGAATGGAAGGCAATTTCCAGAAATCATACAGAGTGAACTCGTATGGAACACCCTATGATTACGGATCTATCATGCATTATGGTGAGAGGTACTTTACTAAAAATGGAAAGCCAACTATTGTCCCAAAGAAACCAGGGGTGAGTAGATAATAAAGATTCGGGTTTTCTGCTATTTTCCTAAGAGCAGTAATATGAACATGCTGTCTTAAAAGATTTTTGGGCGATTCCTTAATTTCTTTGGTAAAGCTTAATGAGAATATTTGTCCGAAGTTAGAGGAAACACCTTAAAACAGACCCAAAGAAACGAGGGGTAAGTTATTAACAAAATTAGAGGGAGGTTCCAAAAAAAAAATGTTGCAGCATTATCAACCAGACGTCAAGGAAGACAAGGGCCAGATACTTCATCTTCTCAGCATTCTGTTCCTGTTTTGTTGTTGTTGTTTCTTCTTGCGTGTGTTTTTTGGAAAAAATAAGTAAGTATAAGTTTCAAGCATAAGTTTCACTTCCCCTTAACCCATGGAATGTATAAAATTTGTTGGGATTTATACAACGTACATTTGTTTTCAGGTAAACATTGGTCAAAGAGAATACATAAGTCGTATTGATGCCGAGGAAATGATTCGGTTGTACAGACGTGAATGCGGGGGAGGTATTTTTGCATTTTATGTTTCTCATTAAATTTGGACTTTGTTTAAATTAAATGGTTGTATGCGACAAACTAAATATCAAATTCAAAGAGGAAATTATGTTTTGCACCCACTCGTGGAACTAGAACCCTATATTTTAGCTCGTACTATTCATCAAAGCTCCTTGAACTTCACAATACTCTACTAAGTTTGGTTAGATGGGTAGTTTGCTTCTATTTTGTCTTTTTCACTCAGCTCGCTTTGTCAGCGGTTATCATCAAGCTTTGATTTGCCTCTCAATGTAAAAGTTTTGCTTCGCTAAAGAATTCACCTCCTTTCCTATCAAAATCCGACAAACATCGAAAAGGAGCGCTCTCTTAAGAAAAAAATCCAGTATTCTTGAACAATGTGTTAACGGCGATCAACTTTTTGTATAAATGGAAGCGAGTGCTATTTTTTGTCTATTTGATGTACTCGCTCCCACTTATGCTGGTTTCTATTTTTTTGCACTGATTGAACATCTAGACTTTTTAATTAATTGATGTTGACTAAACAAGGACGATAAAGAATCAACCCTTGTACTAAGGTAGATTCTTTATCTTCCTTGTTTAGTCAAATAAGATATTTTTGTTCTTTTCTCTCTATTTTAGATGTTCCAGAGACTCAGGCTCCGCCAGTTATTCCTCCATCTTCTGCTTGTGAGTAGCTTCAACCTTACAGCATTAAAAAAGTCTTTAAATGACATGTTAAAATCACGTAAATGAAAAACAGTCCCCTCGATAAAAATTCCCTTCGTTCAAACCTCTGGGCCAGGATTTTATTTTCTAGATGTTGATGCCGGTTTCTAAATTTTTGCATTAATTCAAAAATCTAATGCAATTCACAAAACCTAAACATTTCTTTCACGCAGCTTTCTTGTGCAATTTCGATGAAGACGAGTGTGGATTCAGACAAAGTTCAAGCGACAAATTTGACTGGACAAGAAGTAAAGGGCCTTCCCCATCGGGAGGGACTGGGCCAGATAAAGATCACACATCTCGCAATGGTTTGTTTTACTCAAAACTTTTCGCTCCACTTTCAAATTTTCGATCAGTTTTCACATGTCAAAGGCTCTCTTGTGTTCTAAACAATGGCTTGGTGGTCAAAATTTTGTGGAACTATCAGTATCATGTGTTATTAATTTGCGTTACTAATTATACATTAGCATAATCAATTTGATGGGAAAGACTCCTGGAAGGCCTATTTTTAAGGCTGCAAAGTTGCTCTGCTGCTCACAGATTCTTATCTCTTGACTTGGTAGATTTTAAGAGAGAGATTAGAAAATTGCGTAGACACCACTTTGATAATATGGCTGTCTATCAACCATATCAATAATAGTTCGTGTTCATTTGTCATCAAAACGCTTTTAAACCTTCAGCTACGTACATGTATCTGACGATTTTGGTAGCCTGCGAAGTATCACATGATTCATCGAGAGAAAACACAGAACCTGGCTAAAATTACAAAATTTTAAGAAAGGGGTGTTTGGGAGAGGGCCTGTCCGTGTTCCTTGAAATGCATTTCTTTAGGGAAGCTGATAACTTTTCGAACATAAGCTATGTGTTTAAATATATTTAAATTTCTCCCTTAGGTTACTTCATGTACATTGAGGCTTCATTCCCACGAAGGATTAATGACAATGCCAAAATGTCCCGGACGGTTTCACTCTCTGGAAAGTCTTGCTTGAGGTTTTATTATCACATGTTCGGGAGTAGCATGGGAACAGTGAAGGTTATGTTAGGTAACAAGAAGATATTTGAAAAGGCTGGAGACCAAGGAAATGACTGGCACATGTTCCAAGGTCGTCTTACAGGATCAGGGTCGAAAGAAGTAATTGCCTTTTCACAATATATCATCTTTTATTGCCTATTTCGTCTTCATGAGGATCTAACATGATCTTAAATATGATGGTTGGTGCGATGTTACAACATTTTGAATTGTCAAACAATCTTTGGATGAAATGCAACCAGAGTTTTTCTTTCTCTTGCAGCTGACTTTCGAGGGAATAAGAGGAACTAGCTACAAGGGAGATGCTGCAATTGACGATATTACCATATTTGACTGCTGATTCTTCAAATTCAAGGATGATTGAAATAAAGTGTATTAATTCTATTCATTGATTTCTGAAGAAAATTCAAAATCAAGTTTCATTCGGCCACGTCAGTGGAAATTAGTCAGCAGAACTGTATTTGCGAGCTAAGATCATCGGGAGGCCCCCCTTTTTTAAATTGCTATTTTCATCAATATGTAGCCAAACGGAAACCCAGCTTTGAAAACTCAAGCTCATAAGTGAGCAGCGGACTGAAATAAACCTTGTCACAGCTTATGCTACCGACAGAACATACCTTACGTTTGAACATAAGAGGGTATTCTTTATAATTAACAGTCATTTTGTATACCCCAAATCCATTTATGAATCAAATATGAGGAAAAATGGGAAGGACTCAATTATCAAGTGGTCTTCCCCCTATAAAAATAAGAATCTTGCAACCCAAGAAACATAACCGTCATTTTACATTCTACTTTTTTTTTTTGGATAGAGGAACTCAAAGCTCATTTTAACTTCACTAAGACAAATTGTTTCGTACGTGACGAATTGTTTATCGTTGAGGCTAACATTTTTGTTAAGATGATTGACACCGCTTTACAAGAACATTTTAATTCCCCATTATTTCCAAAGAACTTGGGAATTCGTAACATCCTGTATGCAGAACTAATGGAACAGAATAAAAGAGAGATAGTTATTGCAAAGAACCTTCACCAAGTTGTGTAAAGAATTCATCAAAATCAATTTGTTTCAAAATGCTTTTCTTTTCTTACGAAAGTTTCTTAACTCAAGTCATTGAAATCGCGTGATTTAGCAGTCATCAAATCAACAACATAATTGAATTATACGCAAACAGCAAAGGATGCACCTTTGCAAATACTTTTATATCTCTAACTGATTTTTTAAATTGAGTGAAAAACACAAAAAAAGTGCAAGGTTCAAGCGTAGATATTCAAATATTGCTAATGACTGTTTTTACAGCAAGCAGATGTAAAAAAATTGGTTCCTATTAAATAGGCGTCGGCAATCACTGATTTCATTACAATCACGAAGATCATCATGAAGGTTATCGTGATTTTTAATTTCTTGTGGTTTGCCTCAGTTCTGGCCTCCTCCCCAGAAGGTATGGATTACTTTAAATCTCATTCAAAATTAAGACTATTAATCATCAATGGCATTGTCTCCTTCTTTTATGACAGCAATGTAGAACACTCGTAAAGGCAAATTTTGCACAATAACGTCAAAGCTGTATAATGTTTAGGTTAAGGTTGTAGGGTAAGGTCGTTTATATCACTTAGGGACTCACGCAATCATGAAAAGCAATTATTCCAGTAGCATTCGGGCGCTATTGGCGTTGTTCTCTCCCCTGTCTAGCAGTTTAAAATGGGTTTCATATCGTTCTGTCAAAAGAGGATGAGTAGTAAAGTGAGAGGGTTTGAAAGCCGATGTAAAGAAATTACGCAACAACAAAAACTCCGCCTATTTGGAGTGAACTATAATTTTTTTCCAAAAAACCAAATGTGTTTCTTGTGAATACATAGATTTTGATGTCTATCAACGGTGAGATTAAAAATGTCATATATGCTTTTTAATTTTTTGTATTTAATTTCACAAAAACCACTGAATTCCTACCTTCAGAAATAAAAAAACCCTTATTAAAAACGAAAACATTTTTTAAAGTTTAAGACACCTTTCCTCTCATTCCGAGTGAGCAGAGCTTTTCTCTCCTTTCTGATAAAGAAGAAATTGTGAGTCACCGGATCTCCCATTATTACTAAACACAGCTAAATCTGTTTCCTCATTGAGCCTGCCTGAATATGCTATAACCAGCGGCCGTTTACGCTGTTATATCATCTACTGTTTATAAGTAGCACTGAATTGTTATATTTTTTTAAATTGTTAAAGCCAAGAAAATGAACCTTTGAACAAAAAGGGTTCAAAACTCTGTCTAGCTTTGAAGATAAAAATAAATTCAGTTTCCTAGTAGAATTTAGCTCATACAAATGGGCCAACCTATTAACCACTCTAAATAATTTTCTTTGCCAGAAAATTTGCACGTCAAAGATGGCGGACTGTTTGAAGGCGATATGAGGTTTTTACCAGGCCAGGCCAGAGGTTCAGTGCCGGGCAGATTGTGGCCGAATGGTGTCTTTGTGTTTGAAATCGAATCTTCTTTAAGTAAGGGATATCGTAACCACTTTAAAAATGTCAGCAAGGGTCAAGTCTTACGCATGGTTTTCCAGCCACTTTCATTATGAAATTTAACGTTAACACAGCCAAGCTCCATACACATATTTTATCACTTGGCAAATTTACGTTTAATGGTAATATCAGTAAAACCGCCTATGTTGCAATTGATGGATAGACTGGACCAAGTTAATTTTACGATGCCACTCGTATTTACCCTGAGAAGTCTCTTCCTTTCTCTCTTAAGCATTTTAAACGACTTAACTGAAGAGTGGAACAAAACCTATGACAAGTGGCAACAAAGAGCTAAGAACCTACAATCATTAAGTGATCGAAGAATGCTGTATTAAGTCTGAGACAAAAATATATCATTAGTTACAACAACTTTCCCATAAAGAAAAAAATCTGAGTCTCCATGTCCCACGCTCGTGACAAAACAAAAGAAAATCTTTCTTTATTTCTTTAACGAGCTCAAAAACTTACCATCTCTCTTATTTCTAACTTTCCCATAGCTTTTCAATTTGTTGCAGTACAATCGGTTGATATATGCCTTTAATGCTCCACACCAGAGAGAATCTTGGAAACCTCTCATGAGGCGAAACAATCATCTCTATTGAAGTTAAGGGCTGTTGTTGTCCTTCAGAACAAATGTGGGAATCGCAAGAAATTGTCTCTCTTTTTCGATAAATTTGTATCTCCTACTTCCTTTTTATAGGTTCTCAGTCTAACGCAATGACTGCAATTAACAGTGCTATGAAGGACTGGACAACGCTTACAAATGGCTGTATCAAATTCCAGAAAAAGACTACAGAGACGGCATATGTATCATTTTTCAGGGGTTCTGGGTAAGTGTACTTTACTTCAGGTCAACAAATCATGTTCAGTATCTGATGTCAAGGCGTTGTTTTTATTTGTATCGCCAATGTGATTGAATAAAGTCGCGAAAATAAACATCAACGATAGATTTCAAATTTTCGTAGATAAGTTGATAATTTCTGAGTACACTAACAACGTTTTCCAATACTGAACAACATGGATGAAAGTATCTAACTCAAAAGTTGAGTCAAAGGAGAGAAACACCGCGGCATTTGGCACTCTTTGCTAATATAAGTATCTAGAATTGAAGTCTAAAAATATTTGGCTTGATTTGCATAAATCACCTCGTAATTGTCTAATAGATCCGCATTTCATTCAATAGATGCTGGTCTTACGTGGGACGCATTGGGCGTAAGCAGCAATTGTCCTTGGCCGCTGGATGCTGGAGAAAAGGAACTGTAATCCACGAAATTGGTTGGATGTTCAAACTTCTGTTACTGCCTTGTTAACTTTTTTTTGTATCCTTAATTTGTTTATGATATGCATGAGCGACCTTCAGCTGCAATATTTTTTTGTGAATATGAAAGCGATCTTCGCAGTAATGAACACTACTTAGGCAGTAGTGAAAATAAGGCCTGAAAAATATTCAGGCCTGTACGGAATGTAATGACTTGAGCACAGTTGGTAGAGCACTGCAAGGGAATCGCAGAGGTCATGGGTTCAAATCCTGTGCGGGCCTGAATTTTTTTCAAGCCTTATTTTCACCAGTGCTTAAGTAGTGTTCATCATTGCGAAGATCGCTTTAATATTCATCTCTTACACCGCAGTTCATATATATAATTTTCATCAGGAGCCCATTACACGGAGCTTCCATCTTCAATACTTACCCTCTGAGTCAACCATGTCCCGTATCTTTTTAATTATAGAAGCACCTTCCACGGAGTTTTTCGTGGGTGTTTACATAATAACCAATTATAAGAGAGCTGTGGTCCTCTATTGTTTACGTCACATGCAGAGAAGGAATAGAGGTCGGCCTTTCGCCTTCGACTGCCAATTTTTTTTGGGTGTTATGCGAATGTCTGCATGTTTTTGCAGGAAATTAAAGAACCCCACACATATCTCAGTTCTAAAAATAAAAAGGTATGGGACAGGGTTGACTCAAGGGTACAATTGGTATGGAGGATCCGGGTAATGGCTCCTGTTTTCTTATATTCACAGTCATAACTATTTTTTGTGTGGTAACATTTGGTTTGTTCCAGAAGCTTTAATGACATTCGACCGAAAGTAGCTCCAAATCCGAAGCTATTTGACTACTTAGAATAAAGAAAAATACCTATTCAGTCACTGTGCAGGCAATCTGCTCGACGATAACTGCGGGCGGCTAAACTTCTTAAATTCTCAATTCCAAATTTCTATCTATAAAACGAATCACAAAGTCCTATCCGTACATTTCAAATGATCAGCTCTACATATTTAAAAGCGTCTTGAATTTTTTTTCTGTCAGGTCACGCTCTTGGCTTTCTTCACGAGCAGTCTCGTCCAGACCGCGATAATTATGTCGAAATCAAGTTTGAAAATATCCAATCAGGCAAAGAAGGCAATTTCCGAAAATCTAGCAGTGTAAACTCGTTGGGAACACCTTATGACTATGGATCCATCATGCATTATGGTGCGAGGTACTTCTCTAAGAATGGACAGCCAACAATTGTCCCAAAGAAAGCAGGGGTGAGTGGATTATAAGGCCACGGATCCGGGTTTCTTATCAATTTTCACGTGAAATTTTATCAGCGACTTAAGCAGTTTTTAGGTGATTCCTTAAATTTCTTGGTAACATGTTATAAGAAGTATGGATTAATGGGACAAGTTATACTATCCGAAAAAACAGCTTTCCTCTTAAGGAGTAGGTGGATTACGGTTTTAAAGATTAATAAAACAAGAGACGCCCTAAAAGCGGAAAATGACATGTTCGCCTCATATGACTTTTTAAGCTTTTTTGAGAATTTTTCCTTTGAAATCGGCGGGCACGATTGCAGTTTAAAACTGCACGAAGTCTTATTAGGCGTCAGAACTCTAGTGAAAGACAAGATAAATCATGCACTGAAATACAATGATGCCTAAGATGTCTTAAGAATAGGAAAGTCATTCGTTATTCGTTATTGGCAGATTTGGAAGTCAAATTCATCATACTTTTGTTATTATTTTGGACAATGGAGGCAGCAGAAACATGCTCTTCATTTTATGAATAAATAACCATTTTTAATTCTTTCTAGGTCAGTATTGGTAACCGAGCAGGTCTTAGTCCTATTGATATTAGGCAGATGATGTTACTTTATAAGTGCGGTGAGTCGAAAGAGGTCGTTACTATTCTAAAGTTAAAATTAATGTTTATTACAATCGTGTTTTTTACAAATACACCAAAATGTTAATTACATAACTTTCCTAACAAACGTAAGTAAAGAATAAAAAAGTTGATTTTACCGGCTAATTGAGGGATAAGGAAGCTTGCGCCGAGGAGTCAGTACTTCTGCCCAACAATCAAAGCATTACAGTAAGAGAGATGGTAAGTTTTGAGATCGCTAAAGGAATAGAGAAAAATGTTTTCGTCTTGTCAAGAGCGTGGGACGAAATAAATTCGCATAAAATGTTTTCGCTAATTTAACTATTTATCCAACTGAACCCTTACGAGGACTCCGATTATTTTTCTTTGTCCCACGCTCGTGACAAGACGAAAAACATCTTTCCCTAATCAGGGCATTGTTTGCTGTTTTAAACAGAATGCAAATTGACATTTGTTAAGTGTGTCAAGTCAAACTTTATTTTGCACAAAACCTTTTTGCAGAAGCATATTCTTTCATAATTGGGTAATATTTCTGAATATTTCATTTTTCTCTCAGGTGCTCCTCCACCGTCGAAACAGCCACCCCCACCGACTACTCCTCCCTCTGCATGTAAGTTTAAAGTGCATGCACTAAAAATAATCGTTTAAGGGGATTCCGCCAAAAAAAAGCTTATCGAACAATTTTTTTAACTTTCCTTAATGTTCCTTACCAATGTCTGTGAAAAATACAATGAAAAAGATAGGTCAACGCGCTTGTTTAGGAGATATAATAAGCCAAACGTACCCCATTTATGCTTGTACTTGCACTTATCATTTCATTGGTTCACAATACACTTTGCTGCAACTGGAAGCAAGTGTTTTTGAAGTAACACTTGAGAAAAAAACTTAACAGAAACAAAAAGTCTCAAGCGTATGGAACAATTTGATATACAATATAATTTTTGGGAAAATCACGAAAATTTAAACGACATCGAATAAAACGTTCCTCGAGTTGTTCCTCATGATTTGCATCCTCGATTTACGGGCTTCGTGCACGTTTTGAGCTTTATCTTTTTTTTCCTTCGAATAATTTTTTTTAATTTCCCCAATTTAAAGGGGATGCATTTTACACCGAAATTATGCAAAAAAAAAAAAAAATATATATATATATAGTTTACCTTGCCCTTTCAGGAGCTAAAGACCATCGGACCTCCTTACCTGTTCCATGAATTGAAAAACAATACCGCGTTCTCGGAATGCACGGGCACTCATTCCCCTGATTACGTGATTTTTATGCGCATTACAGGATGCGCGATGCAAAACTGAGGAATCACCTTAAGGTTCTGCAAAGGGAATTTGTTTAACTCTTTGTGCAAGGTGCATTTTCTCCAGTTTTTCTCTCAAGTACTTGTTCTCTGAGATATCCAATCGACTTAAAGAATCGTGCTGTTTCATAGTCTCTCATCTTACCAGCTTTGTTTAGGAAAAAACAAGTTGAGAGCGTAGGATTGGGACTGGGCATATTTGGATAAGCTAGGTACGCACGAGAAAGCATATTCTTAAATCTCTTGTTGATTATTTTCTTAAATGCAGCTTTTTCATGCAATTTTGACGACGACTGTGGGTTCACACAAAACAAAAATGACAAATTTGATTGGACACCAAGGTCAGGCTCCACTCCATCTAGAAACACTGGCCCAAGTGGAGACCACACCACAGGAAATGGTTTGTATATTAATCAGTAGATTTCTAGTTTACCAATTTAGACTTGTCATCAAGTTTGACTGGTCAATTCGTCTTAGCCTCGTTATCTCTGAAAATTTTAGCGTGGAATACAGTTTCCCTTCTCTTGTTTTCCGATTTTCAAAACATTTTTCCTTTTCATTCTGACAAATTAAATTCCTCAACAAAAAATAACGAAGGGGAAAAAACATGTAGATGATGCCACTCACCAAAAGGCTCTTTGTACTTCAACACTGAGACATTTGACCGTAAATCAGAAGGAGGGAATTCCTCACGAAGAGCTAGTGTTTATGCTATTTCCCGTGGGTGTCAGTAAAGTATTAAGCTGATATTATGTTTCTTACGAAACTTGACGAAGGAATCTCTACATTTTATAGGCAAGTACAGTTACATTGAAACTTCAAGTCCACGAAGGCCTGGTGACAATGCCATAATGTCTCGAATGGTTAAACTCTCTGGAAACTCTTGCTTAAGGTTTTATTATCACATGTACGGAACGGATATGGGCACTCTGAGGGTGAAACTTTGCAACAAGGTGTTATTTCAAAAATCTGGAAACCAGGGAAACACCTGGAAGATGCACGAAGTTCGTCTTTCTGGGAGAGGTTCATTCGAGGTAGGTTTCTGTTTACTCCCTTTAGGATTTCAGTAAGATTGCAAGAGCTCAACGATGAAATAGGAATATGATAACCGAAGGGCGCATGTCTCATGTTGGAAGGAAAGAAACAGCGGCAAAATGAGTGCGAATGCTTGTAACTCATGAGAAACTTCTGTACGCGTACATGGTATTTCCATGGCAACACTAACACTTTCGCAACAAAATGGCGGAATTTTTAAAACTTCCCAATACCCATTATCATTGCCCGGGTATAACCCCAAACCAAAACAGATGAGGTTGGCGTTTTTAGGATAGTCTCTGTCGAACCTCTTTAGTCACACCTCTCACTCGATAAACATGGTAACAGTTGTGAATGTAGTGACAGAATTTGAACAGCTGTTACAAGGCTACGAGGTTCGTAATACCTGTTTTCGGGTTCGCCCCTCTTTTCAACGTCTCCTCAGTAAGCAACCCCCCCCCCCCCCAGGAAACAAAATCTTGTTTTGGCGGAAAAACAACGTTTGCGGAAGAGGCATCCTAGTCCTGAACGCTCATATGACTCGAGTAGCGGAGCATGCGTACTCATTTTGCCGCAGTGTCGACAGGGAAGGAAGTAAAAATAGCATGCATGGAGAATCTTAATGGGAGTCCTAAAAGTACAAGTTAATCATTAGGCGCCCGAACGTCCGCTATTATTCTCGCCGCTGCCTAGTGGCTGACACAACTAGGATTGAAAAAACGAAAAAAAGACAATGACTATTTACAAGTCCGGCTTCTGAGTGAACGGGTCCTAAATATTCGTTAACTCTATTTTCAACCGCTAGCTATTCAGTTAAACTTATATCACTCCTCTTTTTCCTTTTAAATCATTTATTAATTTCTTCTGGAATTGTATCAAGAACTTCACTAATTTATTATCTGTAATCAATCTTTTGATCTTTTTTTATTATTATTTTATAGACATTATTATGAACCCACTCGTCATTTAGATATTTTTGCTTTTCATCCCATTTAAGATTCTGGCAACCAATCGAAACCTACTGAAATCTTTTTTCCATTGAATTTATTTTTTTTTCTCTTTCAGCTGAGTTTTGAAGGGATAAGAGGAGCCAACTATAGGGGGGATGCTGCAATTGACGATATCATTATATATGACTGCTAAGTCAAAGCTCAAAACTAACAAATAAATGCCGGGATACATGTAGATAATGGGATAGAAATAAAATGAATAACACGTTAGCTGCTCTTCTGTCTTTTTTGACTCGTAACGATTAGTCATGATATCAACCCTTTGTTTTCATTCACTGAAAGCTTCGCCTGATTTCAAGTCAAGAATCTACCCATTGCAAAAAGTGTCGTTATGACTTTGTGAAGTATTCTTATTTCTCTGCGTAGAAGTTTTTTGACAGGATTACTTGTCATGGACAGTTTTGTCCGCCGTTAGACAAAGCTTTTGTCTTTTGTTGTGGTCCCATTTGTTTTTAGCTATTGCTGCATTGTACCTACCGCTTGATGGGCAACACTTTCTTCTCTCAAACCACTGGTTCTAAAAAGTCCCTCACCGCATGCTTTTGTCATGGAAGGCATTAGTATTCTTTGCAATGAGTTCTCTTATCATTAGTCCATCACGCCTCTTAATATCATTTGAATTTTAAATGCCCTTGAGCTGCCATCTTGATATTGAAAATTTTAATGATCATAATTGGGTAGAAAATCAAGTAAAGCTATGATCGTCAACTGTAATTTTAGAAAGTGCAGAAAAAATTCAGGAGCCGTGCTCCTACCTCAGCCATACCCCCAAATGAGCCTCAAAGTAAGGATCTTTTTTTCCTGTGGATGAATCAAGTAAGTTTACCTGCGAGAATCATTGCTTTATTTCATCATCTTGATATATCTGATATTGTATTTAACAAACATAGAATCGATGTCGTAGTTGTCGTGTTTATTAATTTACTTCCTGACAAGAGATGCATTTCAATGCAGCATCCACTGTTTGATTTATCGTAATTACAAGTAACTCCATTCTTCAACGCCATTGTGTTGCTTCAGAATCTGAAAATTACTCCCGGTACCTGCCTAAAACAAAAAAATGACTCCAACATTTCTTGAAAAGAATACCGGCTATTTTAAGATTATATTTATCATTTTACTTCGTTATTGATATTCTTAAAACAAATTCTTTTGTATATCAACGTAGAAGAGTTGGCACAGAATAAACAGTTATAATCTACGGAGTTTCCTATTGATGGAATATTCAAGGCCTCATTACTACCTTAGTTGCGAATTAACACAATATAGCAAAAGTATTTAATTAATCCCACCCACCTAGAGCAGATTCCACAGCTTCTTTTGCAGTTGGGTCCCATGTAGCCAGGATTAGCGTAGCAGTGACCCTGTGAGGCCCAGTGTTGACAGTATCGGTTACGATCCACACAATCTTCTGTAGCATAAATTAATTGGTGACAGTTACTAACAATCAATGTTGTTATAGAAATAGACATCTTTCAAAGGCTCTTAAAAATAAATCGCAGTACTGTCATGAGCCAGAAGGCTTTTAATGCAAAGGCGGTGGCAACAACGTGCTGGCTGAGCTTCAGATAGTCTCCTTCAAACCCAGTCAGAGTTGGAAATTGTAACCTGTACATGATAATATTTTACTTTGTGCGTGGGAAGAGAACAGCGCAAACGTTGGCTAAAAAATCTTCAATCAATATTTGAAAGATTTTTAAAATTATTTGTACTTTTATATAGGGGCTTTAAAAGTTAACAAATAAAACCGTTTCTTTCCATATAAAAACGCATGACAATTACACTCCGTGGTTCCTATAAACTTTATTTCTCCCCTTGTTTCTAACAACAATTTTACAAACTTTTCGGCAAAAAATGACTTACAAGACTAATTCAATATATCGGGGCGAGTTTTTGACACAGTAACTAACAAGTTTAAAGTCAGTGACAGTAATACATCTTGGTCATTACTCTCAGAGACTTAAATCAGAAAGACTGCGGCAGTATTATCATTAAAAATGATATTAGATTAAAACACGCCGAGATGGCAAGAAACACAATCATTTCTAGCCTTGATCATTTTCTATGGACCTTTTTCCCACTTAGAAGTTATAAGTCCCAAATTACTTTCTTCACCTCCCTACCCTTGACAGAATTCATTTGTCCTGCTGCTAAATTTTAATCGAGAGGCAACCATCATTAGTCTTTGATTAATGCACACCGGACCTGCTGCAAATGGGTGCCTCCTCGTAGGTAGAAACAGGATCTTTGAAGCGAGTTAGACTGCTATCCCCGCCCATAGAGGAGTTGCCATACTTCCAGTTGGCTCATATTAGTAAATCCGGGAAAAACTCCAGCGCTGATTAACAATTATTCAACAATATTCACTAAACCTGAGGCGAATAATTATTTTAATAACAAATAACTCTGCAAATTTACCTTGCGCATTACACACCCGACAGCTCTTCTTGCAATACACGCGCATGTATCTTGGATTTCTGTAGCACTCACCCCTTCTTGCCCAGTTTCCACAATTATAATTTTGATCCCTGCAGGTTTCTGCAACGAAAAAGGTATGTGAGAAGTCATCCCGTGTAATTGGACTCTTCAGAGACCTGCTGAGCGCCACCCCAAGACTTCTGAGACCCAAAATCACTGACTCTGCATGGAAAGGCGCCTCCATACTCTGTAAGATGCCCTCAAAAAATCTTCTAGGTTAATCCCTTTTGTCTCTGGTATGATAATGATATGAAAGATATGAGGCAAAACGAGTTTAAAGTTTACCTCCACCACCTCCTCCTCCTCCGCCTCCGCCTCCTCCTCCTCCTCCTCCTCCTCCTCCTCCTCCTCCTCCTCCGCCTCCGCCTCCGCCTCCGCCTCCGCCTCCACCACTGCATTTATACAGTAAATTCATTTGCTTGATATCCAAGGCACTTGGACTTTTCCGTTGACCTATTTGTATCTTGGAAAATAAAAATTGAAGGCTTACATAATAATAAAGGGGTAAGTTTCTAAAGAAACTGTGGTGCTGCGTCGGTGGGAGAGTATAATAGGTAATTAAGTGTTAACAACTGGGTTGAAAACGTAAATTAGCCACCGTAAAGAGTAAAAAAGCTGACGTTTCGAGCGTTAGCCCTTCGTCAGAGCGATTGAAATAGTTTCGATTATATATGTATTTTAGTGACAATGCCTAGCGTTTTTACGTTTTTAGTTGGTATTTTTTTTCTTTTTCACTTTTTTTTGCATGCTAAAAAAAAAGCTGTTTCTGAGGAACGCCAGAAATGTTATGTACTTACCCCAGCTTGCTTAGGTACTATCGTGGGCTCGCCATTTTTACTGAAGGCTTTATCACTGAAATGCATCAAACTTCTGTAGTCATAGGGGACGCCAAGGGAATTTATTCTCGATGGCCCATACTTAGCAAAGTTAACCTTTTCGGCTGCAAGTTAATTAAATTGAGGAATATATGATACAGAAAAAAAGACAAAGACAAACACACGACTTTGAATACGTTAAACGGTCCTGCGGATATACAATTAAAACGTTAACACGGTCCTGCGGATATACAATTACGAAGGAGAGTCGTAACCTAAACGGACCATGAATAATTGAGTTATTCTTCTTGATCGTGTGAGATGTATATGTTGGTATGAATATAATTCCAGGTGCATCAGCTTCCTACATGCCTTTTAGCGAAGTCATTTCGACTTTCAAGCGCAGTCTTGAGCCGCAGCAAGCTGCAGCATATCATTTTCATAAACCATTACTTTGTCAGTGCAAGCAACTAAACTACAGAAGTACCAGGACTCCTCTACCAGGAATCTATTTATCTTTGGAGTCACACCTACATTCAACGATGTTGTTCCAGTTAATGGTGACATATTCATCACGATCAGGTCTTGATTGCTCGTGATAAAATCCCAGTGCATGAGCTAAAAATATAACAGACGTTAACACAGATGAAATGCAATTAGAGGACATTTGTACTAAACGAGACAGATGGGCAATAAGACTTACGATTCAACCTCACCTATTTCGTGTGCAACTTCTCCAGCCGTCCAGCAATGTGGAGCCAGGGAAATATACTGCTTATCTCCTGTTCTACCAACTTCCGAAGAGCAGCTGAATTTATGAAGACAGAAATATTCCTTTATTCATATGTAATTATATTTATGTAATTATAAATATACTGTGGACATTCTGGCCAAGGAGGCTTTATCGCTTTCGCAGGCCAAATTCTACACAAAAATCAATATTGCAAATATGACTCTTCATAAATTAAGACCCTACACTATAAATTACACAGGTTGAAACCTTTCTCGGGATATTACAGGGCTTCTTTAAGTGAAGGATATTTCTGTTGCTTACATTTCCTACGGAAAACAGGTTGAGCAAACAGGATCATACTTTAGGCAAGATTTGTACCTTGAAAATTTAGAATCGTTTTGGGTCCGGGGTTTTCCGTAAAACTATTTCAAGTCTGAAATTAGAGGTATGATTTGTGGTATGATTTCCACCGCAGTGCAAATATGTGAATTTTCATATATCTAAATCTTCTATTTCAAGTCTGTTCAACATACCCTCTGTGACAATGAACATCAAAGTTTTTTCGCTTTTCTCGAGTACCAAGAATGACTTTGGAGTGTAGTTGGGCTATATCACAACTTTAGCCTGAGTTATCTAAATGCGAAAACGACTCTTTTCATCCCAAAATCGGATCAGCGAAAAACCTCGTTGAAAACTACAAGCACAGATATTAATCATCCATCCCACCTGTTGTGAGTTAACCCGTCAGTTTAGCAACTTATGAAAATGTTACCACCCACAAAAATTGTTCGCTACACAAAAAAAGACGGAGACACCATAGTACGCACAAAAAATGTTTTGCGAGCACCTTCCTCCGATGAAAAAGTAAATGAAGGCCTTCTCGTCCGTCCTTTCTTTAAATGTGATACACGTTGCTCTACTCCACTGTTTCATCCCTTTTACGATCGCCTCCAGGGATAAAGGATCGTCTTCTGATAAATTTGGTAAAATAGCAACAATAGTTATTTGGTCACGCAACAATTTTTTCCATGTACCACTAAATACTAAGATGGGAAAGAAAAAAGTAGGCATGATTCAGCGTCCATGCCATTGGTTTTCGTCAAATGCATTGGTGTCAATCAATTATTATTCCTCCTCACCGACAGGGGTGTGATTTGTCTCTTGTAAACACGCATGCAATAATCAAAGATAGATGTTAGTCGTGGAAGTAGCACTAAAAAGAGAAAAACACCTGAGCTGATAACGTAAATTGGCCACCGTGAAGAGTTTCAAAGCTGACGTTTCGACCGTTAGCCCTTCGTCAGAGCGAATGGAGGAATTGTGGGTTTTGTGTGTGTTTATATGCAGAAAATAAAGCTACGCTAAGTGGGGATTAAGAGTGCCGATTTGAAAAATAAGTTTTTGATCTAGGGTTGCGCCTTCCGAACTACCTAATTGTAGGGAAAGGTAGCAAACTGCCGATTGCCGACTAGAATGATTAGGGGGATTAAATTTTGATGCGTCCTTTCATTTCTTCTTACGTTGCGAAGGGAGGAGATATGTTTATTCTAACTTTTTCTACGATGTCTGACTGAAACTAAGTTTTTATTTATGTTTTTATTGTTGTTAATTGACGAGAAAGTTTAACTTTTGTAATTTCTACGATGTCTGACTGAAACTAAGTTTTTATTTATAGGAATTTTTAAAACTGCAAGCGTGTTGTTAATTGACGAAAAAGTTTAAGGATTGATACATTCAATAAATTACTTAGCTGCTGTTCGATTGAATAATGCACGATCCCTCCAGGCCAAAGATAATGTTTTGAGGCTCCTCGAACAGCGGCTGCCGAAATAAGATCTTGTCCTTGCTGGGCGGCTTGTTGCTGTGCAGTGGTGATTATCATATCACCCTCAAACAGCTGAATGGCTTTCATGCACGGGAGTTTGACTAAAACTGCAGATATTGTACATGTAGCATTTAATGTCTGTCAGCCAATTGTATGGTTAAGCAATAAGGCAAAGAATTATGGGTTCTAAACATTTACGAGCTCCTGAAGGACTCAGATTTTAAGAAGCTGTTTCCATTAATAACAAGAAATAAGTCTCTCAAATATTGGAAAATATACCGAATTTCTGAAGTTGGATCAAAACACTACGGTGATGAAGACTTAGTGGAAAATTGTCTTTTCCAATTCGCATGCATGATATAAACATATCATGATATCAAGCTATAATTTAAAATAGAAGTGCAACTATATATTGCTAATCACACAGAATGGAGTCAACATACCAGATAAAAAAATTAGTATTCCAAATGAGAAGTTTACTAGAAACCTATTCGCCATTTTCTTTTCTGCTAATAACAAGAGTAAGAAAGGTGTCATCATCAACAGCCTAAAAAAAATGATCTTTTTCCTTTGCCAGCTTTTCATAACAAAGCTGTCAGGTGATTGGATAAAGTGACACAAATAGCATTCTTTGTATTTACTTATAGGCGATGTAAGATCACCCTTCTTTGGAATTATTTAAATTTTGTATGATTGTACTTAAAACAGATATAGTCGTGTGTTCCTTTTTTTCTTTGTGCTTTTCTCAACCAATCATCTTTCCACAGTATGTTCACCCCAGCTTCCTATGTGTGATATTTAGAATCATATTTGTGATAGAGATAAAACCTAACACTTTCGTAAACATAATGCGGCCTGATTTTTGCCATTAAACAGGTGAACAAATTAAGGCATGAAATGTAGCTCGACAATTTACTTACGTTAACTTTCATTAAAAACAACCTTTTCGATAATCGCACAAAATGTTTTGTGGTCTTAAAAATTTAAATTCTAATTTATTGTCTACTTAAAAATAACAACCAGAAGAGAGAATTATTCCTGGTCACTGGTTGAAATTATTTATCCAGTTGCAAGGTCGCCTTTTTACAAAAAATTTGAATTTATTCATAACTTCCAAAAACGTTCGTATAAAAACAAGAAAAGATAACGATGTAGATCAAATACAAGTCTGAAAATCTTCAAACTTACAACAAGCCATCGGTTTAATTCTGGAAACTTAAAGCTTCTCCGTTCAGAAGTCAATAACGCTACTTTCAATAACGTTATCAAAGGCTCTGGTCAGTTACGTGTGAGCTTTTAAGACCAACAGACACTGTACACAAGATGTTGAAGGAATCTCCTTACCCCGGATCTCGCAAACACATCCAATGTCAAGAACTATACAAGAATGGCCTCCAAATCGAACAAATTACGTAACTTAGACTTTCAGGCGGAATCTCCGCAAACAATGCCTCGCAATAATGATAACGATTTTCTATATTATTGAGACGATTTTAATATATTTTTATTCCTTAGGTTTTAGTTTAAATGCACGACCCCATAAGCGGCAACGCTTTAATCACCATCGTGTTGAAATAAAAGTTGTTGTTGTTGAAGTACTGTACGAACGCTAAAACTATTCCATGGAGAACAATTACCAGCATGTTTGAGCGACTGAGGGAAGTTTGCGTGATGAACAGCACCCTGACCACTGTAGATTTGGTGGCTAAAATAATAATCTGTGGGTACTCTTCAATAAAAGACAGTCCAACACATTCGTGAGAATTTTTCTTTAATCAGATTAATCTTCTGAGTTGAAACAAGTCAAGAGACTTGTTAGGTCCTGCATCAAATAGATTCGATGAGACTTGATAACCTGTAAGAAAGAAGTTTCATCTGTGAAACGTTCATATTCTAACCATCGAATCATTTGTTCGTTTTCTATCCCATTCCTATTTCTACGAATAAAAGAAAAAAAAAGAAATAATTATTAAGCTTAAGATATGGTTGTCTCATTACAACCTCACGGCTTTGAAAGCTAAAAAAGTCGGGGAAAAAAAACTAAAAATGAGCGTAACCTTTTCAGTATATATATATATATATATTTTTTTTTTTAAGTTAATCCCTTCATATATAGTCTCCATATATTTACTAACATTGTCCCAACAGTAATCGAACGTTGTGTGTTGAGAGTTATTGCGGAATTTCTATGGGTGTGAAAGGTTTTTCATCAATTTACCTTACATCAGCATTTGTTGCAGCTCTTTGGACAATTTTTCGCCATGTATTTCACGTAACTGTGACGACAGTATCCTTCACTCTTCCAGTGAGAGCAGTTAATGTTCTTATCCTTGCAATCTAAAAAGTAAACAAACACAATTTTAAAAACGTCTAGACTATCCCTGCATTTTATGTTTATCCAAAACGTTACATATTTCCCTTCTGAAGGAAAGACGGCGGACTGCATCTTGCTGATAATAATCTGAAGATACGATGACAAAATTTTACAGCCGGCGAGGTGTTTTTGGCTTAAAGTCAGCATGAGAGTACATCATTGGTCATTGCACATTTGCTGAATTTGGATTTCTATTTATTATCGAAGACAACAAAATTTGCCAATATTATTCATCACCAGCACCGACAAAATTCTTTTTCAGTATTTGACACCTTGTAGTACAATTAGTATCAGTGACTCCAATCGATAGCTGATACATATATTTTACTTTATAACTTAAGCATGTTGAGAGTTCAAACATGACATTTGTGACACACGCAAAAAGCACAACCTGAACTTTTCACGTCATTTTTTGAGGCTTTTGTACACTGTACCGACTAAGATACCAACTTTGACTATTAAAAACGTTTTCCCCATGTTCTGATGGATGGCCTTAAGGAGAAGTGAGCCAAATTAAATTTTATTTCTGCTGTTGAATTAAAATTTATGCCAAGTAAGCTCATTAGGAATACGATAAGATCTCTAGGGATGCAGTGCATAACGTACCGACCCCTCCCCCTCCACCGCCACCACCCCCTCCGCCACCGCCGCCTCCACTGCATTTGTACAGAAGGTTCATCTGTTTTACATCTATTTCTGTTGGACCATTCCTGTTACTTAAAGTAACCTACGGAAAGACGAGGTAGCAGTTCCAGTTAGTTGCCGGAGTAAAATCATTGAGATTAAGCACTGAACAGAGCTCCATGGGAAGAATAAATATCACTTTAATTATCCTTACTCCTTGTTTTTTAGCCACAATAGTTGGTCTCCGGTTTCTACTGAACGCGTAGCTTTCATAATGCATCACACTCCTGTAGTCGTATTGGGTGCCCAGGGAATCAATCGTGGAGCGGGGATACTTATTAAAAGCATAGGCAAGCCCTAACAAAAGAAATGCGTGGAAAGGAAAAGGTTATCTTTAGTAACCAATTTATCCTTTAAAAATTATCTACAGTATATTTCAAGGCGTACGTTGAATTAAGTTAGACAAAAAATGATACTTTCCACTTTGTATGTTTTGCCAGTTAATCGAGACGAAATCGTCGCGATCAGGGCGGGACTGTTCATGATAGAATCCCAACGCATGACCTACAGGAGAAGGGGGAAAATGGTAAATATGGTTCACTATTGTCAGGACACACTGCGCGGCAAATCGTGTGTCACCTTTCAGAGACATTTGCTTCGAATTTAGTCACTGCAATCACTCTTAGAAATCCAATTTGGTTTAAATTCGTTTCACTAATCATTGTCAACTCAAGTGCTTAATTTCTGAGCTGCTCTTTATGAGAAAGAAAGTTTACACTCAAACGGACTCTATTTACTCCAAACATTTTATTGAGGCTAAGTACTAACTTTCCATGCTTAGTTTACAGCTATGCAACATTAAACGCTCTTATTCCTGTACTGCCTTTTTGCTAAGGATAACATGAAGTCATCCAGAAGTTATGAAAAGTTTTAAACATTGTTTTTTTTTCTTGTGAAGCATCAAGAAGGATAACCTTACGCAAAAGATTTACGCGTTAATGTTCTCTCGACAAAAGGAAGTTTGAGTTCATGTTCAGCGTACCGATCTCGTGTGCCACAGTATGTGTGTACCAGCATCCCCTAGCGAGCGATATCATCTGTCGTCTCCCTGTTCGTCCCACGTACGAGGTACATCTGAGAAAAAAAATTACACCCAAAAGCAAGACATTTTTCGAGAATATTCCATGGTGGAGCTTCGAGATGTTTCAGTTAATACAGCTAATTATTTGACAAGGAAGTTCTGAAAACCATTTTAAAGTATCATGGTAAATAAAAGAAAATGAACAAAATACCTAATAATCAGATGATTTCTGCAGATGGTTATCAAAGGGATTCAGTCGAAAAACAATAACGAATGCTCTCGAGAACATAATTTTGCGCATTTGGTAGTGATGATAAACATTTATTTGATAACTATTTTTCTGATCTCTGCTTGTCCCATCCGGTCAGTGGAAAGAAAAGGTCAACAATTTTTCTCTTTCAAACGAGCTCTTCTTCTTTCTGAGATGTAAAGGTCACAGAACCTTATGGGAGAAAATTTTGATGGGGTTAACATAGTTTCATGTAAAATTAGCCTTTATTCTCACCCTCGACCGATGTGAAAATAGGCATATGCGCTTTCTGTCGTCTTTTTCTTAAACTGCACACAAGTCTTTGTACGCCATAAATTCATGGCAGCATTTATTGCTGCCATAGCTGTAGAACTTCTCTCTGTAGATACAGTAAATTAAACATCAGTTCTCTATCGGTTACGAGGCAAAAAATGCTGTGCGAATCAAGTTGGCCATGCTGACTGAACTTTCCTGGATGTCCCAAACTAGCCTGCAGAGCAAGCGTAATTTTTGCGGGCGAGTGCTTAACACTATCTTGGTAAAAGTTATAGCTGCCATCTTTGATTTTTACAGCAGCGGAGGGCTGGGGAGAGAAAGAAATTTGTACCAAGGGGATGAGTAAAGATCAAAAAGAAGGAGAGGGGAGCGGTGGGGGGAGTTTCCGATTGGTATGGTTTTGCTCTACCATCTCAATTACAAACCAAACTGCTTCATACCACTCTTGCAGGAAATATAAAAGATAGTGACCTTTGTCAAAG